CTGGCTCACATGATCCTTACCCACCAATCAGACTAGCCCTGCTGGCTCACATGATCCTTACCCACCAATCAGAAAGCACCCCAGCCAACTGTCAAACCGTTAAACCATTAAACTGTCATAACTGTCAAACCACCCCCCGGCTCTATAAATATGCAGAGCTGTTCCTCAATAAATGGGCACCAAGCCTTGATCGTTCTTTCAATAAATATCAGCCAAAGTGGGTATAAAGAAAAGTTAGCTACTAGTTTATTTCAGAAACTGGATCTGAAATCCCAGGACCTGAAACCTTAGCAGCAAACCACAAGGAGAACCCCCAAAACTCAGCTCTGAAACAAAATTGCAGTTTCACCTTTGGTAAGTTCTTTCCCTCCCTAGAACTTGAATTTTCTCATCCTTAAAATGAGGCCACCTGCATCTCACTTTCAAACGCTGAAACCCACGACCTGTGTGTACAACCTGCATGTCACTTCTCTGAGTCACTGCAGTCACTGCTGAGAGAGTGGCTGTCCCTGTCTCTTACCAGATAGCAGTTGAAGAAACAGAAGGGCCGGGTGGGTCTGACGCGCACGGCGATATTCCCCTCTTCTCCTGGGGACAGGATGTGGCCCTCGTCATCCACAATCTGGTGGAGAGATCACAGGGTGGTGTCTGGGCACCCGCACAGCCAGGCCTCCCGCCAGCCCAGCCTGTGCCCAGTGGGTCCATGCATCCTGCTCCTCACCCGCTGTGACCAAGATGGCCTACCTGCACGTCGTAAGGTGGGGAGGCTTTCCCCATGGACCCAGCCTTGATGGTGGAGCCTCTCGGATTGGCACAGATTACAACCTGGAAGGAACCAGAGCCCGTAAGGAGCCTCAACCTCACTCCCTTTCTCCTTTTTCACTTTTCTCTCTCACTTCTCTCCTTTCCTTTTTTCCTTCCGTTATGGTTTGGATAGAAGGTGTCCCCCACCCCCCGAGCCCCTGTCCTAATGCAGGAATCTTAGGAGGTGAAACGACTGGATCATGAGAACTGGAACCTAGTCAGCCCACCCTCGTTTGCATGGACTGTCTGGATGGTGACTGTAGGCAGGTGGGTCCCTGGGGGTGTGCCCCAGAAGGGCGCATCTTCCCTGTACCCCTTTCTCCTTTCCTTCTCTCGCTTCCTGGCTGCTATGAAGGACGCAGCTTTCCTCCATATCGCCTGTCCACCATGATGTTCTGCTTCACCTTGGGTCCAGAGCAATGGGTTTGGCCAACCATGGACTGAACCTTTTAAACCATGAGCCAAAATAAACTTTTCCTCCTCTAGGTTGTTCTCGTTGGGTGTTTTGGTCACAGAGTTGCAAAGCTGACAACCACACCTTTCTCCTTCCTCACTCCTATCCCCTCTTCTTCCTTTCCCTTCACCTCCCCTTCCTTCCTTCCTTCTGTCTTCTTTCCACGGGGACATTCATTTATGGAGCTCTCGAATGGGTGCATCAAGAACTTAATGTATAACTAAGCTGAAGGATTCCATTGATCTTCACATCTCTGCCCTGAGGACTATAGGAGTTGCCTCTTAGGATTTGGGGCTCTCCCCAAAACACATGTAGGCTGTTCCCATGGGGACAGACAACACCCTTGGCCAGGAGAGCTGGCTTACTGGTCATGGAGTAGTTGTGAAGTTACCTCTAAACCCAAAGGTTCTAGTGGATGGAGTTTTGCTAGCAGTGTTTCTGCCCTGGGGACAGGGCCGTCCTGACAGGTATCAGAGAAAGGACAGACAGAAAGGCAGGAGGAGCTATGGAGCCAGGGATCTTGTCCACTGGACTGAGAGCTCAGATGGTGGTGAACTGGGGCGGGGACCTGGCCGCACAGCACTCACTGTTTCGGACTGCCCATAGCCTTCGTAAAGCTCCAGGCCCGTCTGGTTCTTCCACTTCTCCCTCACATCAGGGTTGAGGGCCTCTCCTCCAGTCAAACAGTGTCTCAGGCTGTGAAACTGGTACCTTTCACAAGTGAGAAGACGGGTGGCCTGGGTCAGAACCCCCACTTCCACCCACAACACCTGCCAGCAGTGTGGCCCAGTCCATACCCCGCCCCAAGCACTAGGGAGTAAACGTCCCTGCTTTAGAATCTTCCCCAGGGACCCCACCCTCTGGCTTTCCAAGTATGTTCCTCAGGGACAGATAATTTTTTTAAAAAATTCATTCTTAACTGAGTTTGGAAAAAAAAAAAAAAACAGAACCTACTAATTTGGGCATCACATGAGTGAGTTTCAGGTAAATTTGCCAGAATAATTTAGCTAGAAACAAACTGATGGATAATAAAGTGATTGACAGAATTACTGGATTGAAAAAGATCAAAAAAATTAAAATTGAGAAGATAAAAAGTGGTTCTCTGAGAATCTCCAATGGTTCAAAAATTTCTAAAGATATTAAGTTGGAAAGCAATCTCTCAGCTCAGCAAATTTTCTGAAGTGTTAAAAAAACCAGTGATTGCAAATATACTTTTTAATCATTTTCCCCCCCTTTGGATCAAATTGGATGGATTGAGTTACTTAGTATAACTAAGCACTAAATACTGAGTACTTAGAGTTATCACAGTGCTTGTGGTGATTAGTACCATTTGACCAAATTCCTTTTGAACAAATTACTCAGAACCTGTTTTCAGCTAAAATCATAATGTGGTGCTGTCCAGTAGATGGATAAATGGAATGAATTCTTACATTTCATACTTTGAGAATCAAGTAAGATCTCCCTCTTTAGGCACTTCAGAGCCAGAGTGTGACAAGGGAAGATAAGGGGTAGGTGAAGAGAAAGACAGATTAGAATTGGTATGTTACTGAGGGGTGAGGGAATTCTCTGGTACCCCAGCAACTTGCTCTGCCTTCTAGTCGACATTGCTTTGGATTCACCCAGGACAGCCATCCAGTATTTTGTCACCTTCTCTCGAGCGTCTCGAGCTGGTATCTAAAGAATGGCTGACTTGGGTCAGTCTGGGGTTGGGAGATGGAAGACCCACTATGGTAGGCTTGTTAGTCCCACCAGACCTATAGGCTCATTCCATAGGTGGTAAATAATAACTCAACAATTTCTCTGCCCTCACAGATAAAAACAGACACGTTGCTGAGGGAAGAAAGCCAATGTCAAGTGTTGGAATGTCAGACTGCCTTAAATCTATTTAATTCCTTTTGGATATACATTCCTGGGATCCAGAAAATCATCTTTGAATAGTGTCTACAAGGGATATGAGTGTGTATTCTTGTGAGAGTGTGTGTGTTTGTGTGTGTGTGTGTGTGTGTGTGTGTGAAATGAAGACAGGAGACAAATAGACATAGATAGAGGCAGAAAAAGAGAGACAGAGACAAAAAGATAGAGACACAGAGACAGAGTTGGAATGAGAGGGTGGGGTTACATATATTCACATTCTTTGGCCCTCAAAGCACCAAATTGATAGGCTGTACCTTGTCAGATCCTCCTGTACAAGCAGGCGGAAGATGGTTGGGACACAGCAAAGGGTGGTTATCGGGAACTTGGAGAGAGTCTAAACAAAAACAACAGGTGAAGATCTTAGAGTCCTTGGGGTGGAACTTCATAGAAAAGGGATCAGTGAACTGGGTCTTCATATCCTCATTATTGAAGAAAGAAGTAGAAAACCATGTGTGGTACCCGGCTCCAGCCTCCAAGGTAACCTCTAATGATCTCCCTCTCCTGGTATTTGTGCCCTTGTGGGGTCCCTTCCCACACGGCACCATGATTGGTTTGTGGGACCAACAGAATTCTGTTGAGGGGCCAGATATTACTTTTGAGATTAGGTTCTATGAAGAGGATGGCCTCTGTCTTAAATATTCTCACTCTTTCTGCCTCTCTTGGATTACTCTCTCTGGAAGAAGCAAACCACCATGCTGTGAGGACACTCAAGCAGTCCTGTGGAGGAGTACACAAATGAGGAACGGAAGCCTCTGACCCAAAGCCAGTGAAAATCTGCTGAAAATCACAAGCCAGTGTTTAAGCAGATTCTCCAGACTCGATCAAGCCTTGAGATGACTACAATCCTAGATCATATTTTTTAAAAAAATTATTACTGAGGCAAAATACACACAACAGCAGATTTCCTCATTTTAAGAGTACAGTTCACTGGCACTGAGTATTTATTTCCACATTGTTGAGCAACCGTGGCCGTCAACTATCTGCAGAATTCTTTTAATCTTTTTATCTTTCCAAATGGAAACTCTGTACCCATTACACAATAACTCCCCATGACCCTCTGCCCCAATTCCTGGTAGTCACCTCCTACACTCTGTCTCTATGAATCTGACTACTCTAAGGACCTGATGGTAGTGGAATCATAGTATTTGTTCTTCTATGCCTGAATTCTTTCACTTAGCACAGTGTCCTCAAGGCTCAACCATGTTATGGCATCTCAGAATTTCCTTCTTTTTAAAGGCCGAATAATATTCATACAACATCTTCTTTATTCACTGATCCATTGAGGGACATTTGGGTTACTTATACCTTTTAGTTACTGTTAATAATGCTGCTTAGGAACTGGGGTTGTGGCTCAGGGGCAGAGTGCTTGCCTAGCACATGTGAGGCACTGGGTTTGATCCTCAGCACCACATAAAAATATAATAAAGGTATTGTGTCCATCTACAACTATATATATATATATTTGAATATATACATATAATATTAATAATAATAATGCTAAGAGCTTTGTGGTACTTCATTGACATCTTGGCTACAGCCTCAGGAGAGCTGCTGCTCCGGAACCACTTAGTTAAGCTACTTCCAGATTCTTGACTTTAGAAACCATGAGAGAACGAATGTTTCTGTTTTAAGCTTATAAATTTGGGGTTGATTTACTACATAGCAAAAGATAATGAGTACGCTATGTCAGGGCTGGAGGCAATGGAAGGAGAAGACACACGTATTGTCTGATCAAGTCCTACGTAAATAATGATGCGGATGAGTTTGATTGATAATAATAACTAACATGTGTAAAGCATGTACTATGTTCCTGGAATCACTTTATTCTTATGAACACTTGATATAACTATGTTATCCCTTTCTGTGCTTCAGATGGGGAGACTGAGACTTAAGGAGTCTAGGTGAGTTTCCTAAGGCCACGCTGCTAGCTAAGAGAAGGCGTAAGATGACAGTCCAGGTCTGACCAATGGCACAGTGTGTGCCATTAGTCACCACATGATACAGCTTGCATCCATGCAGAGTATGGGCAGATGGGTCTTCTGATGTTTTAGGGAATGTCAGTTAGGATGTGGAGAACAGAAGAAAGCAGCCCTATTTCTTCACTGGGAGGATCAATTCTCCCTCCCTATGAGAAGACCCTTGGAGGCTGGGCAGGAGTCCTCAGATCTATAGTTGGGCAAAGACACCCAATGAGCAGTAGGGACAGCAGCATTTGGAATTGAGAAGCAGACTTTGATTTTACCCAAGATTTTGACTAATAACTAGGGTCTCAACAGGATGATAAAAAAGAAGATGGTAGAGAGAGAGAAGCAACCCAGGCAGAAAAAGATAAGATATGCAAAGGTCTAGAGAGATGCTCTTATTTATATCTAGGGATCTAGATTGAGCATAACCAGTGATTGAAGACAGCCAGGTGGTGAGGAACCGGACCTCAGGAGGTCCTGGGAGACTTCCTGGTTAACATCAGCAGGAAGGAAGCCTATGGTCACCGGTTGGTGCGTTTTCTCCTACAACCTTGAAATCGACACCACACTCACCTTGTTTACACCAAAGACATAAAAGTCTCTTACATTTAGGATGACTTTGGCGTTAACCCGAGGCAGTTCGTGCACAAAAATACAAGATCCATTAGACCAAGCAGAGAAGAGAGTCCAGGCTGCCTTCACCCAACCAGTGTCGGTGGTGTTCCAGAAGATGTCTGATTCGGTCAAGGCCACCCACTGCCTGTCAAACACAGGGACAATCAGTACCCCCCAGCAATGCCTCTGACTTTACAAAGGATTACATGACCCAGATCTCCTTATTTGGAGCCCTGATCAATCAGATCTGCACAAGTCCACTATTATCTCAACAAACATTCATTGAGCGTCTTTTATCTACCCATGATCTAGGCTAGTGGTACAGAGTTAAAATGACAGGTCTCTCTCTTCTCAATATACCTAACTCTTTGCTGATCTCATCCAATCTCTTTTTCATCGACTTTAGACATGCTGATCCAAATGCCTCCTCAACATCTCCACTTTTAACTAATTATGGAGATGCATAATGCGCCTCTCAAGTTTCCAGTGCTGAAAATTGACTCCGGGTTCTCCTCCCACTGGCAGGCTCATTCCAACATCTTCTCCATTTCATTGATTGCCATACAACTCAGCGTTATCCTTGACCCTTGTCTCTCTCACTCCACGTTGAAACAGTCAGCAAATCTCCCTATATCTATATTCAGAACACACTGGGAATCTTCTCTGTTCTCACCCTGTGGCTACGGCTCCCCTGGACGATCAGCACCCTTTCCTCTTAATGCACCAGCCCCTTCCTTGACCCTCCTGTCACCCTTTGTTCCTGGCATTTATCATCAACCCAACATAGTGAGTGAGCCTCTAGAAAAACAGCACAAAGGCATATTGTGTCACTTTTCCATTCAAAATTTTCTGTTTCTTAAAAAAAAAAATCAAATATAGAATTGCTCTGTGATTGAGCCATTCTGTTTCTGAGTGTGTCTCCCCCAAGAATTAAAAGCAAGGACTTGAACAGATATTTGCACACCTGTGTCCACAGCAACATTCATGACAACAAACAATGGCTCAAGTGTGGAAGTGTCCCAAGTGTCGACCAACAGATGAGCGCATCTAAAAAGTTTTCTGTGCCCACCGTGGAATATTTTTTCAGCCTTAAAAAAGTAAGGAAATTTTGACACTTGTTACAAAACGGCTGAAACTTACCATGCTAAGTGAGAGAAGCCAAGTTTCAAAACCAAAGAGCAAATATTACATAAAGGCAAATTTACATGAAGTACCTGGAGTGGTCAGATGCATACAGATGGAAAGCACAAGAACAAGAGTAGGCTCCTAATTGGAGTAAGTTATACTCCATGTGTGTATGATATGTCTGAGGCCGGAAGATCATAAATTCAAGGTCAGCCTCAGCAACTTAGCGAGGCCCTAAGCAACTCAGGGAGGAGACCCTGTCTCTAAATAAAATATAGAAAAGGGTTGGAGATGGGGCTCAGTGGTTAAGCACCCCTGGGTTCAATCCCCAGCCACAAAGCCCAGTACAAAAAATAAAAAAATAAAATAAAAAAAACCCCACACTCTACTGTCATGTATATCTAGGGGGTAGGGGAGAGGGAAGTGGGCAGTTATTGCTTGCTAAGTAGAATTTCTGTTTCGAAATCTATTTTAAAAGTTATAGACGGTAGTGACAGTTGTAAAAAAAATGTGAGTATGTTTAACGATATTCAGTGATACACTTAAAATGTTTAAAGTGCTAACTTTGGCTAGCAAAAAGGATTTTGAATATTTTCATCATAAATAAATGATAAGCGTGGATGTGGATAGGTTTACCATGACTTGAACATTCCACAACATATTTTTGTGTATGGAAATGTCACATGGTACATAGGTACGATTCTATGTATTGGCTAAAATTATTTTTTTAATAATGGTAAATTTTATATCATACATATTTTGCCACACTTTAAAATAAAACCCTCCAGTGGCTTTTCACATTACTCAGAATAAAGTCCAAACACCCTAGGACCCTACCTGATTTGCACTATCATTGCTTCTTTTCCTTTTCTCTCTCTCTCTCTCTCTTTTTCTCCTTCCTTCCTTCCTTCCTTCTTTCTTTCTTTCTGAACCTCAGAGTGCTTCACCACTGAGGCACATCCCAGCCCTTTTAAAAAATATATTTTATTTAGACACAGGGTCTTGCTGAGTTGCTGAGAGCCTTGCTAAGTTGCTGAGGCTGGCTTTGAACTCGCGGTCCTCCTGCCTCAGCCTCCAGAGTTGCTGGGATTACAGGCCTGTGCCACCGCACCCCTTTTTTCTCATTGCTTTCTGACCTCAGTTCCTGCCGCTCTCCCCTTCACACACCCCTGCTCACTCACCCACGCTCTGCTCTTGCACCCCCTAGACAAGCCGTGCCCAGTACCTTCCACTGGCCACAAAGCCCAGCCCATAGCTGCTCTGGGAGTGCTCAACCATCTTGGGGTTCCCGGTAGTTCCGCTGGTGAAGTAGATGGCCAGGGCATCTCGACTCTTGGTCTGCACACACGTGTGCTCTGCAGATGCCTCTCTGGAAAATGTAAAAACGTGGGGTGGAACTCCCAAGAGTGGACATAGGGAACAGTGACCATATTTCTTTACCATTTCAATAAATACATGTGAGGTGCTGCTTCAAGAGAGTGGCAGCTCGGGTTATCCACAGCCACCTCCTCTCATGATGACCCTTTTGCAGACAAGGAAACTGGGGCCCGACATGATTAAGTGGCTCACTCAAAGAGCCCCCTGTTCTTGGAGCATGGAGTGAGAGGTTGGCATATCTATGTGCCTAATTCAGCACTTTTAGGCATGACCCCATCCCCACCTCAATTCCTAAGGACTTAGAGCTACTTCTAAAGGTTTCCCCAAACTTGGGGGTTGGAGATTTGGTTAATCTCCAAGGTTTTGTGATTTGGAGAATCAGCTAATTTGTGGTTCATGGTTCTCAACCCTGGCTGCACCTTGGAATCCCCAGGTAAGTTTTTTAAAAGAAATACCATTACCTGGGCCCCCCCTTGGACAGATGAAATCAGAATCTCAATGCTTTTTAAGCTCCTCAGGAAATTCTACTAACAACTACAATTGAGAACCACTGGTCTGGGCCAAGCTGGCAATGTATCACAATCACATGGGCTGATTTAAAAAAAAATACAGGTTCCATGAGCTCTGGCTCATACATGTCTGGTTAAATATGTCAGCTATGGGACCTTTGGGTCCATATTTTAAACAAAACCCAGGGAAATCTGGTCTGACGAACATTTGTGACTTGATAGTTCCAGTCTCTGAGGGCCCCCTTTTGGATGCTGGCCTCTAATCTGGATAGTCTCAAATTCCCAGAGAGGCTTCCACCAAGTCCTTACTTCAGGGGAGATGTGACTGTGGCTCCATCCCAACACTTATTTAACTATTTTTTAGCATCTTGGGTTGGTCACTTCACTTTTGCAAATCTTTTTTCCTCACCTGTAAAATTGTGTGACATTGCAACTCTAAGGTATTTTTCAAGATTATTCATTACTGCGTTCTGAGCACCAAATACAAAGCTTGTCACAAAATAGATGTTCATTAAACCTTTCCCTGCACAAAGGAATGGAAGTGACTGCTTACCTAGTACAGTGCCTAGCATACACTAAGCACATGCACTTATTTTACTATCGGCCACCTGCTGTGTACCGAATGCATGGCATAGGTCAGCTCCTCCACACTGATAGCTCCAATAACTACTGCCAACAGTGTACAAAAAACAAGGCATAGGAAAGCTAGTGACACATTCATTACTGACTGAGGGAGTGACTGGAACATTCAGATGGTCTCAAGGATTCTATCTCAGACCATCTGGCTTCCAAGGTGAATGTCGCTCTCTGAGTCACTTTGTGTGCAGTCGGCAATGCCTTCTGTGGTCTCTTGTTGGCTAAAGGGGAAATGCCTTCTTTGTCAATGTCATTGTCCAAGGGAGCCTCGACTCACCGCAGGAGTTCCCTGAAGTTCATCCAGCCTGGGCGACCGCTGTCCGACACCAGGAGCTTGACCCGGAGGGAGGGGCAGTCAGCACTGATGGCGTCCACCTGCGGAGCCAGGGCGTCACTGGTGATAATGGACTTGGCCCTGGATGTCTGCAGCCGGTACTTGAGGTCCTTCTCCGTCAGCTGGGAGACGCCAGGAATCATGACAACACCTGACATCACACACAGAGAGAGGACGTTGGCTCAACATCAGGGAAGACCCTGTGTGTGGAACCAGAGATGGTCACAGGAAGGAGAGGACTGGGGCACCCGAGCTGGAAGAGGGGCCGGTAACGAGGTAAAGAAACCCAAAAATGCTCCTGGGGAGCTTGATGTATCTTATTTAATTCTCAGAACCTTGGGAAGTGCATGCTATTTGATACCTATTTTGTAGATTAAAAAAAAAAAACCCCTAAGTTTTAGAACTGTATGCCTTAAATAAATTAAATAACTTGCCCAAGAGCACCTAGCTAATAGGTTGTAAAGCTGGAGTTCAAAGCCAAGCAGCCGTAAATCTTAGAGTCCACGATCTTGATTGCATTGTATTTCCTGAGAGAGCACCGAGTTTGGGCTTTTCTGTGCTTTTAATTGAAGTACCTCAATGCATCCTTCTGTTGGGCGTGGGTTACTTGCTGGTGTAAGGGAGGGACGAGGTGGGGGTTCCCGGACCCCTCATACGGCTTCAACCAAAGTTGATTCCATCCTCTCCCATGGGGAAGAGGAGAGGAAGCAGGAACCAGGCATCAATTTTAACCAGGCTCAGAATGTCCATGGTCAACACTTCCTGGAGCCCAACACTCTGATTTCACACAGGAGAGGAATCGGATCCTAAAAGATCTGTCCCCTGGCCGCATCCAGTTATTGAGGGCAGAAGAGAGAGGAAGGGGCCAGTCACAAGCAGCACGAGAGCCCCACCAGGGTCCTTGTCCTTTGCGGGGTTTAGAGCCCAGCATGACCACTTGGAGCTAACCAGTGGGATTCCTCAGTCCACCTCCACGTGTTAGTTTTTTCCAGTAGCAGTCTGTCCCACCTAGGGTTGTGGTGGTGGTGCTTTGGGGAAGAGAGGTGACAAAAGAGTACAAGGAGAAAATGGGTGTAACCTGCACAGGACATCAGCTTGGGTGTCTTCTAAAGAGTTGGAGAGGATGTCAGACTTGACTTGGTAACATGGTGTGTGGTTTCCTTGTTCTTTTTAACAATTTGCCATTTATTTACTTGGTGCTGGGGCTCGAATCCAGAGCCTGGCACGTGCTAAGCATACCTTCTACACCACGCTGTACCCACGGGCTATGCCCATTTATTTTTTCTTGCCTTTTTTTTCCCCATATTTTTTTTATTGGTTCATTATAGTTATACATAATGGTGGGATTTGTTGTGATTTGGGGTTATTTTATTTGGACCCCAAATAGAAGGATGACTATATACAATTGGAGGAACAGGAAATTTAGGTAACCAAAAAAAATAATAATAACAACCCAAAGGGAAATTTCGATCATGCCAACCACTTGACCCCATGACTGGCACATAGCAGTTGCTTAAGAAAAGCATAGAGGCTCCTTATACTTTGGCCCATATGAAAGGACCTGCTTTTATGTATTGCTTTGGGGTCTTGCCCTTGGCTGCAGTCAAGTTGGTGATGGTTGGGCAGACAGAATGCCACACGGCACTCAGGATGCCCGGGGCCTCTGGCGGATAGCGTCAGCCCTAACTGGAACCCCAGCCCTGCCCACTGACCTGTCCGCATGCAAGCCACGCTGGCCAGCCACCACTCTGGAAGCCGTGGAAGCACCAGCATCATTCTGTCCCCGGGCTGCAAGCCACACGTGCTCGCCAGGATGTTGGCTGCCTTCCTGGACCGATGTCCCAGCTCCTCAAAGCTCCACTTGACCTCCGCGCCTTTACCATCCACCCACCAGAATGCAGGATTCGGGGGCCGGTGCCCAGCCTAGACGGTGGTGCAGGAAGAGGAAAAAGTAGAAGTGCTTCATTGAGAATTTTTTTAAATTCATTTTACTTTTTACTATAGTTAAGACATTCAATATATTTATAAGGCTCAGAAATCAAGGTGATACAGAAAGACACTTATGGAGAAGGTTTGTTCCCTTCCCCGGGCCTCTCTACCCTGTTCCCCACTCCACCTCCCTTTCACTAATAAAACCAGTTTTATTGGTTTCTTCCATATCTTTCTAGTGTTTCTTTAGGCAATCTTTAGTATATCTTTTCCCCAAACCATTTTTTTGTTGTTGTTGTTCTGGGATTGAACCCAGGAGTGCTTACACACTGAGCCACATCCCCAAACTTTTTAACATTTTTTTAAAAAAGAATTAGAGACAGCATCTCGCTGAGTTGCTTAGGGCCTCATTAAGTGGCTAAGGCTGGCTTTGAACTCATGATTCTCCTGCCTCAGTCTCTGGAGCCACTTGGACCCACACCATCTTCTTAATGCAAAAGATAGCATTATAGTTCACACTGTCCTATATATTCCTCTTTTTGAAATTGAAATATTGTTCATCTACCAATAAAATCATCAAAGTTCACTATTCTTCGGCTTTTAGTATATTCTGCAAGGTTGCAGAACCATCAACACTATCTAATCTCAAAATATGTTCATTATCCTAAATAGAAACAGTGTACAAATTAGCAACTCTACCTTGGCCTTCACCTCTTGTTTGCTCAATAACCTCAAGGTCAGCCTGAGGTGAGGGCTTATGGTTTTTTTAGGTCTTTCTTGGGCATGTGCAAAGTCCTGGGAGCATACAGAGTTCTACTTGGGATGTCGCTTCTGAGATTCCCAGGAACATATTGGAGATTTTCAAAGCTCCTAGGGATATGTCATTCCCTACCTTCTCATTTTTGGCTTTTGGTTTGTCTGTTGTTTGCCCCGACTGGAATCCACCCCATCATGTAACCACAAAGTTAAAACACTTGCCTGTACTTGTTTTTGACCAATGGACTCCAGGGAAAAGTTTTTTTCTGATTGGTCGAGCTCTGAGTCAGGTCAAATACAAATAACCTTGAAAATGAGGTTTTTCCAAAAGAACCACCAGACTGTTCGAATAATGATAATTCTTTGGGAATTAATTTTGGAAAAGGCCCCAGCTCCATTCTGCTTCCTCTCTGGCTTCCAGGAGGCCTGGGAATGAGGGTATGGTTTGACAAGGTGACCATGTCACTGTCAAGTGGGGGCTTGGACTCAGGACGGGGAGAAGGCCACATGGCTTGCCATTCTTGCTGATTTGGCCAGTCCTTGGATGCACACCCCCTGGTTGCTGTAGTGTCTGGTTGGTTTCTGGAGTCTGAGGAAGTTGATTCTCACAATTTCTCTGACTCTTGTTGCTTTTATGAAGCAGAGAGTTTTTGGAAGGTCCTTATTCCCCCATTTTGCTGACTTAATCCTGCTTGTTTGTTTTTTGGATCATCAGAAGGCCTCTAAGGACGTCTCCTGCCCCCCAGCATGACAAAAAGAGCTGAGACTTTGTAGGCAGAAATGGAGCCTCAGGGCTGCGATTTTCACATTGATTCCTGATTCAACTCTCACAGGAACTCTTAGTGCCATATAAGGGGTAACTCTCATTTTACAGGTGAGAAAACTGAGACCTAGAAAGCTTAGGCAGCGTGTCCAAGGTCTGACTTCCAGTGAGCCACGTCCACCTGACTGCAAAGCCAGCCTTTAATCTTGTCCCCTCATTCACCTCCCTGAGCTTCACTGTATTCACCAGCAGTACTTACCGTATCTGTTCCCGCTGTGGACCTCATTGATTCTTTAAACAAGGTTATCTTAAAATGAACACTGGTACGTTTCTTTGACATAAAAATTTCTATTCCTTTATCCATGGAATGTTTTATTTTAACATGAATACAACACAGAAAGGAAGCGTAGGCAGAGAGACACAGGAGGAAATCAGGGTTATCTCACTCAGTTCTGTGTATCTGCTAGGATCTGCGAAAAGCGTTGACCTTCGAACTCCTCTTTCTCTTTATTTAGAAGGGAGTGAATGAGAGTGAGAGAAGCATTGAAGACAGAACAGCAATAAGACGAAAACTTCCTCTTTCCCTTGATGACAGTTATTGGAAGGGAACAAGAGAGGGCGTAACTGTCTCCTGGTATGAGTTGGACTCAGAAATATGACACACCTCCAGGATTATGCAAGGGTATTTAGAGCTGGTAACACTTAATCATAATTTTCCCTAAGGCTTAAAAGCTAACAATTTAAATTTTAGGATCTGCAAAGTTCCGAGGTCGAAATTTCCAAATCAACCCGATAGTCTCAGGTCTCATTGGGGTGGTGGGGGCAGCCTCAGATACCCTCGAGGGGCCCCAGGACAGGATGGGATTCACCTTCTCCAGCTGACTCCACACATCCAGCACGTCATGGGCAAAGTTGAAGTACTCGGGCACCGGCTGCCTCCCCAGACTGATGGCTTCCCATGTGCCCACGATCTTCTGAGGGGCAGGGAGAGGTGACAGGTGCCCATGAGATCCGCAGAATCCCCGGGAGATCTTGAGCACCTGGAGGACCCTGCATCTCAGCCACAGCCTCATGTCGTCTGTAGCCTCTTGCCTGTCACCAAAGAGAGGAGAGAGGTCATCATCTGAATCCTGGGTTGGGGGCTTGGGAGAACCCTGTGGCCAGCCCTGAGGGTGACTGCTGCTCGTACTGGACACAGTGTTGGTCTCCAGGCTCAGTTCAGCTATGTGACATTGGTCATTTTCCTTCTCTGAATCTGAGGCCCACCCCTCCCTCCTCTCTCACCTCTCATTTCTTGTGGGTCTTTGTGGGCCTGAGGTCCTTAACTCCAAGCCCACTTCTCAAAGCCAAGTCTAAAAGGAATCCCTCTCATGTCCTTTATTTTGTTGTTGTAGTAAAAAAAAATCTCAAAATACATTGTTAACTGACACATAGTAATTCAACACATTGGTGGGGTACAGTGTTACGTTTCGATGAATGGATACAACGGGTAGTGATCAGATTAGGGTGACTGGCATAGTCATTACCTAGATCGGCATCATTCCTTTGTGTTGGAGCATTCGCAATCCGCTCTGTTAATTATTCCCTCTAATACCCTTTGACCAATCCTGAACTGGCCTGGCCCAGCCAAAGATAGCTCTCTCTGGCAGCAGAAACAGGTGACATTTATCATAGTGTCTTCTTAAACCAGGTATATGGAAAATATTATCATTTCCATATGGAATCAGTGTGAAAGCGAATGATTAAAGAGATAAGGTGATGCTGTGAATCTGAATTATTCCCCAGGGGCTCCCGTGTTGTGGGCTTGGTTCCCAATGCGGCAATGTTCAAAGGTGGAGCTTTGGGGAGTGATCGATTGTGAGGGCTCTGCCATCAGTGGGGGGTTCACAGCTGAGTGGATTATCAGGAGGTGGTGGAGACTGCAGGAGATGGCACCCGGTTGGAGGAAGGCGGTCCCTGGGGTCATGCCCAAGCAGGGTATATATCTTGTATATCCCAGGCCCTTTCTCTCTTTCTCTCCCTCCATCCTCACTTCCTGGCGGCCATGAGCCGAGCAGCCTTGCCCCCCTGCCATGACGCTCTGCCTTACCCTGGGCCCAGATACCATGGAGCCAGCCAACCATGAACCCAAACCTCTGAAACCATGAGCCCAAATAAATTTTTCCTCCTTAAAGTTGTTTTCCTCAGTTATTCTGTCTCAGCAATGAAAATCTAATGAACAGAGGTATTTTGTCTTTTCTTGTACTAAATCCCTGAAATGCAATATGCATTTCCCCCCTAGCAAGCGCATCCCAATTTGGACAGGCTACACTTTGAGTACCCAAGAGTCACAGGTGGGCAGTGACACGGTACTGCGCAGAGCTGTTTTGGTGTCCTGCTACTGAAAGGATGGCCTCTGGACCAGCTCCACCATCTGGGCACTTGTGAAACTGCAGAGCCTCAGTCTCCACCCCACACCTGTGGAACTGGAACCCGCAGGTCAGCTGGATCCCCAGATGTATTGAGTGCTCGTCAAAGTTGTAGAAGCTGTGGCCTAGGGGCTGTGTCCCCCGTTTCAGTTCTCCCTGCCAAGTTCCTCTTGGTAATAATAACCGAATGTGGCAATAACAACAATTACAATACTTCACAACAACCAGGAAATCCAACCGCACTACCACGCATCGAAGGCTCACTGTGTTCCAAGCACATTGAAAATGCTTTATAAATATTATTTCATTAAAACACTATGATACCTCTATGATGTAAATATCATTTTCTCCATTTTACAGATAAAGAAAAAGAGGCACATAAAGAAAATAAAGAAAAGGCAGAAGTAACTTTTCACCTCACCTCTCAGCCTCCCGGCCTCCCAGCCTCCCAGCCTCCCAGCCTCCCAGCCTCCCAGCCTCCCAGGCTCAGCTGTGGCCACTAATTCTGGGCCTGAGACCCTGGAGATTCTCTCCCTTCCCCTCCTAATGGCTCCTAAATTCTGTCCCAAGCCTGTGTCTTGGCTTTATACCCCTGGATTTCCTAGATTTAATTTTTTTTTTTTTTTTTTTTGTACCAGAGATTGAACCCCAGGGTGCTTAACCACCGAGCCACATCTCCGGCCCTTTTTAATATTTTATTTAGAGACAGGGTCTCCATGAGTTGTTTTAGGACCTCACTAAGCTGCTGAGGCTGGCTCTGGACTCAGCCTCCCGGAGCCGCTGAGATTACAGGCGTGCACCACCGCTCCCGGCTGGATTTCCTATTTCTTCACAGCTGATGATTAGAATCCCCGGCCTCCCTCTGTGGTTTCCCAAGCCATTCCATGGAGGATTTCTCGCCCGGTTACCTTGTTCTTGGACCCAGGAAATGCAGATGGCGCCTGTGTTCTGCTCTTGCTAAAGGGTAGACCTGAGAGCCCTTAGCAATTCCTTTTTCAAGCAAGTTGCTGACTCAAACTCTCGCAGGGAACTTTGGCCCCAGAGGGAGCCAAGAGAGGGCAGGTCCTGGAGGCAGCTGGTCAGGACACTGGGTCCCTGCCAGGCAGCACTCCAAGTTCCCTCCAGCGTGGACGCCTGCCTACTGTTAAATGTTCCCTGAGGACTTAGTTTGCCAACTAATCCAAAAGGACAAGGAGGACATTGTTCTGTTGAAACAGAAAGGACACAGTAGTGGGGTTGACAGGAGCCAGGCCTTGCCCACTTTCTGCTCATGACCCTCCTGTCCACGGGGGAAGTCACCGAGGGGTGGCCCCAGATTAGCAGGGGTTGCACGTGAACACACAGTGGCCGCCGGGGTCACGTGATGCAATTGTTCTCAATCTGGGTGACACAGCAACACAGCTCTATAAATTCACTAAAAATAGTGACGGTGACAGTACCGACTGTACTACACCGAGTAAGCCACCCACAGGCTACCTCATCCCACGTCACTTCCGGCCAGCTTTCCTCTTCTTGTCTTCTTGATCTTTCTGCTCCAGCCACACTGGCCCTGCTGTCCCCTGAGGATCTGGCTGAGGGCTGGGACACCTTCTCTGAGGACAGCAGCAGCCACTGTGGCCCTGACTTGTCAGGTTTCCCAGGACCTGTTGCCGGGAACTCCTGCCAGCCCGGGGTGCACTCCTGTGCCACTGCGGGGCTCGCTGTGTGTGCCCCCGCCCCCCCCCCCTGTCCCCCCCCCCCCCCCCCCCACCCCCGACACCTCCTACCCTGAATTCCCTGCTTGGCTTTTCTCCTTGGCCCTGATGGCTTCCTAATGTTCCATATTTTTTTAAATTTATTCACTTTGTTTTTCCCTCCATGTACACGTGCTAGGGTGTGAGCTCCATGAGGACATATATTTTGGGTCCTTGGCACTACCATGTCCCCAGCACTTAGAACAGCACCTGCCATAATGGGAGAGTTCAATAAATATTTGTCAGGTCCAATGAAGAGGGGTTGATATTTACTCATGGTTCTCTATCTGAAATGCGTCGTGCGGAGACATTCTGTGCGTAACAATTGAGAACTGAGCCCACATCCCCTGATGGAAGAGGAGCCCTGGGCGTCCTGTACAGAGGACGCGGGTGTTTAGCCCTTTCTGTAATCACGTCCCCCCCACCCCGGGGGCTCTGTCTTCCTGCTGGTTGGGTCAGAGTGACCTATTTCCAGGTGAGCAGCTCCTCTCTTGGCAGGCTTGGCCACCGTGTCCTCTACTAAGTCCCGGGTGACACCCTTATCTCTGAATTTCCAGCCATATCTAGATTTACAGTCTCCGCTCTGGAGTGGATGGATGGATTGGATGTTCTTCAAGCAATCGGATCTCAGTGTCACCACTGTCCACCGACACTCGATGGCAGGAGCACGGCAGAGGCCAAAGCCTGCAAATTGTGACCACAACAATGACAATGTCAGTAATAGTAACAGCCTTTCACTGATTCACTCAACAAACATTTATCTGCCACCTGTAACTTGGTAGGCAACGGGAATGACCTGGAACTTAGAAAGTGATGGATACCATGAAGGAAATTTGGAAAGAGGACAGGGAGTCCCTGAGAGCTGGGACTAAACGCTACACTGTCCCCACTAAATTCAGGGTCCATCTAAGCCACCCCCAGCAGCCAATGCAAGTTTTGTTTCTGGCGCCCACGTGGACTCTGACCCCGGGGGTCCGTGGGCAAGGCCTCTCAGCAGGGACTGCGGGGTAGGGGGTCCCTGTGACTCAACAATGGGCCGCTCTTCTCCAGGGTTACCCTGGGCCTCTAGAACCCCAGAGCTTAGAACCCGCTGCCGAGGCTGCCCTGGCCCCAGTGTGCTCAGGGAGGCCTGCGTTTCTGCCCCTGGATTTCCTGCTCCAAACTCGAGGGGAAGCCAGGAGCCGGCTCTGAAGGCCACCACCTCCCAGAGGACCATGGGGTTTGCAGCCCCGGCTCAGCTTGGCCCCAGCAGCCCTGAGAGAATCACAGCTTCCCTCAGGTATGAGCCACGGTGGTGAAAATGGCAAACGGAGGCAGGGCCTCCCACGGCAGCCTCCCCTCTGCCAAGGTCATCAATTCAAGATGGCTACACAGTCGGGTCAATTAGGGGGCTTAAAAAAAAAAAGACACCCAGACAAACCCCACCCCAGACCTGTTAAACTAGAAGCTGCTGGTTTGGGGTAAAACTCCCCAAGAGATTCTAATGTGCAGTCCTAGGTGAGAACCAAGGAAATGGGTCATGGGGTGTGTTGCAAGAATTAAATTAGGTGATTCACTCATTCATTCATTCAACAAACGTCCATTGAGCTTTCAAATCGGCTTCAGGAACTCAGCTAGGAGATGCAGGAGCAGCTATGAATAATTGCATTTAAGTTAAATTAAAAAAAAAATAAGGTGAACTCAGTCAATAACACAAAACAGGAAGCGATCACTTGTGATACAGCAGAACATGCTAGAAGCAGGGGTGGGTGAGACCCAGTGGCCGGGAGGACCCCTCCGCTGAGCTGGTATTTCACCTGGGACCTGAAGGATCAGGAAAGGCTAAAGATGTGGAATGAGGATGTTGTAGACAGAGGCGAAGGTCCATGGGCAGGGAGGGGAGGAGACCCGGTGCCACAGCCAGTGAGGGGACAGTGCTGAGCCACATGAGGTCACCTGGGGACAGTCCAGAGCCCCGTGGGCCTGACAGGCTGCAAGACAGGGCTTGGGCGGTGTGTGCTGGCAAGGCCTGCAGCCTGTTAGTGAGCACAGAACTGATCTAATCCGTTTAAAGTGGGAATCTCTAATGGCTGCGCAGGGGGAGGGTAAGGGGAAGACGGAGAGTCGAAGCAAAGAGACCAGCAGGGGGACAGCTGCACCATCCAGACAGGACAAGACATGATGGTGGCCGGGGACATGGGGGTTTCTGTGGAGTGCCGAGGGACAGGATGGAGTTTGGGCTCGGCACTCTGTCTGCCTGGCAACTGGCCACTTAATGAGCTATTCTCATTAAGAGTGGCGCACGCCTGTCATCCCAGTGGCTGGGGAGGCTGAGGCAGGAGGATCGCGAGTTCAAAGCCAGCCTCAGCAACAGTGAGGCGCTAAGCAGCTCAGTGAGACCCTGTCTCTAAATAAAATACAGAATAGGGCTGGGGATGTGGCTCGGTGGTCGAGAGCCCCTGAGTTCAATCCCTGGTAGCCTGCCCCCCAAAATAGTTTCCCCTCATGCCATTTCCCTTATTGGGAGGTGACATTGGAGCCGAGCTTGGGGTTTGTACAGCTAGGCAGTGCCTAGGGAGAAGGGGTCACAGAGGGACCACGGGGATGCCAGGCTCAGGAGCAGGTGCAGGGGAATAGGGTCCACAGCCCTGAGAACAAAGGGGCAGGCACAGAGGTGACAGAGGGTACACCGGAGGACCAAACCGGAATAGGGTCCAGGGTGTGAGGGGACCTCTGAGATGATACAGGGCTAAGCCTGGGCTTGGGAGGGTCTCGAGAGGGAGAGCAAGAGGGGCGAGGAGAGAGGAAGTGAAGGAGTCCCCCTGTCCCACTCCTGGGAATGCAAATAGGTCACGTCTTTGCTTCAGCCAGAGGACACCTTGTGCACGACGCTTTCCATGGTCCCCACGTTGAAAATGTCGGGGTCCCCTTTCCCCACAGCTTAACACAGCCCCTTATCTACACCCCCTCCGCCCTTACCAGGGTCCGATACACCGTCTCTCTACCCGTTCATCTCCCGCGCCGCGGACCAGGGCTAGAAGGTCTGTTTGGCTCACTGTGGTGTCCCCTGTCCCCTAGACAGGCATCACGATCTCCAAAACATTTGGTGAAGCAACAAACAAATGAATGAGTACGTGAGGCAGAGGGAGGTGCCCAAGGTAGCAGGAAACCTGGCACCTTCCCCGGGAAGGGGCAGAATCCCCAGGGAACTGTCAGCAGCCCTTGAGGGGAGAGTGTGAGGGTGAGCCCCCCCCACCCCCGTCCCCTACTCCTGCTCAGATGCTCAGCCACCCCCTGAGCTGAGCTGGCTCTGCAGCCACCCTCAGGTCACCAACTCAAGCTCCTCTTTCCTCCAGAGAGTGTCCTTCAGACCCCTCAGAGAGGCTGTCACAACCCCTTGGCACTTTTCCAAATGGCCCCCTCCAGCCGGGCCAGGCTTCTGGGTTCCAAGGAATAAGGAGGGGGATGGTCAGTGTCAGGCCTGGGAAACTTCTAGGTGGTTTACTCAACTAAGGAAGCATCATTCTATCCATTTTCTGCAGAATGGAAGATGAACGCCGACACTCTAGTGCCTCGGTGGGCTCCTGCCTCCGTGTAGGCAAAGACGGGGGGAGGGCACTTCTCCAGAAAGCGACAGGCTCAATGAACAAACAAGCCAGGAAGTAAATTAGTTCTAAAAACCAAAGACCTGCCAGGGCTCATAAGTGGCATGCCGCCTGGTGGGTCCTGGGGCATTGCAGATCACGGGTGACCCTCCGACCTGGTCAGCAGTACTGAGCCTTTTGGCTGAGACATGGGACTTGAATCCTGGGCACCACTCAGTATTCCAGAAAACCAGGCTGCCCACCTGCCCTTCTCCCTCACCTCGGCTCTCTGTCTTGGTTGATTTCCTTGGATCCTGTGGCTGGCAAACTAAAGCACGGTGCCACAGAATTACCCAGAAGAGGCTTTAGAGATGTGATCATCGGTGACAGTACATGGATCTCATTTGGATCCAAATTCAAACAAAGTTTTATAAAGCGATCAGGGTAATTTGCATACTGATGGGATAGTTGATGATATGAAGATGTGATATTTTGTGAAGTCCGATCATGGTATCCTGGTCATGTGATCTTTAAAAAAAAAAAAACCCTTATCATGTAGGGATTCTTAGTGACATATTTATGGGTGAAATGTACAGTGCCTGAGACTGGCTTCTAAATAATCTAGGGCAGAGTGTTGACGGGGCTATAATTGATATGATGGATTGAGGCAGTAGCTGAAGTTGAAGGATGGGTACCTTGGGGACAGAGCGTACCATTCTCTCTATTTTTGTGTGGGTTCCAAATCTCCCAAGTAAAAACTGAAACAAAATGGCAAACACAGAATCATCTTGGGAAACTTTGAAATGTCTAGGTATTTGCGGTCTTATCCTGAGCAATTCTGAATGCAGTTGATCTTGGGTGAGATGAAGCAGCTAAAATCCCCCAGGGGATTTTAATATATTACCAGAGTTAAAAAACGAGAACTAAGCACCCCAAATACATGTAGTCTGATTCCATTTATGCTTAAAAAATGTGCATTCAAAGTGTGTCCAAATAGGTATTTTCAATGTCTGTCAAGATTCACTCCAAGTTACCTACAGCTTTCCCAGTGGTGGAATTATGAAAGAGATATCTTTTTTTTTGGGGGGGGGGTCCCAGGGATTGTATTCAGGGGCACTCGACCACTGCACCACGTCCCCAGCCCTATTTTGCATTTTATTTAGAAACAGGGTCTCACTGAGTTGCTTAGCACCTCACTTTCGCTGAGCCTGGCTTTGAACTGGCGATCCTCCTGCCTCAGCCTCCCGAGCTGCTGGGATTACAGGTGTGCACCCCTGCGCCTGACATGGAAGAGATTTTTATTTTCCACTTGACATATTATTGTGTTGTTTGGAACATTTACAAGTGTGAACTTTGAAAACAAAATACTTACACTTGAGAATATTTCAAAAACCAAATGGAGGTTTCCTGCAAGGTAAACCGTCACAGGGGCATCCAAGCAGGAGCCGGAGGAGCAGGATGCGTGGGGCGTGGTTGGCAGAGAGGATGCTGGGAGGCGGTTTGGGGATTGAGCCAGTCATCTCTGAGGTCCTGGGGCTCTGGAATGGGCACCATCTCTGCAGAGTTTTCACCTGGTGGCCGGGAGGCTTGTGGGTTCCAGTGGCTGCTCTGACTGGCGCCCAGCGGCTCTGAGCTTCCCCGTGCTGTCCCCCACCCCGGGACTGGAGTTATCCTAATACCTGGCCTTTGTCCAGGGCTGCTGCCAAGCTGTGGCCTTGCTGGAAGGCAGGCGCCTGCTCAGGGCCCATTTCCCCTGGGCGGAGGGGGGGCAGGAGTGGGGACCGGCCTCCTGTGTGGACCAGGGCTCTCTCCCTCTCTCCCTGCAGGACGGCCCTGGGGCTCCTCTACCTGCTGCTGCTGGCCTCTTGTGCATCCCCTGGCCACAGCCTGTCAGAGGAGTACACCAGCGTCTCCAGGTTCAACTTCTCCCCACCCCTGCGCATCCCAGAGGAGCACAACCTGCTTGTCCTGAGCACCATGAGCCTGCCCGTGATGCTGAACCAGACCCGCTTCCTCTTGGTGCTCTTCCGTGAGTCCCCCCCCCCCCCCCCAGGGTGATGGGAGATGAGAGGGTGGTGCCTGCCTGCCTGCTTCTGGGCGTGGGCAAGGGGCAGAGTTTTATATACCACAAAATGCCTACGGACACACAATTTATGTCTTCCAAAAGTTACCTGGGTGCATCATGCCCAATTTCCAGATGTGGACACTGAGGTCCAGGCGGATTAAGCAAATCACCAGATACCATGCTGACACTTCAGTCGGGGTTTATATGGGACTCCCGTGTCCCACCCAAGGCAAGGAGCCAGGTTTCGCCTGCAGATGCCTTTACTGTCTCCTGAGCCTCAGTTTCCTCCTCTGTGAAGTTGGCATGAATGTCATGACCTCGCTGGATGACTGGGAGGAGTGAATCAGAAGGGTTAAATTCCAGAACCCATCCAGAGAGAACTAACCACTGTAGTTGTGCCCAGGCTCTCGAGAAAGGGTTCCCCGGCCTTCACCTCTGCCGTCCGAGCTGGGCACACACGTCTCTGCTCTTTGGACTGTTTTCTTCCCCTCAGCAGACATTTCAGGGGACAGAATGGGCACCGGGCTGCACCTGGGGACAGAGTGTGAGGGATTTTCATAACAGTTTTCACAGCGTGAGGGGTCACTGCATGCAGCCGGGTCCTAAGCCCCTCATGAAATGTGAAGTCATTTGATGCTTGCGGTCCAGGGTCAGGGGTGCTATCCCCCACTTTTTTAATAAAAATATTTTTTATTAGTTCTAATCAGTTATCCAGGACAGTAGAAAGCTCTTCGATTCATCGTACACAAATGGAGCAGAATTTTTCGCTTCCCTGGTTGTTCATGCAATCGTACATCTAATGATGTCCGCCGTCTCATTCCACCATCTTTCCTATCCCCAGGCCCCCCTCTTCTCCCCTCTCCTTTGCCCCATCCAAAGTTCCTCCACTCATCCCATGCCCCTCCCATTAGGGATTAGCATCCACTTATCAGAGAAAACATGTTTTTTGGGGAGGATTGGCTTATTTTGCCTATCATGATGTTCTCCAACTCCATCCATTTACCTGCAAATGCATGATTTTATTCTCTTTTACTGTTGAGTAATATTCCATTGTGTATATACACAACAGTTTCTTGATCCACTCATCTATTGAAGGGCATCTAAGTTGCTTCCATAGTTTAGCAATTGTGAATGGTCCTACTATAAACATTGAAGTGGATGTGCCACTGAACATCAAGATGCCTATAGGATTCACCTAATTTTTTTTAATAGCTGAGGACACAGATGCTCAGAGAGTCCAAGTGATTTACCCAAGGTCACACAGTTCAAATGGGGACTGTAGAATCCATGGTATACCATTTTCCGCATGGAAGGATCTGGAGAATACAGAAAGGAGGTGTGAACACGGAGTCAGCCTCTGTCCTGCCTTCAGAGCTGCTTCTGGAAATGGCTGGCTCTGTGTCAGCCCTCAGGGTGTGCTCCCAGGGCTTGCCAGGCCTGACCAGCACCCAGGCTCCCTGGATGAGCAGGACTTGGCTGCGACACAACCAACAACCTAACAACCTCTGACTCCCGGGTTTCCTGAGGCTGGGTTGAGAGAGTGTGCTGGCCCAGCGGGAGGGAGCTTGAGATGCTGGCTTCTGTTGTCAGGACCACTGTAGTTTCCCTGTCTGGACAAGGTTAGCCACTCCTCCTCTGCAGGTAGCTGTGGTGCCAAAGCGGGTGAGTCTGCCGTCACTCGCCCCAAGTGGCACTCAAAGCAGGTGCAGTGATTGATTGTGCTGTTCTTCACCCTGACACTCAGGCCTGCTCAGTGCCAGGCTCTAGGGATGGTCTTTGCAAGGGCCCAGAGATAAAAGCTCTTGGTTTCTGCTGTCAAGGACTTTCCTGTTTAAGCCAGGAATGTTGCAGGGCACAGACTTTTTAATGCACGTCATTAACTAGTCCAAACCGTACTCTTTGGTGCCCCAGGGTGGAGAAGCACTGGTTAGGCTTGTGGTCAGGTGGCCTCCCAGCCTCAGCAGCTGAGCAGCCTTCTCTGGCTTGGATCCTGCTCCCTGTTGTGCAGAGGATTCCTGAGCTAAAGCAAAGGCATCTTGAAACTTGGGGTTTGCTTTGACATAAGAGAAATCCTGTTTGGCTTCCCAGTGAGGCCCCAGGACAGTCTTTGGTGGGAACAGGGCAGCAGGCCTCACACGGTCACCCACACAGCACTTGAGTTTATGATCCCTGTTAGAAATTCTGGTCTTCCAAAGCTCCTTCCTCTTTCCTTGTCTCTTATTTGATGCATTGTCTCTGAGCGATGTCACTCCTAGGAGGAGTAGGGGGACGTGACAGTTATCAATAGCTCAGTTTTCTTGAGTCCCAGGTCTTCCCCAGCAGCCACTTCAAGGCAACACGAGTCCTGTTCTCTTTGTGTTCTTAAGACTAACAGTTCCCGGAAGGAATGTTTGATGGACTCATGTTTGCCTCCACCCAATAGGGAGCATGCGCTTTGTATCAATCCCTTTAAATAGTTCTAAGCCTTGGACATCCCTCCACCTCAGGCTGTTAGTGGTTGTCTTCAACATAAGAGCAAGATGCATGCCTGATCTTACTTCAAACCTACTGAGCAAAACCTGGAAGGAGAGGTTCAGTCTGGGCCTCTGCCTTTAGACAGGAGAGCAGGCACTTCCACTTTGCCGGATGGCTCCTCCATCCAGTTCTGCCCATCCCTCATCCACACCAGGACTTGGGCCATAGCTCTTGTTGCTTCTGAGAAGAGTCAAGAACCCTGCAGCTCCAATATGCATGCTGTGGAATTGTAATTTGTTTGCACAGCTCAAATATCCAAACCATCTTCTCCTTTTGGCTGGGGCCCTAATCTCTGAGTTCTGAACCCTCAACGTGAGTGTAGACAGGTGTAGAGCCAGCCCAGCATGCACCTCGACACACATTTACCCTTTGAAAAATGGAGCCGCAGGTGGTCAGGCTTGGGGAACCTGTTCTGTCCCCAGGAGAATGCACAGCTCTCTCTGTCCAGTGCCGCTTCTATTTTAATCGGGGCAATATGTCCTGTTCTTGGTTCTTTGGGTCTTTTAACTCAGGGACTGACAGTGAATCTGGGGCTACAGAGCAGCCAGTCAATTTTGCGTTCTTTAACTGCACTGGATCACAACCAATTTGAATATTTTCAATACTTCCCCTCAGAGGGCATTTCTTAGCAGGGTTCCACACCAGCAGAGGTCTGGTTATCCAAGAGACACTCAATTACCCTCATTACATCTGAATCCTTGATTCCTGCCAATACTCAATTTAGTTCAAAATGAGTTCTCCAAAACTGGCTGGCCTTCTAAAGTGACCTTTGGAAAAATTAATCACTCAGGGGAAAGCATTCTAAAAGCCTTTTCCCCCCATGGTTAAACCGGCTCTTTATAAAGAGTGTGTTTTAGACATCGGCCTCGGGGACTTTCCTAACATCTCTCACATCCTTAACTGAAGTCCAGCTTCTCTCTTCTCATCTCTGAGGACCAGTCCCCAGGAGTGTGGGAGACCTCAGCGCCTTGGATCTGATCCCAGCCACCTGTCTCTTCCCACATCCTGCGTCCCCCCAACAGGACGGCAATACAACCGTTGTCAGAGTCAAAATCCTCAAGGTTGCTCTCGATTCCCCTCTATTCTCCCATCCAATACACCAACATGCCCTGTGTCCTGTGGTGTCCCCCACCGTCTCCAGTTCTCCCCACCCCTCCACCTGCCCCAGTCCCACCCGTGGTCAGCAGAATGTTCGCCCTGGCCAGGCCCCTGGCCTCTGTGTTCACAGTCCTCCCCGCCTCTAGCCTCCTTTCTGAACCTCCTCACCGGGACTGTGAGACCCAGCTCCTGGACAAGAGGCTATTTTCACATCTGCTCCCTTGTAGATGGGAGGAGGTCGCCCCACTCCATCACGCAAGTGACTTGCCCTCCTCTTGGCACAGGCTGTGCAGGATCAAAGCTGCTTTTCAACTTGGCGCTCCCCGGGAGCCCCCGCTGACTTGTATCTGGAGAGCTAGCACCCGGCCCTGTGCTTGGGACATGGCAGGTCTCCACAGGTGTGGAGTGAATAAATAAATGAATGATTGGGTGCATAAGATGATATATCCTTTGGCCCAGATTTTTCCTCCATGAAAGTTCCTTTGAATGAGTTCAGGAGAAAAGGAAAGGCCCCCTGCACTGGGAGTGGCTCAGAGAAGCCTTAGGAGTGGACACTGGGTCACTGGGGGTCGTTCACTCCTTGCCCCTGTGACAGAAGGGGCAAGAGTCTGTTCTGGGAACGCACGGGATGGTGACGGTGGTCAGGATGACGAATGTGAAGACGGTGGTGACGGTTCGGTAATGCTGATAGTCATGGCGGTGACAATGACGATAACGACGACGTGTAGGGATGACAGTGGCATCTCTTTATCAAGCACCTGTGCTCGGGCACTGCACTTGGCACCATAGTCCCCATCTTACACACGAGGCAAAGAAGTCTCACCAAGGTCAGACCAATTATTTACCCAAAGTCCTACAAGTGGCAGACAGGGAAGCCGGGGCTTCAGGCAGGTCTGATACCCAGACTGGTGGCCGCCCGTCCCGCAGCACGGTGCTGAGCCTGCAAACACTCAGTACTTATTTACTCATTCATCACACATCTGTTTACTACTCATTAGGTCCCAGATATGTTCTAGGCAGTGAGGATATAAAGGTGAATGAACCGGGTGAATATCATGGCCCTCCTGGAATTCATCACCCTGGAGAGGGGAGACAAAGAGACAAATAGGCAAAATATAAGGTGTATCATATGGTTAAAAATACTATGAAGAAAACCGTGGATAGCACAAAGGGTAGATGGAGGCTGTAATTTTAAACAGAGCAGCCAAGGAAGGCTTTCCTGTGAGGAAGCAACCCATGAAGACATCTGAGATTTCAGGCAGAGGGAACAACATGTGCAAAGGCCCTGGGGTGGTGAGCGTACCAGTATGGCTAAAGCTGTATGCTGAAAACCAGAGTAGGAGAAAATGAGGTCAGATGGATGAAGTCACATCCTGACCTTATAGGCCATGGGGATGGTCAGAACAATTTGTTGGCTGGGTCCGGAAGAACTGCAAGGTTAGGATGACCATGCTGAAGTCCAGATAGACGGTGAGCTCTGCTGACTAGTAGCCCTAGAGTGTGGTGAGGGTGATGCTCTGAATGTTTTTCCATTATTTGATCTGAAGTTTAATCAAAAGCCGGGTTTCTCATCCTCAGTCCTATTGATATTTTAGCTGGATGAGTCTTTGTTTGGGGATGGCTCTGTACATTGTTGAAGGTTGAGCAGCATTTCTGGCCTCTGCTCACCAGAAGGCCAGGGCATCCCTTCTCCAACTGGGACCACCAAAAGCATCTTCAGATGTCACCAATGTCCTCCATTGAGGACCACCAGGCTAACACAAGGCAGGCTCCAGCACCCTGTGCTGGGACCTCATCTCCATCGGCCACCCTCACACCCGCCCATTAGCTACTCCCTGCATCACGCTGACTGCTCAGAAAAGGGAACCTGGGGCCATCTACTGAAATCCCAGGCCCCTCAGCCCCAGCACACCCACGTCCCAGGCACGCCGTCAGGGAGCCGCTGCCCAGTCTAAGAGCATCCCAGGACCATTTGCTTATTCTGAAACTGCATGAGAGCCACGTCATTAGATGGGAGGTTTGGCCTGGTTTTGTTTCTCTCCAGGAGCCTCACCACTTACTGGAGATACGGTCTCCAAAGGACCCTCCCTTCCCAGAGAGCACCTGCTCGGAGCAAGGCCAAAGGCTCTCCACCTCTGTCATCACAACGGCTGATGCTTATTGAGCATTCTGGGGCCAGATTGGCACCAAAGCTTTGCCCCTAAAGCAGATGCAGGGTCCGTTAGGATCCCCAGGACCTGAGGGAGGTGGCTCTGTGGGGAGCTCAGCCTGCGTCACTGGGGCCTGCGTCACTGCTGTGCCCCAGAGACTCCCTGAACTGTCTCCCCACCCTGACCAACTGGCACTTCCAGGGGGCCGGGGCAGGAAGTAGGCAGAGACACCTGAGGGATGGCATCCGTTTCACCTTTAAGAATCTGGAATTCAAGATTCCAGAGCCCCAGAGGTGAAACCAGCAGCAAACTCTAAAAAGAGGGACGCTAGGAAGCAGGACCACAAATCACAGAACGGGCTTGTCGCTGCAGGATCTCTCCGCTCCCGTGGGCCCTCCTGGAGCAGGGAACTGGGAGCTGCACCCCATCGTTCTGTTCTAAGAAAAATGGACATTTTTTGGACAAAGTGCCTGATTTGGTAGTTGGAGCATGGCTCTAGGAGTGCGTCAGCCTAACCACTTACTAGCTGCAAGATCTCGGCCCTTCCATTTCCTTGCCTGTGATGATAGATGATCACTCTCAGGGTTGTCTGCAGATAAACTAAGACAATAAGTGCATGGAACGCTTAGCAAAGTGCTTGCCATATTAATGACCAATGAATGTTATTGTTCTTATTATTTTGTTATCATCATCATCACCCACCACCACCACCACCACCATCACCATTGTCACCATTACCACCACCACCACTACCATCACCACCATCACCATCACCATCACCACCACCACCATCGCCACCACCATGTACCATCACCACCATCATCGCCACCACCATGTACCACCACCACCATCACCATTACCACCATCACCACCACCACCACCACCATTACCATCACCACAACCACCACCATCACAACCACCACCACCATGTACCACCACACCACCATGTACCACCACCACCATCACCACCACCATCATTATCACCACTACCATCACCATCACCACCATCACCATCATTATCACCATCATCACCATCACCCCACCACTCACCATCATCATCACCACCACCACCATCACCATTACCACTATGATCAGCATCCCATTTTTCAGTTGCTCAGATCAATAAATGAGAGTCATCCTTGATTCCTCTTTTGCTCACACTCCACATCCAATCGAGTAACAAATCCATACAATATCTCCAAAATCTCTCTACACTTAGATCACTTTCACCCTCCCCTAAACCAAGCTATTGCCATCTCTCACCCAGATGAGTATAGTGGCATCTAAGTGGTTTCTCTGGATCTACTTTTCCCCCCGCTTTTTGGTCTAATTTTTTGCCTGACATTGTGAGACCTCAGTTAAAAAATAACTCAGGTCGCATCTAACTCTTCTGCCAACCCTGGAATCATTCCATATTCCTTAGAGGAAAGGTCAAAGCATCATTCCTATCCACCCCTTCCCCTGGATCACTCTGTTCCAGACCCTGTGGACCCCTTGTCATTCCTCACACATGCCATACACGATGCCCCCGTGCCTTTGCCCAAGGTACTCTTCTTCCAGATATCCATGTGGCTTGTTCTCTCATCATCTTTGGTCTTTATCAAAATATTGCTTCTTAGCCATCCTTCTTCAATCTTTCTACTTAAACTCATAATTTCCCTGACACTCCCAATCTCCAAATTTGCTTCTTAGTTCTCCATCATATTTATCATCTCATACAGCCCATATTTTATTTATTTTCTACTTTCTTCAATTCCTATAATGGCACCTGACACATGGCATTGCCTAAAAAGAACTTGTTGAATGAATGACTGGCTGAATGAATGGGTGGAATGAATCCCGTGAGCATTACTGTTAGGTCCCGTCCTGTTAGCTCTTAGATGGTGGAGTTCCAGTTGTAACAGTTTCTCTTAGCTTCACTGGACTGTGAGTGGACTCTCTAAAAGCTTCACCATTTGGACAATCGAGTCTTTCTCTTGCCCTAAGTGTCTGTGCTTAGAATTGAGATTTCCATGTGATGTCAATCAGCAACTCGAAGCCCAGCATGGCCAAATCCACAAGGAAACCAGGAGGGACCCACAGAGCCCAGAGGCCACAGGCAGCCCCCGTGGGGGCGATGGATGGGGTGTCCAGGCCACGGTGGTGATAAAGCTGGCAGAGGCCAGCATCCATCTACAAGAGAGGCAAACCCCCTCTGCCCCTGGCCATTGATTGGGGGTTTAATGAAAGTGAGGGTTCATTTCCGGCTCCACTACAGGAGCAGGTGTGCTATTGGAAATGGGGTGAGTGCCAGCTGTCCCCGGGCCCAGCTTCTGACTATGCTTTACGAAAGACCTCCCTGTTGGACTTGGGCTTTCCCCAGCAGAGAGGTGATCTCCACTTTCTCCAAGTGCTCTAGATGGACAGAGGGCTGGGAAGAGTGTTCTGGCTTGGAAGGGAATCAGTGGCCCTCCGTCCTGGCCTGGCCCACCTGCCTTACTCTCAGACCTGGGGAGGTGAGGGACTGTCACTATGCCATCATGAGGAAGAAAGGCAGACTGGGGTGCCACTTAGTGCCCTCCCATGTAGGCCAGAGAGGCTTCTCCCAAGGTCAAGGTCACATGCCACTCTGAGAGTCTGTTTTCAGAAAAGGGCTCCCAGCACTGCCCAGCACTGTGATCTGCCAAGGAATCCAGAGCACAATACACCCCACCTTCACCTGCACCCCAACACACCCTATCCCCCTGGCTGTCTCTAATTGAGGTTTTCCTGCCACATTACATGAGGCTCCAGGGCATGGGAGGGATTCACTGCTACCTCTAGAACATTCCACCAGGGGGCGCTCACGAGGTCTCCCTTTTCTCTCTCTCCTTTTTTCTGCCTCCAAATTTCTGACCACATGAATTTTACAACTGTAATAACCGTAGTAATAATGCGCTGTGAACTTACCTTGGGCCAGGTAAGTTCACCTGTGTAGTGGAGGTCAGAGAACAGGAACTCTGCCACCAGACCAGTGGGGTCATGGGGTCATGAGGACGATGATGATATTAATAATAATAATAATAATAATAAGGACCACACAGGTTTATTGGGAGGAATAAATGACTTTACACATGTAAAGTTCTAGCCTATAATAAGAACTACCCCACAGGTTGCTTGTTAAATCTCACTGGACTCTCACAAGGCCATGAGGTAGCCCCTATTATTTTTCCCATCTTACACTAAGGCGGAACTTAGAGTAAGCTGCCCGAAGTTGTATTTCTCGTGTTACTGGACCCAAAGAACCCTGAGGTACCCCTCCCAAGGAGTCCCATTTCATAACCCATCGTGTCCACATCCTGTCACATTTCGGAAATTTACTCCTCAGCAGTGAGCCCCCAGGAGCTAATAGCCTTGGGAGATGGGGTGGGTACGGAGGCTCTCACTAGCTCTGTCTTCCTGTTGGCTGTTTCAGACAACCCATCCTCAAAGCAATCCAGGAACCTGGCTGAGGAGCTGGGAGAAGCTGTGGAGATCATGGGCAAGGGCAAGAATGGTCTTGGCTTTGGCAAAGTAGACATCACGGTGGAGAAGGAGCTTCAACAGGAGTTTGGCGTGAAGAAGGCCCCGGAGTTGAAGCTATTCTTTGAGGGCAATAGGTCCGAGCCCATCAGCTGCAAAGGTAACGTGTTCAAGGGTCAAGTCGACTGTGTGCTCTCACAAAAAGCCTACTTGGTAACCGAGGCTGTGAGTGGGAGGTGCTGATCCACGTGGTCTCTCAGGGACCCAGTGTGGCGGTGGGCAAAGGTGCGACTTAAGCAGTCGAGGGGGAGAAATAAAGAATGTCCACGTGATTCTGCCCTTTTTAATGCTTTATTCACTCAATACAACTCTGTAGGTTCTTAATCATGACAATCCTTAATGGTGGGCATTGTGATAGACATAATCAATTTACTGCAAACACACTTAATCATGACAGGCTCATGACAGACATCCCCCTGCATGCTAAGCTCCAGTGGCAGTCTAAAGTCTCAAGCCTTGGGCTCTAAGTCCAGCAGACACACACTCAGACCGCAGTGATCAGGTCAGGGACCGAGGCCATCAGGTCAGGGATTGAGGTAGGCTTCTCCTGGGGTGGAGCTGACGGCCGGTTGAGCAGAGGGTCCTAGGGAGAAGTTGCAGATCTCACCAGGGTCAAGATGCAGCTATAGAGTTTGAGAGCCGTGAGGATCATACAGAGGATCAGGCAAACGAGGAGAAGAGTTGGGATGTCAGTCCAGGGTCCTCATCAGGTTCCCCGGCAGGTGGGCATCAGTGTCGGCTGGCTGAATGTCTGTTCCTTTTCTCCATCATTTATACTAAATTTTGGGGTTTCTGACCACCCCTTTCAATCCCTAGCAGCTGCTACCAGATTTCTCAATAACGTCATTGGTCCTGAGGTTAAAGCACCTGCTCTGGTGGTCCCCACCTGATTTTCCCACCTCTTGCCTGTATCAGGGTGAGGGCAACATGACAGAGACTTCACTCAGAGTTGGCCAGGGTTGTGAGAAGTGACCTGTTTATGTCAGGCTATGCCTGATGACCCTGTTGGAGGACTCCGTAGGCGTGCCTGGTGGGACTGCAGGTTCAAACTGGAGTTTTAAAATGGAGTTGCTTAGGCTAAGGTCGAAGGCCATTCTTACACCTAGGGTCTGACTCCCCCTTCCTTTAGGATCTTGGCACCACCTGTTTCCCCCCAAGATCCAGCCAGCAGCTGGGTGAGGAGCCATGGGTGAGGATCAAGGCCTGGAACTGGCAAACATCCCTTCTCTTCACAGTCCCTTGACCAGAATTCTGTTCCATGGCCCCCAGCAACTACAAGAAAGTCTGAGAAATGTGGTTTAGCCCCTAAAGGACATACAGTTGTCTCTACCACAGCCTACACCTCAGCTGATGGGCCCCGGAAGCCCCAAGAGGTGGAGGGTGGGTATGGGACTAATAAACACCAGGCCAGAGATCAAACTCCTACTTATACTTCTTGCCCCCTGTCTTTGACTTTGGAATGATTTTGAAAAGGTCCCAGGCCAGGAAAGCACTCAGTAGCCAGCCGAAAGGGAGACTGAGAGATAATGACAGCAAGACAGGTTTGGGATGGAATTCTACTGAATACTTTAACTTAAACTCATTCATTTATTCAACGTGCATTTATTGACAGCCTTCCATGTGTCAAGCCTGACCTTGGCGGTGAGGATTTCTGGAGAATTATGAGTCTTGGGGTGGTACATGGTAGATCCTAATTTATATGTATGGATGCGTAAACATCTGTAAAAGGAATGGGTGGGTAAATGCTACAAAAGCAACGAACGCGGAGAGCCCAGCACAGCCTCTACTGTTGAATGACTGACACTTAGGAAACTGAGCAGGCAGCTTCCAATAAACCTGATAGAATTGTTGCAAGAATGGGGTGGGGGGTTGGGGAGGGCCAGCTTCCTGCCGGGGCTGGAGGGTGCTTTGCAGTTCTCAGGATGGACACAAGGGGGCATGAGGGACACAGGACACTCATGGAGGAAGGTGCTGCCCAAAGAGAACCTCAGCGCTGTGTGTTACATAAGGGCTCCTGATGGGCTGTGGCACCCAGCGGGTGTGCAGGAGGGTGGTGCTTGTATGGGGTGAGGAGAGATGAGGAGTCTCTGTCACTTTTCTGTCCCTGCCAGCAGCGTGAGAAGTGACAAAGAGGGCTGTTTCCTAAGACACTGAGTAAGGACCCTCGATATGGGGACCTGTGACTCCAGTAAGCAGCCCTCGGTGGTGAGTTGGTTTTGGGGTTGGCTGTAGAGACACGAGGAGCCCCCGTTACTTTGCCCAGGTCCACGTCTGCTCCCAGAGTGGCTCAGGTTCTGGCATATCCTCCCTCCTGGTAAGGGTGAGCTAACTCCATGGGAGGCCATCAGGTGGCCATGGACAACTCCCAGGCTGTGTGTGAGGGGGTCAGAGACGATCCCAAGGCCTTCTGGCCCCTCTGTGGTGGGAGCCAGTGCCTGGGGCCTCCTCTGCCACGCACCAAGCCTCATCCTCACCTCCCCAGAAAGCCTGCCCTGACACTCGGGTCAGGATGCTCCACTCCTGTGGTCCTCAACACTCGTGTCCTCCACCGTCAGAGCCCTGGCCCCACAGGGTTGGAGCTGCCTCTCCGTCTGCTGAGAGCGCCAGGAGGGCAGGGGCCGATCTAACTTCCACTCTGTGTCCTGTGAAGAGGCTTCCTGTATCGGCAGCACCACTCTCACCCAAGGAATAATCACTTCCTCTTGTCAAAGGTCAAGTTTCCTCATCTGCAAAATGGGGGTGGCGAAAAATATCTACCTCCCAGGGTTTCTGGGAAAATGAACCAATGCTTGCAAGGCACAGGGCCTGACACCTACCTGCAGCATTTACTGGACTCCAGGCACTGCCTAGGCCTTCTCATGTGTCATAGCAACCCAGTGTAGGAGGTGTCTTAGGGATTAAAAAACTAAGGGACAAAAATATATAGTGACATTTTCAAAGCACACGCACTAATATGCAACAGGGTCAACAAAAGTTTCCTGCAAAGGGTCAGATAGTAAATACTTTAGGCCACATGAGCCCTAAAAATCTCTGTCACAACTCCCTACTCTACTGATGCAGGGTGAAAGCAGTCATATGTCAATGAACTTGGCATAGCTGTGTTCCAATAAAACTTTATTCATAAAAACCAAACAGTGGGCCAGAGTTTGCCCCCGCCATGGCTGTAGTTTGTTGAGCCCTGTTCTGCACTGTGCTGTAATAAATGGTGGGCGTGTTTATTATTATTAGTTTATTAGTTTAAACTATTAGTTTCCTCGAAGCAATTAGGTTCTTAATAGATTTTTGAGTCTGAATGGAATGGAATCACAAGGGCCCACTGTAGGCAGGCAGGGGTGAGGGGTGAGGGGCCAGCCCACGTTTCTGTGGATTTGTTTACCCCTCCCCCCACACCATTGTTGTATTATTCCCAACTAGAGAAAGAGGGCAACAGGATGTCGGGATGGAGCCCAGGCTGGGATGCAGGATGCCTGAATTTTAGGACAAGCTCTAGCTATGGGAACTTGAATAAGTTTGCAGACCTGGGCTTTGCAGTTGCTCATGTTGTTGACTTATTGACTGATGCCTCTTCTGCCTACTTGACAGTACTTTGCATACTCCTGCAGTGTGACTTTTAGGAAAACCTGCCTTCCAGAGGCTAGTGGGATGTAGCCCTTGACTGAGGTCAAGGCCCCAGTCCCATCCTCCTCGAGTCTCCAGGATGGATGATGGGAAAGGCCTCGGCTTTCTCCTGGAGGGCAGCGGACTCACACTGCCTCCAGGGCCTCAGCTAATGACATATTTATAGCCTGCCTGGGAACAGGCAGCTGTGCCAGCCCCTGTCAATCATTGACAAAGTGTTCACACCTCATTTGTCACCATGTCCTCTGGCTCATGGCCAAGCGCCAGGGGAGAGGCACGGTGCCCAACAAGGGCAGTGCCTCAAATGCAGGCGCTCAGGAGTACGTTATTGGCCAAGTTCACAGCTATTTTAGTCTCATGGGAACTGGAGGGGGAAAAGGGGACCCATCCAACCCAGAGAAGCCGGTCCCAGATCAAGTCCCCTAAGCTGGCTCACCTGATGTTCGTTCACTGTAACTGGGAATGATTTCTTGAGCACCTAGGATGTGCCAGACACTCCTCCAGCTGCTGGAGTGGCTCCCACTGAACAAGTTAACAGACAACCGTCATCACAGCAATTTCAGAGAGTGACAGACTCCATGGAAAAGCAGAATGTGGCATAAGACAGAGAGGGGCTGGAGAGTCAGGGAGTGGAGAAGACGGAACTGGGACCTGAAGAAGTTCCCCTCAGAGAGTAAGGAACCCAAGCCTGGTGGCCTGGAGGACCACGGAGTGTTGACAGGGAGAGAGTGGCCCAGGGCGGATCAGAGCCCTAGGTCCGATGGCCTGAAATCTAAACCCACCTGAAGGGTTTCTGTACACTTTTTTAAAAAAATATATATATTTTCAGAATTTCTAAGCCAGTTATTTTCCTGGCACTTTAAATAACATTTGGCTGGACAAATGTCTACAAGAGAAGCAGGTTAATTCTTCTGTGTCCATTTTTATCTTCTCCCAAACTCCTGGCCCAAATGCCCTAGAGAAGTCCATTCAGTATGCCCAAGAGTCATGCACAGGAATCCATTCAAAATGGCCCTCGGCTGGAAACATTCGCAGAGGCCGGCTGAACTGTGAAACACACAGTAGGATACCACACAGCAGCAGGAATGGAGCTTCAAGTGCATGAACAACAGGAATGAATCTCATAAATGTCACAAAGCCAGACTCAAGAGCACACACCATGTAATTCCATTCACCCAAAGTTCAGGAACAGGCAGACGGATGCCTGCTGCTAGGATTTAGGATAGTGGTCACCCCTGGGTGGGGAGGGTGGGGTGGCAGCACAGCAGGGACTTTTGGGAGTCTGGTAACGTTCTAGTCCTTGATCAGAGTGATAGTTACATGGCTACGCTCGTTTTGTGAAAATCCATCAAACTATGTTATGATTTTTGCACAATTCTGCATGTAAATATACTTCATTCTAAGGTTTTTTTTTTTTTTTAAGGCATGATGCTTTTGGAATGCATAAGCAAAGAAACTGAAGTTAGATCCCTTGGCAATGGACTTAGCAATTCTGGATGCATTCATTAAGCCCCATGCAGTAATCTGTCCTGCCACAGGGTCTTTGCACAGGTCCCCTGCTCTCCCTGGAAGCCTTTCTCTCCCCTTCCTGCCTCCTGGTTAACTCCTGTGCATCTTTCTGTTTCCAGCTTGTGTGTGATTCCTTCTAGTACAGCTTCCGGAACTTTATTGTCTAGGTCAAGTATCTTTGCAATAGGTTTATAAAACTTTGCTATAGGTTTGTAAAAACTGCACACGTGCTTATGTGATTATTTGTTGAATGTCTTCCTCGACAGAATGAGAGCTGCAGAGCCATGGGGATGTGTTTGTTTCTGTCACCTTCATGTCCCCAGGACTAAGCATGGCACTTGAGACCATAGCAGGCACCCCATACACATTTGTCACATGAATAAGTGAAGAAATGAATAAGTGAGTGAATAAATAAAGGTCCATGGATTTATTTCAAAGCTATTCACAACAACTTCTTCCTCTTACCAACTCATGTACAATGTTCTAGTCTATTCTACAGAAGACACTGAGAAAGTAATAACTTACATTGCTCACCATCATGTGAAACTGATATTTCTAGGAAACACATATGCATCTGTACATGGCCTTTGTCCATTCTGGCACACCGTGGGTCTCTCCAGATGTGGCATATGCGTCTTTAAGTGCTTGGTACCTCCCATATACTAGCTGGGAATTGAAGTCAGGATCCTATGACCTTAGAGGACATTTGGATCTCAGCTGGGGAACTGGATTCACAGAGGGATAACAGGATATCCCCCAAATCACAGAGCTATCTGGTCTTTTTATTTACATGTTAAGAAAATTAATTCATTTTTCTGTCACCTTGGAGAGTTCGTGAGAAAAGATTCGAAGGCTTCCTCCTAAGTTTGGTACCAGCCTAGTTAGTTGACTGGCTATTAGTAAGTGGATCCTTGATTTCCTCATCTGCAAATAAGGAGACTAAGAGGATCTATCCCCGTAGGATTGTTGTAAAGAGTTTGTTCAAGCAAAACATTCAGCAAAGGGTCTTGCCCTTGGAAAGAGCTCAGTAACATTTACCTGCTGTTGTTAATGTTCATATCTTGGATCCTGGGGGAGAAAGGGAATGAGGAAGCTGACCTTGACCTTCAAGAGTGGGAACCCAAGACAAGGTACTTCTACCTGACACATGAGGAAGCTAGGCCTCCTCCAACTCGGGAGGCTACTTCCGTGGTATCCTTTTCCAGGAGTGGTGGAATCGACAGCCTTGGTAGTTTGGTTGAGAAGACAAATTAGCCAGAAAGCGTTTTTGTTCAACACCAGCAGTGATCTGGCAGATTTTGTGACCATCAGACCCTTGGTCATCGTTGGATTTTTCCAGGTACTGGGGTCAAGAGATGGGAGGTGGCTTTTCCACTGGTGGGCTTGGGAGCAGTTGAAGTAAGGAGGCTCTTCCACTTGGGTTGTTTCAGGCCCAAGTGCCCCATCCCATGAGCTGGCTTTCTGGGGACAGCTCCAGTGTTCAAACAAAAGGAGAAAAAAAATGGCAGCTGAAATGTTAGAGGCAGTGTTAGCAAGATGGATAGGAATGGAGAGAAAGAAGAGGAGATTGACACACTTATCTAACTGGTTTTCGTCATACAACTAGTCTTTTGGGGATTCCATTTAGAATGTCACAGAGTAAAGGGGTGTCTACTTTCTGCTTTGAGAGCTGTTGATTTCTATGATTCTGGTAGCACCAGCTGTGTTTGGGGTGTGTTGGTCTCTACCCCATGTTCTGTCCAAGCATCCCTCTAAACGAAAACCATTAACACTTCTAAAATATGCACCCATTTGAAAATGCATCAACCCTTATCACAAGTGTAAGAAGGGAAGATGTTTGAAAGAGACATAAATAAATTAAAACTGATAATGAGCTATCTCATCATAGCTTTCTATTGATCTTATTATTTGTATATATAAATAATTTGCCACTTATTTTTGCTTTTAGAAAATGAGTTTCTCATGGATCTGACTCAATTACTCTAAATTGATGGCTCCCCCTACTCCCAGCCAAGTCACAACTTGGACGTCCTATCCACACACAGGGAGAGTGTGCCTCTTCTCCTTCCCCTTCTTCGTGTCTCTGGCCCCAGGTTTCTTTCAAGTTAAAACACGAAGGCCTGAGTGTTTGCCGCATCTTGTTACCAAGTTCATATCTGGTGTCACACGTGGTCAAATCAATTGCTGCTTCTGAAAGTAATTCAGGAATGATATTAAATACTTCCCCATCCCTGGGTTTTGACAACCTTTATTTCAGTAATTGGAAAAAGGTGTAGATAATCAGTTCTCTCCACTGACCTCTGAGAGTTTGCCTAACTGAGTTTTAGACCTGGCCTGAGAAGCATTCTGGCTATGACACTTCCCCTAAAGGGGATTCAGATGACCCAGCAAAACACCAGAACTTGAAAAGTTAAGACACATTGGCCACCATTTCCACCTTCCCCTTAAATAAGCCAGATATTTTCTTGCTTTCTATCGGACCTTTATGGAGCATGCTTTCCCCAACAGGACTTAGAAGAAGAGGTTGCAGAATTATTCTATGATACGATCAAAGACTTCCCAGAGCTGACATTTGCAGTGATGGCTATCAAAAACACCCGTGGACGTTTCAGCGTCATCCTGGACAGTGTCCTTGTGTTCAAGAAGGTAGGACTTGGATCCTATTTTTAGCGAGGGGTCTCTAGTTCAAAGTAGTGGGCTTCTGGTCCAAACTCGGTGACATCTCAGTTACCTGGTGTTTCTCTGGATTTTATGGTCATTCTCCATTGGATGCTGCTCCTCCTTCCTTAACCAGTAAATACCATCTTGTCCATCAAGGTCCAATCTCACACGTTTGTTTTTCTTCTGGCCCACGCTTCCCCATCCTCCCTCCATCACCCATTACCATCTATACACCTGTGACTTATGAATATCTGTCTTGGGCCAGACTTATCCAGTCTCCAGACCCTGACAAGCAGCACCAGAGGGCTCAACACGGCTAAGCTCAAGGTCATGGTCTGCCCTTCCGGTCTTCTGCATGTTTTCATTCCCTTGGTAGAGGGTGCCTGGTCAGATCTCTGACCATGAAAACCTAGGCATCACTCAAACCTCTGTCTCTGCCCACCCTTCAGGACCAGTCCATCACCCCAGCCCTATAGATCTTATATCTCAAACACCCCTGAATCTAGGCATCTCTCCCTGTCTCTTCTGCGACTATTCTAAATGGAGTGATCAGCATCTCCTGTAGCCTATGGCAGTAATCTTTGGCCTGATCAGAACAGATCAGGTGCTCTCAACAGCGTTCTTCCCCAAATTCAAGACTGGGGATCACCTCTCTCCTCTCTGAAAGCCCTTTAATGGCTTTCAACGATTAGCATATAGACTGAAATCCTTAATGAGGACTGTAAGACCTTCCAAGGGACCTTCCTCGGTCCCTTTCCAGGATTTAAACCTGAGCTGCCCATAAAGCAACAACTAGTCATTTACGACTATTACCATTACCATTAATTGAATTAAAATTTTAGTTCTCCAATAAAACTGACCACATTGCAAATACTCCACAGCCATATGAGGCTGGTGGTTATTATATCCCAGAGCTCAGATTTACAGAGCATTTCCACCTGTTGGAAGTTTTGGACACTGTGGTCTGTTTCTGGAAGATCCCTCAGTTCCTTCCCACGGGAAGCCAAATCTTTCCAATTGCCATGTTACTTACAGATCTTGTCCAGTGAGGATAGTCACTTATCCAAGGCCACTGAGGAGTGGTACCCAGATCTGCTTGACCTACAGGGAGGGCGGTGAGCCTTCAGTCTTCTCTTGGGCCTGGGAAAGCCATGGAGAGGTTTTAAGTTGGTGGATACAATAATCTGATTCACTTAGCATTGTCTTCTCTAACTCCATCCATTTACCTGCACATGCCATGATTTTATTCTCTTTTATTGCTGAGTAATAGTCCATTGTGTGTATATGCCACATTTTAAAAATCCATTCATCTATTGAAGGGCATCTAGGTTGGTGAAGTTAGCCAATCCCCAAAAAACCAAATGCTGAATGTTTTCTTTGATATAAGGAGGCTGATTAAAAGTAGGGTATGGAGGGGGGGAACATGGGAGGAATAGATGAACTCTAGACAGGGCAGGGGGGTGGGAGGGAACAGGAGGGGACATGGGGTAATTAATGATGGTGGAATGTGTTTTTGATCATTATTATCCAAAGTACAGGTATGAAGACACGAATTGGTGTGAATATACAATGAGAGATATGAAAAATTGTGCTCCACAAATGTAATAAGAATTGTAATGCATTCTGCTATCATATATAAATAAAAAAAAGAATATAAAAAAGATAGTTAAGTAAAATAAAAGGGAAAATGTAGAAAACAAATATTGTTCTACCCTTTGTATTTTGTTCTTAAATATATATGTATATGCATACATGTAACATATAAACTTATATATGTTTATGTATCTAAGCATAAATGCATAAGATTAATTAAGAGTATTTACTTGGAGGGAAGTGAATTGGGAGATTTGGGGATTTGTCCGATAAAGAGATTAACTTTTTATTATACATTCTTTAATATCATTGGAAGATTTGCCATATATATTATTATCCATAAAAAATTGTTTCATGTTTTACACCTTTAACTCTACACTTGGTAAGCCTAGCTCAGTTAAAAAGTTAGTCAGTTAGTCACTCTCATTTTAAGTCCTGGCTCTGGGGCTGGGGGTGCAGGTCAGCAATGAGCACAGAAGCGTAGCATCAGCAAGGCCCTGGGTTCAGTCCCCAGACCCATCCATCAACCCTGGTTTCGCTTCTTACTAGCTGAGCAGCCTTGGATAGGTTACTTCACTTCTCTGTGCCTCAAATTTGCTGAAGTGCAAAGTAGGAGAGATAACAGCACCCAGTTCCATGAGATGCCAGGAGGACTAAATAAGGTGGTTATATAACGTGGTTAGAACTGTGGGTGGCAGAATGTGAGCTCTCTAGTGTCATTAAACTATGATTTTGACCAGTAAGGAGCTGAGACTTTATCCAAACGATAATTTGGTGCTATTAGGTGTTTGAGTGAGAAAATGATGTATGATCAATTTTGTGTCCTAACAACATGGCTGTGGCGGAAATGTGGGGAATGGATTGGAGTCAAGCAAGAAGAGAAGAGGGAAGGTCAGTGGGAGGCAGCTGCAGGGAGTCCAGGTGACAGGTCTGGACCAAGGTGGGTGGTGGAGATGGAGAGAAGGAGATGGAATAGAAATTCACATAATCTGCTGCTTCTCTTTCTCTCAGAGACTTCAGTCCTGGGCTACAAAGAATCGAATTGTTCTCTGTTAGTCCAGATCCTTCTGAGAAGCAGTTACCAAGCAGGGTGGGAAATGCAGAATATTTATTAGGGAAAAGAAGGACATCAAAGAGGTGGGGGAGACTCTGAGTGACATTAGACCATGGCAAAGATCTGACCCTTGGAAGGAAGGAAGGAAGGAAGGAAGGAAGGAAGGAAGGAAGGAAGGAAGGAAGGAAGGAAAGAGGGAGGGAGGAAGGGAGGGAGGGAGGAGGGGAGAAAGGGAGACACTTTGACCCAGTGGCGTTCTAAGAGGGTTTGTCAGAGTTGCCCACTGGGGAACAGATGCCCTCAGTCACTGGGTCGCACACTGTCCAGTCTCAGCACAGATATTTTGATGGAGTCCAGAGCCCAGAGGCAGTATCCGTCAATCACACTTCCTGTTGTTACAGATCTGAGGTGTTCACGGGCTGCCACCTGCCTGGACCCTACCTCCAGGCTAATCGGCTCAGTCGTTCATATTTATTAGATACCTGGATGCAGTATTCTCACCTGCCACCACCCCTCACCATTCTCTTATCCCAGGGAAAGATGGCACCGTTTGAATGTATTAAGTGCCCATAGCAAGGAAGCTACTGCCCTCCAATGATTTTCTTCTTTTGCTCAAGGGAAAAATTGTCAATCGTCAAGAGCTCATTAATGAGAATACCAACAAACAGGACCTCCATCAAGTCATAAAACAGCACCTTACAGATTTTGTGATTGAATTCAACACAGAGGTCAGTAAGCAGAGGGTCCCCGGGAGACGGACAGCTGGGGGTGAGTGACGGTGTGTGCTTGCGATGACAGGTTTTCCTTGGAATTTCAGAACAAGGATCTGATTTATGAAATGCGCGTCTTTAGTCACATGCTGCTCTTTATCTCCAAAACCTCGGAGCCGTACGGTGTCATCATCCAGCATTATAAAATGGCATCGAAGGAGTTCCAGAACAAGGTTTGTAGAATGGGCCGTTGCTCCTTGGGGCTCTTGGGTGGGATCACCAGCCATGCAGACTGTGAGGCCATTGGCCTGTTCTGCTTCTTATAAATGAAGCCAGGAATAGTTTGTGTATTGATTTCCTTATTTGCCTGTATCAATACTATGCATTATTTACTATTTAATTTTTAAATCAGCCTCCTTTATGACTCTTGCCCAGCCTCTCTGCCATTTTGGCTAAGCTTCTGCTCCTTCACGCATTTTTTTAATAAGGCTCCTCTGGGAACATGACGGTTGGTTCTGTTTTGGTGGAGCACCTGGACTAATCGTGGGTGAATGCAATATGGTAGCATTTAGCTTGGAGTTGAGGGGGGAAGGAAGACCACTCCTGCCTGAAGTCGAGGTATATGAAAAACCTGCAGGCATGAAGCAGCATGGCTGGTAAATCATTGCTGAGATTCTGGACTTTAACAGACCCCAATTCAAATTCTCTCCTTCTTCTAAGCTTTGTTGTCTTAAGCGAGTTTCTTAACTCTCAACCTCAGGACCCTCCTATGGGAAATGAAGACTTGTAATAAGAATTGAATTAGAAGCACCTGGCTGGGTACAGTGGCGCACACCTGTAATCCCAGTGGCTAGGGAGGCTGAGGCAGGAGGATTGTGAGTTCAAAGCCAGCCTCAGCAACAGCGAGGCGCTAAGCAACTCAGTGAGACTCTGTCTCTAAATAAAATACAAAATAGGGCTGAGGATATGGCTCAGAGGTCAAGTGCCCCTGAGTTCAATCCCCAGTACCAAAAAAAAATAGAAGCACCTGTGTTGCTTGTGATTATTGTCACCATATCATCATGAGAGACAAACCAGCCTGAACTCTAAACCTACACATCATGTTCTTACCACCACCTAGACTCTGGGGGCTCTTTACCCAACTATTTTCTTAATTTTTAGAAGAAGTATGATAATGGCAAGTTTTTTTTTCATGTAATGAAAATTATTCTGAAATTTTTTTTAGTTAAAAACTTTTAAACCTAAGTTAAACACAGAATAAAGCCACGTGAGTTAGTCACCTTCTTGTCAATGTGATCAAAATACCTAATACAAGCAACTTAGAGGAGGACAAGTTCACTTGGGCTCGTGGTTTTAGAGGTTCAGTCCATGGTGGGCTGAGTCCTTTGAGCCCCAAGATGAGGCAGAGAATCATGGCAGAAGTGTGTTGTGGAGAAGCTCTGTTCTGTTCATGGTGGCCAGGAGGCAGACAGAGGGAAGGGGCTGCAGGGGTCACAGCCCCAGTGACCACCTCCTCCGGCCACGCCCCACCTGGCTACAGTTACCATTTATCAGTCCCTTCAAACTGGGATGGACTGATGGACAGCTCTCATAGTCCACGCGTTTCACCTTCTGAATATTCTTAACATCCACCCAGGAGCTTTGGGGAGACACCTCCTGGCCACACCATAACCGCAGGCCTGGGCAGAGTTCATGTTCATACCACATCCTGCCACGTTAGTTACCGGAAGGATGCTTCCTACCCCAGAAATCCTTCTTACAAATATATTGCCTGGTTTTTTCAATTTTACACTAAGATTTTTTTTTTCAATTTTACTCTTTTATCACCATGGGATTGGATAGCAGTTCATTCTTAGCCAAACCACCATCTTCCAGGTTATTTTTTTTTTAACTCTTTGAACCAGCTGGAATTTATTTTAGGCACAGATGGAGAGATGATTCTCTTTTCCCTAATTACTGACCTTCCCAAATGCCATTTATTGAGCCAAAGATAAACAGACTAATATTGCTCCAAAGGTCATACCCCCAGGTCCACCTCATCGCCTCTGTACCCCAGCCCCAGCGTGTCCAAGGTGGCTGGTACTTGTTGAAAGTATACGAGGTGACCTCAACAGGACTGTTCTTTCAGTCTCCCTGGGACCTAGAAGAGGGGCACACTTTGGAGGCCTTCATCTTCCCATGGATGAATAATGACCTGAAACACCAGGCGTCTGCAAGGGCCTCTTCTTGTCCCCTTGTTTCCTCTCTTTGCTCTGCCACTAGAGTGACCATTTAAACATTACCATCATGTCACTCTCAGACTCTTCCACGAGTCTCCATTACATCCAACCAATCCCAAGCTCTCTCCTGGACCCCCAACCTCGACTTTGACAGCCTCTAACCTGGTCTCCCTTGACACGGTCTCCCATGACACTGTCCCCCATGGTGTTGAAGCCACAGTGGCTCCCTTGTTCCTAAACAACTCTGAGGTCTGTGTTTGCCTTGGCACCAGGCCTTGGGGTTGACAGTTTCCGCCACGTGGATCATGCATGGTTCCTGGGCTGGGTACTCACCACCCAGGTCCCAGGCAAAGCGTCACCTCCTCAGATGCTCCTCCTGACCACCTTGACTCTTACTGACCCCACTGCCTCCTCTGTGCAGTCACTCTGTCCCATGCCCCTGACCTGTTGTCTGTGACTCATTGCTCTCTGAGTTTATCAGTTTGTTTACTCAGCTGTCATCTGTCATCTCCATGGGAACACAAGCTCCGTGGCAGACAGGCATTTTGTCTGCTTCCGGCAGCACTGTATCCCCAGTGCCCAGTAAAATTCCCAGCACATAGTAGGTACTCGACACATCTCTGTTGCATGAACAAGTGAGTCGAGCCGTGGGTTTCTTTTATAATTTTGGATACTAATAAGAGTTGGCATGCTCTGAGCACTTTCTACCTGCCAATCACTGAACTCAGCCCTTTCATAGTTTTCCTGTTTGATTCTCACAGTGACCCCCTGGGGCAGGTACTCTTTGCCTCACCATTTTACAGATAAGGAAAACTGAGGCACAGATGAAGACAAGACCTCAGGACTTCTTGACTATTCCTAAAGTTGTGTGGAGGGTCACAGCACGGGATGCTGAAACCAGGCTGTCAACGGCTACCAGTCTTGCATTTGGGTGCAGGGCTGACTTTACTGTCTTTTGGAGGTGCTCCAGGACCCCACTATTCCCCTTCCATTAGTCCACAGCTTTACAGCAGTTTCTCTCCCTTAGTAAAAAGGTCCAGAGAGACAAGGGTTTTGTTCAATTTGGCAGATCCTTTTCATCCTTGTGGACGCAGACCAACCCAAAAACAAACGTGTCTTGGATTACTTCCGGATCACGGAGGTCACTTTACCATCTGTCCAAATCCTAAACTTAAGCTCCGATGCCAGGTACAAAATGCCTTCAGATGAGATAAACTATGAAAACCTCAGGAGATTCGGCCGCAGCTTCCTCAGTAAAAGTGCCAAGGTAAGGTTGCTCTGAGGTAAGTTTCATCCAGAACTACCCATAGCTCACTAAAGGAAATCATTCCTTTCTTGTAATATTGCTGGCTTTGGTTGTCTGAAGGAAGAGACAGAATAAAGGGCAACCTTTTGGCTCAGGGTGGGGAAATATCACCATTTCCCCACCTGAAATCTATCCAACTTTTGGCTCTCCTGAGCCTACAATCCCACCATTCATTCTTGAGTTGTAAAGTAAGTTTCCAATACAAATGGCAGGTCCCATGGAGGGCTAACTAGAAAGGAGGATTTTAGCCTCTAATCTGAGAGATCTACTTGGCCCAAGGGTAGATGCTTCCTTCGGGAGAGAGAAAGAACTAGAACAGTTATAGCAATCAGGATTTTAGCCTCAAAAGATTTTAGGGACCTTCTGGCTGGGTGGGGGTGGGAGGGGATCTGTGTTAAGGAGTGACTCAGAAAGGTAGCTGTTTTAGTCATCTTTGCCTCGCTGGGACCAAAAGACCTAACAAGAACAACTTAGAAGATAAAAAAAAAACTTTCTTAGGTCACACTTTCAGAGGTTCAGTCCACGGTCAGTCGACTCCATAGCTCTGGGCCTGAGGTGAGGTAGAACATCATGGCAGAAGGGCGTGGTGGGAGGGAAGCAGTTTAAGACGTGGCAACCAGGAAGCACAGAGAGCTCTGCTCGCCAGGGACAAAATTTAAACCCCAAAGGAACACCCCTAGTGACCCACCTCCTTTAGCCACACCCCACCTGCCTACAGTTACCACCAGTTAATCCATCAGTGGATTAGTCTACTGATTAGGTTATACCTCTCATCATCTAATCATTTCATAAATGGAGATACTCCAGACAACCCAACATCTATAGTCACCTACTCCACGTGCTTCCATACTTTCTATCCATTCCCCTAGGACTGCTGCATCCCTGTAGCCTCCTCAAGGAGAAGTTGTTCTTCTTTCATGCATAACATCATCATGGGGCCAAGTGGAAAGGCTGGTGTTCTTACTGTTACCTCCAATGTATTTCCACTCCTTTCACCTTCAAAACCCCTATATTTTTTGGATCCCATGCTTTTGAACTTTAGACCATTTATTCCCTCTTCTGGTTGCTGTCCTGTGACCATGTCCCCTTCCCTCTCTGAGGAGATAAGATCCTGACAGCCATCTTGCCCCCCAACACCTGTTCTGCTATCATTTCCAGGGATCTCAATATCTGATACCCTGCTCTCACTTTTCCAATAATGGGTGTGTCCATGCCGTCCCAGCCCTCATCCTCATGGCCACAGTCAGAAAGAGCAGCAGCCCCTCCAAATGCCTGATTTCAAAGTTTCCATCTTCTTAGTTTCCTCCTCCAGGACCTGTTTTGCTACAATTCCTCACACTTCCCGTGGCCTCCAGTCTTCTGATCCCACTTCACAGTTTCTTGAGTACCATCTTCCATGAACTTGGATTCCATTGTTTCTTGCTCCGTCAACTCCTTCTTCTCCTCCATCTTCTACCACCTTTATATCCTGTAGTCCTCACCAGGGAAAATTCCAACTCTAGTTGATCCCACTTAGCTTCCCTAAGTGCTTCCAGGCTGATACTAGAGAAAAAGATCACCATGGAGCTGGATGGCTACAAGGAACCACCAATCAAGCCTTTCCTAGGCTCCAAAACATCCTAGCACCCCGTACAGATTTCTCTTAGTGTGTCTATTCTTTTGATCTTTGAGTCTATTTCACCTTCTACCCCATTTCTACTTTCACTGTTAGCTGAGAGCTCCTCCCATACCTCACTAAGAAAAGAGAAGTCTTCATACTTAGGCCTCCCATTTCCTGTCACCCTATCTACACACCTTGGTCCATCCTCTCTCTCTCTCCCAGTTACATCTAGGGAGATACCTCTTTCCCCCTCAAAGGCCAACATGTCCTCCTGTGCCCCTTCACATGATGTGCCTAATGTAGCCCATTCCTAGTATGCCATCATTTTCACCACCGCCCATCTCCTATGCCCAGGCCACACCTGCTTTACACTCCCACTGAAGGAATCTTTAAATTCCTTCCAGGGCTGGGGTGGGGGGTAGGCAGGACATGGTGGGAGAAAGAGCCAGTGAATTGAGCAGAGGCCAGAGAGCAAAGCCTCATAGCACAGTAAAGATTCGTGATCTTAAGAGCAATGAGAAGCCGGAAAGAGACCGACTTGTAGAAAATACAGGCAGCGAGAAAGAATTGGAGGAAACCCAGGCAGAACATCAGGTGTCAATTACAGTAATGCAGGTGAGAGACGTAGGCTACTTGGGCTAGGGTGGTAATGGAACAGATGAAGACAAGGATGTAGATACAAGGGACATTCATGAGTCAAAATTTGTAGAGAAAAACATGGTCTAGGATTTTGAACACTTCCTTGGAAAGGATGCAAGGGCTGAGTTCATTCTTTCATTCATTTGCAAAACATTTATTGAGATCCTACTATGTGCCAGGCAGTGGTTACTCAATGACAAGAGAAGAATCTCTTTTTTTTAATATATATTTTTTTAATTGTAGATGAACATAACACATTTATTTATTTATTTATTTAATGTGGTGCTGAGGATCAAACCTAGCCTCACATGTGCTAGGCAAGCACTCTACCACTGAGCCACAACCCCAGCCCTGAGAAGAAGAGTCTTTTAGGACGTTCCATCCCTTCTGGACACAGTGAGACCTCTCAAATTTGCTTCCTAGGAACATCAGTCCAGTGAAGAGATTCCGAATTATTGGGACCAGGGTCCAGTTAAGCAGCTCGTGGGGAAGAACTTCAATGTGGTTGTCTTTGACAAGGAAAGGGATGTATTTGTGATGTTCTGTAAGTATCTCCAACAGAGGCTGAGTCAGGTTCAGGGACGCAACATTGCTTTTCAAGTGTTGTTCCTGAATCTCTGAGCTCCGCAATCTCCAAAACCTAGGGATGCACCCTACCGATGATGGTCTGCAGACACTCAAAGAGACTGGATCAGGTTGCTTTTGGCTACAATGCAACCCTGGCCCCCCAAATCTAATTCTTGGAATGTATGGCATGCCTTCCACATAATCCAGGCCTGTGGCTACTTGTAATAATAATAATGCAGATGGCTCACAGGGTTTGATCGAATGCCTCATATGCTGAATCATTGCATACCTTACCCACTTAATCCTTACAACATCCTTCTGAAAGTAGCTACCATTATCCACATTTTTATGGATAATGACTCCAATGCCTTCATACCCCTCTCTCACTCTTAGGTAGGTTTTTGACAGAACCTCCAGTGCTATACAGAGTTCCTCTGCTTTTGGCTTTATGGGACTTATCCGATGATCCATTTGAGGTGGAAACCCAAATTCTTCATGTAAAGGACTTGGCAGAGTGTCTGGTAGAAGCACAGTAAACAACAGCTATTTTTTTTTGTTGTTATTATTCCTATTATTGTTTCCAACACTCATCTGAGTTGGGACTATTGTCCTTTCCCATGGTTTCTAGTTTGCATGGGAGATCCAAAGCTAGAGGCTTTCTCTTCCACCATGAGACACTGGGGATCTTGACTCTGAAGTTACTTTAGGCATCTCCTTTACAGGCAGAGTTACCACTTAATGAGCACTTACAATGAACCAGCATGAGTTTTGTGTTAAGTTGTGTAACAATGAGCCTGTGGTGAAGGGATGGCGGTTTTCTCTATGATACAGGTCAGGAGCCCAGCCTCAGAGAGGGTCATTACCTTACCCCAGGTCACACAGTAAGTCCAAAAGTTCCGAGCTAGCTTTGTGCCATTCCTGGGTTAATTGCATCATACAGGACTTTGATAGTCTCTCTGAATTCATCTCTTGTTCACAGAGCAAGGTATTTCAGGTCTGTGGCTGAATCACTGCAATCTTCTGCCTGCACAGGAGAGGTGGGGGTGGCTTCTCTGCATTCACCAGATGCCCAGAGTTCTAAGAACACTCATTTAGTTCTGATAAAAGGCAAAAGTAACCTCATTTTCTTGGAAGCAGGACTGTCGGATTGGCCCCCTGGGGCTGCAGCCATTAGGCACCCTCCTGTTCTGACCCAGGGCCTGATGGTTTCCAGGGGCACACTGGGGTGCTGCAGGCAGGCAGCGGGTGGGCGGCCACAGAGGTGCATATTCGTAAATGGAAGATGATCATGCAAAGGTGACATGTCGGGGGCCTTCAAGGCCACTCCTCTCCCAGGACAGAAACAGAGCTCTGAGCTTTGAGGAAAGACAGCAGGTGAGGTTGGGCCTTCCTGATGCTGCTTGTCTCAGTCCCTCCAGAGCGCACCTGGGCCACACTCAAAGCTCAAAGAACCATCTGGGACAAAGTCTGCTGTCCCCTTCCAGGGGAAGTCACACTGTCATACTTTTGGGGCACACCCATTCACTTCTTGGGCATGTTCTCCTCCAAGGGACTGAAGGGCATATTTATATTACACGGTGTTTTGTCATGTTCTGTTTGTAGTACCAAGGCTTCAAATCCAAGCGGCCTGTCTTCAAATCCTGTTTCCTCTGCTTAATTACTGAATGACCTTGGGCCAGCAGCTTAACCTCTAATTGAAAACCCCTGGGCTAAAAATCCACCCCCACCACACACACCTCTCTCATGTGATTTTTAGTAGACCATGAGGAATCACCTAGCATAAATATTTTTCTTGGAAAGGGAAGGAATAAAAAAGAAAAATAAATTATAGGAAAAAATGCTAATGTGCCCAAAGGGTTAGTGTTTGGGTTAAAGGGGACGGGGGTGACTTTTTTCTCATTTAATTTAATCATCATTAAATTAAGGATCAGGTACTGTGAGAGAAATGTGAAAACAGCCTACAACATAAATAAGATTCAAAAGCAGTTCAAAAAGCAGCCACACCATGAGTGCGGCAGGCCTGGGTGGCGTCATCTCCCAGAGCCTGACCTGGACCCTCTCTTGCAGATGCACCGTGGTCTGAGAAGTGCCAAGCCCTCTTCCCCGTGCTGGAGGAGCTGGGAAGAAAGTATCAAAACCACTCCACGGTCACCATCGCCAAGATCAACATCATGGCAAATGACATCCAGCTGACCCACCTGGAGCGGTACCCATTCTTCAGACTCTTCCCCACCGACTCTCAACAGGTCGGGCGGCTCTTTGGATCTACATAATTGAAATTGTTGTTATATTATCACCAGTTTCTCCCCCTCTCCAGCTCTGCATTCTGCCAAACCAGCTTCCCTCTCTGTTCCTGCCCTATTCTTCTCTCATGTTTGAGTTCAAAGGATATCGTCCAGTAGCTTCCACTGAAGTCCTAAGACTCACTATACTTGCATGCAGCTTAGGTCATTTGTTCATGCCTGACCACAGGGGCCAAGCTGCTGTGGATGTTTGGATGGGTCAGGAATCTATGGCTTCCTCTAGAGACTGATATCTCCTGAGACTATATGGGAAAAGGTGGGGAAAAAAAGTGGGGGGATCTCCGTGGGAACATGGGGATAGAGCAGGGGCAGATGAAGGGAGAATGTGTGGTAGAGACAATTGATCAGTGCCTTTTACACCGTGGGACTAGCTATCCACCAATCATCCCCCGTGTTGACGGAGCACACCTCCATGACAGTTGGCAATGTGGGGGGACAATGTCAATTAAAGAAATGTGAGCCAAGGGGCTCCTGAGAGAGTGTGGCTGTGCAGGAGAGAGAAGTCGTCGCGGTGTGGTTCCATCTGTACATGTGACTGGAATGCAGGAGAGGGACAGATTCTGGAGGGCAGATATGGCAGAAGTCTGCATGAAGACGTGGAACTCTGGAGAATGCTGGGGATTTCAATCCGACTAGAGGAGGGGTGGGGAACTACAGACAGGACAACTAAAAATAAATATATTTTTTTAAAGAAAGGATGGGCTGAGGGAATGAGCCTAAGTCCCACATCTTGAGTTATCTGAAAAGGAATTTAAGCAATCAGGGGTCAGCAAGCCTCTTCTTAACTTTCCTAAAGACTGAAAGGGGACAGGGAACTAGCTAATGATGACATCACTGTCCACGTGCCAGCAACCTTGTAAAATAACAACTATTGTGGGACTGATCATGTAGTAGTAATAACAACAATGGCAAATACTTACTATGAGCCAATCACTGTTCTAAGCATTTTTTCATATATTAACTCATTTAATACTTACAACAACATTGTGAAGGAGTTACTAGTATTGAATCCATATTAAAGATGGGGAACTGAGGCAGAGAGGTTTAGCAAGCGGATCCCAGCACTAAGTCCTGCAGCCAGGGGCTAAGCCCTAGAGAGGTGGCTTTATATTCCATGCTGGATCTGCTATATTATAATCCTATGAAAAAATTATCTATTATCCTTATTTTGTAGCCATAGTAATGGAGACTCAGAGAGGTTGAGGAACCCAGGTTATTAGAAATTTATAACAATCCATGAATAGCTCACAGGAAGAGGCTCCCACCTAACCCTGTTCTGTCTTCTTCCTAGGCTGTGCTGTATAAGGGAGAGCATACCATGAAGGGCTTCTCCGACTTTCTGGAAAGCCAAATCAAGATTAGGATTGAGGATGAGAATGAGGTAAGGGGCCTGAGCCACATGCTGGATGATTCTCTCCTGCACACAAGGATCAGGAACTTGGTGGACTAGAAAAGAAAAAGTGTACCAAGCATTCCCCAAACTTCTGTGGCCTGGAGATGGCTGAGGATGGATGCACAATCACCCATTTGGGGTGACTTTCTTAGTCACGCTTTCAAGGGTATCCCAAGGGTATTTGTTATGAGGAAGTAGAAAGGACAGACTTCAGAAACACCAGAAAAGGCCAAGGTTCTGAAGTCACACATAGAAACTAAGGTAGCCTCCTTTGTCCACTCTCCTGAGACGGCCACTGGATGTCTCCATGAGATTTTTTCCCTCTGGCACTACTGTCTTTTCCCCTAACCATACCTCAGTGAGGCCATCTTCTAGAAAGTGTCATGTGGATTAGTTAGGTCTCGATTTGTTGCAAACGTCAACAGAACTAACCCTTATAACTGGTAGAACATCCATCTGGTGCATCCAAAAACTCAAATTTGCTTTTGGTCTTGCCATCTCTGGTTTCTTCTGTGATGGCTTCCTTCTCAAGTAGTTACCTCCCCACAGAAGATCAGAGATGATCCTAGAGCTCCAAACTAACAACTTCTTAGAAGCCCCAGTAAATGTTCCAGACTGGGATCTCACTAGCTAAGCCTAGGTCCTGGGCCACACCTGAGGTGAGGTTAGGCAGTCACAACGGTGGGCTTAGAGTAGGACAAGGTAGCTCCCCAAAGCTCCTCTTCCCAGGACAAAACCACAGTTGGGCACTTTACCACCAAAGGCAACTGCAGCTTCCAAGATGGACTCTCCAGGCACGTCCAAAAAGAGAACCTTGACAATTACAGTGTCAGTCATCACATGTATTTCCCCTTCCCTCTCTTCTCTCCACCTTTTCTTTGATAGCTATTGTCTATTGAACCAAATGAAGTGGTAGAGGAGGAGGGAGTAGCCGAGGAAAAAGAAGTACCTTTTATGGAGAAAGAGTCACCTGAGCCGCAGGTGCCCGAGAAGCCGGTGCCCGAGCAGCCGGTCCCCGATCAGCCGGTCCCCGACCAGGAGAATGCGACCACACTGGAAGAGCCAGTGGGGCAGAAGATGACAGCTAAGAAAGAGGAGGTGGTCACGAAGCCAAAAGGATCTCTGACACCAGAGAAGAAACTAACACTCAAGGAGGAACTTTAGGTTCTCCAAAGCCAGGAGGAAGGGGCCCATGTTTCGGGTCTGGTGTCATTTCTGAGTGGATCAGAATACTCCAAGAATATATCATTATGGCAGGGTGGGTGGGTGCTGGAGAATAAAACCCCTAATGACGTTGGCCCTGTTTTACTCATTACCTCTTTTTTTTTTTTTTCCTGGTTGATACTGCCTTTGGAGAGCTACACACAGATGTGAGAGAAGCCACAGAGCAACATTTAATAAGTGTTTACACACTCATTCATCTAATTCTAGAGCATCACTGGAGGCTGAGATTCTTATAAGAAAACTGAGGCACAGAGAGGTCAGGCAATCAGGATCACGCAGAAAGCTGCTGGGTTAGAGCCCCCAGAATCTCACCGCAGACACTGCACTGAACCTTGTGCCTACCACCTCCTGCCAGGGTGGAGCTCCAGGAGTTTGACTGAACCTTCCAAATGTGGTCAACTGATTTGCATTTTGGCACAGCAAGGAATAGATTCAACTCTAAAAGACTATCCCTAGATTTTCACACGTGACCTGCTCACTCAAGCAATTGTGCTGGGAGCATCCTCCATGGGGTCCTTTCCTTTCACTACCATAAAAGTTATTTACCAATCCACATGATTCCACCCACATCCTTCCATGTGGCCCCACCCACTTCCTTTCATGTAGCCCCTCCCACTTCCTTCCATGTAGCCCCTCCCACTGCCTTCCATGTAGCCCCTCCCACTGCCTTCCATGTGGTTTTACTTCCTTCCTTCCATGTAGCCCCTCCCACTGCCTTCCATTTGATTTTACTTCCTTCCATGTAGCCACGCCCACTTCCTTCCATGTGACTTCACTTCCTTCCATTTAGCCCCTCCTCCTTCCTTCCTTCCATATAGCCCCTCCCACTGCCTTCCACATAGCCCTTCCCACTTCCTTCCTCGTGGCTCTACCCACTTCACTCCGTCTCCTGTACCAGTCACTGTGTTTCTCAGCTGCAGAAGCCTGGTAATTCATCGTTCCTGCCACTCTATACCTCTCTTCTCCCAGCACCCAAATTTCATACAAATGCTGGGCTGATGTTTTAAAAGTCACAGCTGTGAGTTCTTACAACTCTGCCCTGTTTCAGCCCCAGAGCGCCATCTTTATTGTTTTTAGGATAAAATCCAGTCGTCTCACCTATGTGCAAGGTCCTGAAGGTCTGCCCAGCCGATCTCTTCTCCCTCCCTCTCTCCCTCTCACTTTCTAGGCTCCAGTTCCACTTCTTGTCCATTCTTCGAACAAACCACATTCTCTCTGTCCTTGCAGCTACCCCCTTTGCCTAAGATGCTCTCCCTTCGGGAAACACTCCCTGCCCCCACCTGGCTCTTCATGTAACTGTGTTCATATTCAAATGTCAGCTCCAGTGTCACCACTTCAAAGAAGCCCTCTTGGATACAGAAATTTGAATATTTGATACTAATATTTTTATTACCTCACGGTGCAATTGTGTGCCGCCTCCCTGCCCGTCAGCCCCATGAAAGAGGACACATCTGTTTTCTTTCTTACTGCATTCCCAGTGCCTAGGATTCTGCTTGGTGCCCAGTAGATGCTTCATAAACGTCTATGAACCAAGTAACTATATCAGGCAGTACTCTCTCTCTGAGACACATGATTTCATGGTCACCCCAAAAGGAAGAGATGAGGCCAGGGTCTTCAGATCCAAATTAGAGCCTGTATTCTTTGACAAATTAACACAGACTTCATGGCTCAACAAACCACAAATTGATTGTCAGAGAGTTCTGGAGGCCAGAAACACATTTCCCTGGGCTACGTCATCACGGTTGCTTCCTTCTGGAAGAATCCCTCTCCTTGCTTTTTCTAACTCATGGGTGCCACCTGCATTCCTTGGCTTGTGGTTCTAGCCTGGAGTCACTCTGACCGTTTGTTTCATCCTCCCATCTCCTGCTTCCTATGATTCTGCCCCAGAATCTCTCCTGTAAGCACCATGGGGTTGAATCTAGCCTGCCTGGGTAATATCTCAAGACCTTTAATCACTCCTGCCCAGTCCCTTTTGTCCCATAAGACAATAATCACAGGTTCCAGGGATTAAGGTGTAGACATATGGAGGGGGGTCATTATTCAGCCTACTACACATACTGCTGATCTGTGTCATTTATTTCAGCCCATTAATAAGACTTCTGTTGAGGAAAAGGATATTATTTTAGGGACTGTGGTATCTGTAAATCATCCAGCCCCCTCCACTTCCCACCTGTCACCTAGGCAGGATCTGTTTGTGCTTTTGTTCAGGCCTCCAGAGCCCATTTCCATACCACTGCGCCCCCAGCCTGGCCTGTCTGCATCCAGACGAAGCAGGGGACAGCCTGGGGCCCTGGAACTCACCTGTGCCAGGCACCCTGACACGGGCAGGTGTTAGTATTCAGGACACGGGACAAGGCTCACCTGCTTCCACCTTAAGGCCAGGTGGCTGCCGGCTGAGAGTGGGTTCACAGGGGCTGCTGAGAATCACGTGGAACAGGGCTTCTGACCAGCCACCAGCCAGAGAACAGGTGTGCCACTTGCAAGTCCCGCAGGTGTGACTGCGGCCTCAGAGTGGGACTCAGATGGGGGACGCGGTATAGGTGCATGGGGCAGGTGACATCCCTCAATGAGGAAGGTCTTCTCCCTTAGCTCATATTCTGCCCCTTCCCAATACCTGCTAACCTCTGCTACTAATCTCTTGTATTCTGTCTGACCAGTTTTCCAACACTCCATTTCTTAGCTGCACTCTTCCAGAAAAGACCTAAAATTCTCCTAAGGACCTTCTATGGCTGAACATGGAATGTTCTTTACCCTCTATGGACACAGTCCATCAGAGAGCTAAATCTGAGTGAGGTTTAGGTTTGAGTCTGGAGTTAGCATTGACTAGCTGTGTCACCTTGGCAAAGGTCCCCAGCCTCTCTGAACTTTGGGCCTGTGGCCCCCTCCACCTCCCACCTGCTATGGGTTGTAACATGGATTGCTGCGATTCACTGTTTCCCGTGACTGATGTAAAAACACAACACGTGACATCTGAGGAGTATTCTGTATGCCAGAGCTGTGGCGATTATTAAAATTAAGTCTCTTGTCCCTGTTTGAAAGTTAAGAGTATTTCAAGAGATCAAGCGAGGTTCATTCAAAAGCATTTAGTGAACCTTGACCTGAAAATAAGATTAAACATATTGGTTGTATTTGAACAGGGAGGTCTTGGATGGTCTTGGTGAGCAATGTCAAAGGAGCTGGCTGCTCAAGGGCTATACAGCTGTGACCTAGAGATGTGCACATAAATCATTCAAGACATTTGGTGATGAAAACCACAGAAAGGGCAGAAATTGGTGGGATGCGTGTGGGATCCAAGGACTGTTTTTGCAGAAGTGGGTGGCAGAGGTGAACACACCAGGGGGTGAGAGCAGAGATACAGGAGCAAGGGATCGAGGGAAGGAAAGGTCATGAGAGGATCTTTCAGAGGAAGGAGGAGGGGGCCTTCATCACTAGAGAGACGTAGGTAAATGGGTTGAATGAGAGGCCACAGCGCAGGGGCTCCAGTGAAGTCCACCATGTTGTCCTCAAGTGTGTGGCTGAGGAGAGAGACCTGAGGAGGGTGGGCGAGTGACCATCTGGAGACACTGCAGGGTGACCCAGCTGGGTCAAGCGAGGACAATGTCTACTGTTTCAAAAGGTAGGTTATATTATTATATATAAAGATGGCTTCTTATGCTCACAGATCCCAAGAGGTGGGGACATGCCAGGCCTCGGAGGGGAGGGGACTGGGGACGGGGGAGGCATACGGCGAAGCACCTGGGGGTCAGGCAGCAAGAGCCTTTATTGGGGTGTCTACAGCAAAAAATGGGAGAGGCCAGTAAGAGGTTAGGGACTGACCAGTATTCATGGTTCCAGGGGGGCCTGAGGCACAGGGGTCATGCCCAGCTTTCTGGTTCCTGGGTGTCTCCTGGGGTGAACAGAGTGGGAAACGTGCCCCTAAGGCGAAGGCCCCATCATGAGGCAGGCAGACGCAGGCTCTGGAGCGGTGGGCTAGCCTGGGAAGGTCCCCTGGCAAGCAAGTTGTTGGCTGTCTCTGGAAATTAGCTGTCCCCAGCGGGGATTGTCACAGTCAGGAAGGCACCATGGGGTGACAGATCAAACACAGAAACTAGAAAGCACTGTGACACTTGGGAACAGATTCCAGCCCCAGCGCCCCTTTGTCCCACCTTGTCATCTCCAGAAACCCCTGGAGTCGCCAGCTTTGAACCCCTCAAGGACACCCAGCCTAGGTGCCCATGGACCTCCTCAGAAAGGCACGGGCTACCAATGGCTGGTTCTAGAAAGAAGAGTAAATGGTAATTCAACAAACAAAGAGATGATAACATCCCTCTTCGCCCAAGGGCTGCGAAAGTGAGCCATGATGAGATACCTCTTATCTTTTTGGCCAAAATAAATGGAAGCCAGGCCCAGAGCTGGTGAGTCCTGTGGTGGGGACTGGCAATTACTTTTTGAACACCTCTGTGGGCTGCTATTTGGGAAGAGGTACCCGTAGTCTTCGTGCTGTGCCAACTTTTTTGACTCAGAAAATTCACTCCTGTGAAATTATCCTAAGGTGTTTGTCCCAGTGCCAAGGACTAGTACATGGGACAGATGAAGGAAATCCCCCAAAAGTCAGTGAGGAGGCCGTGGTTCTATTTCCTGTTCAGCCCAAGTTCATAGGCATTTTTTCTCATCATGATGACATCCTCTGTGACACTGATTTTTGGGTTGCCACCCACAGGGGACAGGGTCAGGAGACATGGCTCCCAACTACTCAGGCCATTTTTTGCCTCTGTGACTGTCCATGGGCAAAGCAGCATTTGTAGAATTTCCATGAACGAAATCGTCCCTATGTGCCTTCACTTGCGCCATCTCCATTAACTACCACTGTCTCTCAGGGAGATGGGCGGTCACCTGTTGTGGACAAGGAGAACAAGTTCAGGAAGATTAAGAAATGAGCCGGGCTGGATGGTGCATGCCTGGAATCCCAGCAGCTCGGGAGGCTGAGGCAGGAGGATCGCGAGTTCAAAGCCAGCCTCAGCAACATCGAGGCACTAAGCAGCTCAGTGAGACCCTGTCTCTAAATAAAATACAAAATAGGGCTGGGGATGTGGCTCAGTGGTCGAGTGCCCCTGAGTTCAATCCCTGGTACTCCCCGCCCCACAAAAAAGAAAGAAATGGGTCCACGGGGGTCAGAGTCATTATTTTTTCATGCATTTGATGAATATTAGTTAAGCACCTACTATGGACCAGGCACTGGGGATCTGGTAATGAGCAAACATGATAAGGGCAGACCTAGGATTCAGACTGGCTGACTCCAAAGTCAGTCTATTTAAATCATAAAGTCATTCCACGGCCCAGGGGCCCCCTCTGCACATGGGAATTTAGATCTCCATGTTTCAGAGTGGGCCGGGTCCAGGATATCCTGGTCTGACTTCCTACCCTTCTCGGCCCCTCTCTTGCCCATGTGTGGACCCTGGAGGAGGAGGCTGATCTGGTGAGGATGGAGAGCAGGAAGGAGCCCTCCCAGGACGGGGACCCATCCAGCACGGGCAGCCAGCAGCCCTTTTACCCTAATGCAGGCTGGCTTCAGGGACTGGCATCTGCCTGACTCTCTGGGTCCACCTCGTCCTTGTCAGTGACCAAGAAAAAGTCCAGGCCCTGCCTGCCCAGTTAATGTCTAACCCAGGAATCTCTGGATGTCAAAAGGTGCAGAACAGAGACCTTGTATTTCCAGGCACAGGGGGACCCCAAGGTCAGTCACTTGGTGTCTCCAGTTATTAGGGGACAAACAACCACCTCACAGTTTGGAACAGGCCAACATGTTGCCAAAGGAAAAAAGCAGACTTCCCCCCACCCCCAAGGAAAAGATCTCAAGGAACAGAACCAGAGACTAATTGGAGGAGAGAGTGCCCACCAGGGGCCAATGTGTGTATAAATAGGAGGCACACACTTGTGCCTGGACCAGCCTTTCCCTTCTGCTTCAGGTAAGGCACCCTGTGGCTCTCTTCTCCTGGCCCAGCATCTCCCCATTTCTGCTGGCTTCCATTCTATTTGAGGGAGGTAGGTGAGAAAGTCAAGTGTTTGGACCCTTGGGGTGGGGGCAGAGTTATTATTTTTCATTCATTTCATGAGTATTAGCTAAGCACCTACTATGTACCAGGCACTGGGGATATGGTAATGAGCAAACATGAAATTCCTTTTAATTAAGCAATATGTCAGCAAGCAGTGCACAGTAAGGATAAGAATAGTTTGACAAAACTTGGATTGATTTTGTGTGTGTGTGTGTGTGTGTCTGCATGCACACATAGGAGCAACTGCCCTGAATCAGGACATAACATCTTTTCCTTATGGCATACGTTAGTCACAAAGGTCTAGAAAACATGGCTCTAGAATGTGAGTTCTTTGAGGGCAGGGACTTCTCATAACTGAACTTGGCACAATTTCTGGAAGCAGTGATCCCTTCTTCAAAAATGAGAAAATCCAGTCTTAGCAGACTGACGTACCTTGCCCAAGGTCACACTGGTAGTGACTGCCAGTACAGGGACTTGAAACACGTTTGTAGGCTCAGTAAGAATTGGAAACTCCCATCCACCTAGGACATAATAAGTGACCACTCTAGAAACATGGTGCTGTGTTGTGAAGGTTGATCATCTCTCATCAACCTTGGCTTATCTCAGGGCATTTCTCTACCATACTTGAGTAGCAATGGAGACATGGACTTATCATTATTCATTGTTCTCCTTGGCACCTAGCTCCCTGTTTGGTACATAGTAGCTACTCAGTTAGTGTTTGCTGAATGGCTCTGAGTCAGTTCAATGTTTCCAGGCAGGGCATCGGCGCTGGCTGTTAAGATACAGAGCTGCCTCTGGTAAGGTGGGTGGTGAGTCCAGAGCACTACCCCTTCTTGTCACTTGGTGCTCCTAGTGAGAGATTTAGTGTTCAAAATGTGCAATGCGCTGAGACTTGGGAATCAAGGGTGGGTTGTGGGTGGGAATGAGGGTGCCACAGCAGAAAGGAAACCCCACCAAAGCTAGGGGCTGTCGCGTGGCACATATTTGTAGTCCACATAAATGGCTCATCCGGGAGTCGCACAGCGTACAACCAAGGCTTTCCTCCCAAGTACAGACAAGGGAGTCAGGTCCTGCATTTGTCCCATTTTTGATCTATGATCACAGGACTTTCAGCATCAGGGCAGAAGTCCCAAGGGGCCAACTCGTCCTTGCCCTCGGGCAGTTGTTCCCAGGACCAGAAGCAGCCGGGAAGAGCAGAAAGGATGGGCCGTCTGTTCTCTCTGACCTGGTGGCTGATGGTCACAGTGGCAACCGCTTGGTTCATCAGAGCTGTAGCCACAGACTCCTCGGAAGCAAGTAAGTGGGGCGTGTGCGCGCATGTGCGCATGCGTGAGTTGTGCTGCAATGCGCCCTTTGAGGAAGCACTCCTTCTCCCTCCCCTCTCTTGCCTGGGATTTCCATAGTCTTTATTCTAAGTCCATTTCTTAGGCTGTAAAGTGCACGGGACTCCCCTGGAAAATCTGCTAAAATGCAGTTGGCTTCCATAGGTCTGCAGCCGGGCCTGGCACTCTGAATGTCTACCAAACTCCCAGGTGATGCTGACACTGTGGTCCTTGGACCTCACACCGAGAAGCACGGGGCTAGAGCATCACAAGGACTTTCCAACACTTGACTAGAGTCAGGAGCACACTCCACCAAACGGGGGATTTGCAGACACCAGGGCGACCCCCAAACACCTCCCCTTTCAACCTTCAGAGGTGGTTCCCTGGGTTGCTCACCGCCCTCACCCCACTTTCAGCCTCTCTTTGGAGCACAGCAAATACGATTGTTGGGCCGTAGTTAAGAGCCCACGCTCTGGCCCTGCCATCTGCACGCATGTCATGGCTGTGCTGTTCCCATCTGAGCAAGTGACTTAATCTTTCTGAACCTCAGTTCCCTCGTCTTTAAGATAAAGATAAATAAAAACAGATTCCAAGGAGCCGCTGGGAAGGATTCATGAAGACAATGAGTGAAAGTGTATATCCTGTTACTTAGCATGTAGTAAATGCTCACTAAACAACAGCTTTTTTTTTAAACTATTATTTTTGTGGTGGAGGAACAAAGTACAACAGCCCTGCCAGGTGGACTTGGGGAGGTCTTCAGAAAGCAGGCAACACTGAGCAGTTTCTTGATAAAAGCTCATCCAGCAGGAAAGGGGCCTTGGACAGAAGGCATAAAATGGGCAAAATCCACCAAGGGGCAGCAGGTTCTAGAAGAGTATGGGGGATCCTGTGCTTTTTCCTTTGGATGTGGGGCGGTGTGTCAGGAAGACACAACTTGAAGGTGATGCTTAAGGTAGACTATGAGCTTAACATCGCCAGGGGAGGTGACAGGTCTGTTTTGGAGCGAACATCGGTTCCCTTGGGCGCAGGGTGGGGATCTTTGGTTGACCATTAGCCCAGCTGCTCGCGCTCTGAGGCTGGTCTTTTCTGGATGCAGGGAGGTGCTCTGAGTGTCACAGCAATGCCACCTGCACGGAGAACGGGGTCGTCACGACGTGCTCCTGCCAGGAGGGCTTCACCGGTGACGGCCTCGTGTGCGCGGACCTCGACGAATGCACCATCCCAGGGTCGCACAACTGCTCCGCCAACAGCAGCTGCGTGAACACGTTGGGCTCCTACGCGTGCGTCTGCGCAGATGGCTTCCGCCTGTCGCCAGGGCAGGGCTGCGTGGACGTGGACGAGTGCGCCGAGCCGGAGCTCAGCCGCTGTCACGCTCTGGCCACCTGTGTCAACGTGGAGGGCAGCTACCTGTGCATGTGCCCCGAGGGCTACGGGGGCGACGGATGGCACTGCGAGTGCTCCCCGGGCTCCTGCGGCCCAGGGCTGGACTGCGTGCCCGAGGGGGACCAGCTGGTGTGTGCCGATCCGTGCCAGGCGCACCGCATCCTGGACGAATATTGGCGCAGCACCGAGTACGGGGCTGGGTACACCTGCGACACGGACCTGAGCGGCTGGTACCGCTTTGTGGGCCCGGGTGGCATGCGCCTGGCCGAGACCTGCGTGCCGATCCTGCGCTGCAACACGGCTGCGCCCATGTGGCTCAACGGCACGCACCCGTCCAGCGACGAGGGCATCGTGAACCGCACAGCCTGTGCGCACTGGAGCGGTCACTGCTGCCTGTGGGACACGCCGGTCCAGGTGAAGGCCTGTGCCGGTGGCTACTACGTCTACAACCTGACAGCGGCCCCCGAGTGCCACCTGGCCTACTGCACAGGTGAGCTGCGCCCCTCCTCGCCGGCTCCTAGACAGGGGAATGGGGTGTGTCTTTGTTGACGCTCTGTCTGTCCCCTGTGGTCCTGCAGATCCCAGCTCCGTGGAGGGCACGTGCGAGGAGTGCAGTGGGGACGAGGACTGCATATCGGATAACGGCAGGTGGCGCTGCCAGTGCAGACAGGACTTCAACGTCACCGGTAAGGACAGCGGAGCGGAGGTGGTTTGTTGAGAAAGTGTCAGAGACTGGGGGAGGGGCACATTCCGGGGGGGGGGGGGGGGCTGTGGACATAACCCAGGGGACACGTATCCAATCTGAAAAGGAAAATTCCCCTGACACTCATTAAAACTGGCTCCCTGTGCCATTTTAGTTGGTCCCAAAGCTCCCAGGGATTAAGGGACCTCACACTCATCCTCCTTTCTGAGGTCCCCCACCCTGCAGTGGACATACAAGTTGCTGCCACCATGTAGCCAGAGGCCACCCAAGCCACCTGTGGCATTGCAGTTCAGGCTCCAGTATCTATTGACCAGCTTGGGATCCTGGGCAGGGCACTGGCCATCTCCGAGCCTCAGTTTCTTCATATGACAATTATTGGAGATGGCTAGTGTCTCCAGGCTTGTCATGATTTCTGTCACAACCCAGTGCCAATTTCCCAATTCTGCTTTCTCCAAGTACCACCTATGCTGTGAATTTTATTATTATTTTTTATATTTTTTATTTGTTCCTATTAGGCATGGCAGTAGAATGTATTTTGACATATTATAAACTCTGGAACCAACCTAGGTGCCCTTCAACCGATGGATTTTATTATTAAACCCATTTTTCTTCAAATGGACTGCATCTCATCTCCAAATTCATTTGGGATGTTGGTGGTCACCTCCGTGTTGGCTGCTTAATAACACCGACTTGAGAAAATTAACTGTCAAAACAAATCAACAGAAAAGAAAGTTATTGCAATGATTGCAGTAAAGCAATTTTCTAAAAACACTGAAAAATTAAGATGTACTTTAGCCAATGAAAATTCTAGCTGGCTGTCACTGCTGAGCCCAAGGCCTGCTCCCTGCTTAAGGGGAAAAGTCACAAGTACATAGTAATAAAGACATTAGCAGTAAGTGAGAACTGTCCCCTTCAGGTAGAGAGACTAGAAAGAAACTGCACTTAATTTTTACTTTTCTTTTTAAAAATTGGATTCAATACTATTTAATGCTGGACCACCAAAGATCTCCCCCAAACCATCCCATATTTTGTGTACAACCCCCCCTTCGGGGAATGTGGGCTGCATGGTTGACCCTTGGACCCATGCGGGAGTACTCAGATGCAGTCTTGTGTCCCCATCTCTCCAAGAGATGCTCCAAGGTGGAGCATCCCAGCGGGTGCCCAATCCAGCCACCCTGGCCTGACCCTTGGGGACTGCTGGGCACCTGAACTACAGACACAGGCCCCAAATCTTGTCCTTCCTGACTTTGCAGACATCTCCAACCTGGAGCGCAGGCTGGAATGTGGGGCCAATGACATCAAGGTGTCCCTGGGCAAGTGCCAGCTGAAGAGCCTGGGCTTCGACAAGGTCTTCATGTACCTGCGGGACAGCCACTGCTCGGGCTTCAGGGAGAAGGGCGAGCGGGACTGGATGTCTGTGGTGACCCCCGCCCAGGAGGGCCCCTGCGGGACGGTGTTAACGGTAGGCCCGGGTCCCCCTGGGGCAGGGTCGGACACTGCCTGGTCACGCCCCAGGTCTACCACTTAGCAGGTGTGTGAGCATGGGCGAGTTTTGTGGCCTGGCTGAGGGACTAAATCGGAGCTCACCAGATTGTTGAGAGGACTCAGTGAGTCACCCGTCAATGCGTCTGAAGTGGCTGGCACTTAGTAAGAGCTGAATAAATGTTACTTACTTTCAAATACAGAGGAGATCCAGGTGATCGTTGCCCATTTTACAGATGGGAAAAGTAGGGTCGGTGGCAGTGATTACTCCCGGCCAGTAGGGGTCAGCGTTGGGAGCAGAAGCCAGGTCGGCTGGTTTCCAGTGGCCCTGGGAGGAGACCCAGGACCTTGCCCACAGAGGCCTCCTCCGATGGGATGCAGAGGTAAAAAGGTTTGAGTGAGGAGCATTTGCTTCTTTCTGCCTCTCTAATCCCCTGAAAGCAAAAGAAAAGAAGAAAGTAAATAATTGTCATTTGCCAAGGTCGCGAGGTGAAATTCCACTGTGACGACTTGCTATGAAGCATGGGCTACTGGAAAGAGGCCGGCTTCCTAGCTCCCCCGTGCTGCGTGCCTCAGTCACTCGGAACCTCTGTCTCCTCTTTCACCAAGCAGGGCTTGCCTCCTAGGCTCATCAGGGGACTAATTCAGTAACGTGGAAGAGCATGTAGCTCAGGGTCTGGCACGTGACATGTGCTCACGAATGCTCACTGCTGTCGTAACTCTTAATCACAGAGACTGGGAAGGCAGCAGCTGGCAGGTGGCTGGAGACAACCTGTTTCAGCATCAAAGTCTAAGATTCTCTTGGTTCTCTCCCGCTCCTCGCCCTCCCACACAGAGGAATGAAACCCATGCCACCTACAGCAACACCCTCTACCTGGCGAATGAGATCATCATCCGCGACGTCAACATCAAAATCAACTTCGCGTGCTCCTACCCGCTGGACATGCTCGTCAGCCTGAAGACCTCCCTGCAGCCCATGGTCAGGTGCGGCCGGCAGGGCCTCCAGTTACGCCTGGGCAGCCCCACCCACAACCCCTTCCTCACCCAACTCTTCTGCCCTGGCAGCTGCCACCCCCAAGGAGCTGGGTTTGGGGACTGGGAGTCAGGTTTGCTTAGTGGAAGGGCCCCAGTGAGGAACCCTGGAGCCCAAATCCAAATCCGGCCTCTGGTGTATTTTGACCAGTTTGCTCTGGGGAGTCCACTGCCCGGGTCCCCCTGGGGCAGGTCTGGGTGTCAGCCCCCTGAAGAAGAAGAAGAAGGACCCGGTATGTCATCCAGCCCCTCTGGATGTCAGCCAGGGATTGGACAGCACTTGTACTACTTTTCTTAGGAGGACAGCAGTGTCCTGCAGATGTGAATCAAATATTAGAGTCTCTGGCTTTTTGGAAAGGAGGGAAGAAGAGGGGGTCTCAGTCCAGCCCTGTGATGGGACTTTGGGCAAATCATATCCCAAATTTTGACCTCAGTTTCCCTTCTCTGTAAATTGAAGATGTCTGACTACAGAGCATTTACGAATTATGCTCTTTGGAGGTGCCTTGGTGGGGTGGGGGTTGCTTATAGAGGTGAGCCAGAGAATCCCCCCAGGATGGGCACCGCATGAGGTTTAACTGCCTTTTTTTTTTAATTGGTACCAGAGATTGAACTCAGGGGCACTTGACCACTGAGCCCCATCCCCAGCCCTATTTTGAATTTTATTTAGAGACAGGGTCTCACTGAGTGGCTTAGCGCCTCGCTTTTGCTGAGGCTTCTTTCAAACTCGTGAGCCTCCTGCCTCAGCCTCTCGAGCTGCTGGGATTACAGGCTTGACCCACCACTCCTGGCTAGGTTTTACTATTTTTAAAGAGACCATCCTGTCGCTAAATAAAATGGAAAGTCTTCAAATAGAATGAATCACAGGCCCCAAGGATGCCAACATTGGGAAAAAGGACAGCCGTATTCATAATTAGCATTTATTGAGCGCTTACTATATGTCAGGCAAAGTGCTATACACCGACCATCTCATTAAAATCTTATAGTAGCCCTAAGAATGTAGATATTCCTCCCCCTCCCCCTCCTCATCCCCCTCCTCCTCCCCCTCCTCCCCTTCCTCCTCCTCTTTTCTACTGATGTGGACATTGTGGCTCAGACAAGTTTGAGTCATTTACCTAAAGTTGTAAAATCTAGTAGGTGGCAGAGCTGGGATTCAAACATCAGGTCGAGCGCCCCTGCCAGATGGTGACCTGTACTTTGGGGTTACGTGTTCTCTGGGCCAGCCAGACTCAGGGAAGCGTTCTGGGCTCAGTTGAGGGTGTGTGGCTGACTTGGAGGAAGAAGATCGCTCACAGCAGGTTGTTGACAGGAGCACCACGTGGACAAGGAGTGTCCTGCAGCAACCTGGTCCCGTCCTAGGCCTGGGAGGTGCCAGGGCGACACCTCTTGTGATCAGACCTTGTTTGGGTTTGAGCTAGAAATCTCACCTGTGATTGAGCTCCAACTTCCCTGGGTATTGTCATGTACTTTATTTCATGTGACAGTGTCCTTTGAAGGATCACCCAGTGAAGTTCACATTAGTGTGACTGTTTTCAATGAGGTCACAAAATAAACCATTTGTAAAACCCCCGTCATCTGACATAGGTTAGAACTTCACCAGGAGCTGAGACCCGGGTCTGTGAGCTCCTGTGAGCTCCTCACGGCTCACCTGCTGTTCCAGACTAAAGAAGGAAGCCAGGCGGTTTCCTCCAGAAGTTGCTTGATCCATCTTGAAAGGTCCCAGGGGTTGTAGCACAGGCCACCGAGAGAGGGACCGGGTATGTCCCTCGAGATACGGTCTACAGATCTGCCGAGTCACACCACTCGGGAGCTGGGTAGACACGCAGAACCTTGAGCTCCACCCTGAACCCACCCAATCAGAACCTGCATTGTAACCAGACCCCAAGGTGACCCCTGCTTGCTTGTCGCAGTTTGCAAAGTCATGGTGAGTGGCTTCCGGTCCAGCTGCTGGACAAAGATGCAGAGAACTGTCAGGGACTTTCCAGGAGTGCTGAGCAGGCAGGGCCGCCCTCTGTGGCCGCCCTGCTGGGTCCCCTGACCAGCCGCTCTTGCCCGCAGCGCCCTGAACATCAGCGTGGGTGGCACGGGCGAGTTCACGGTGCGCATGGCACTCTTCCAGAGCTCGACCTACACGCAGCCCTACCAGGGCCCCTCCGTGGCTCTGTCCACCGAGGCTTTTCTGTACGTGGGCACCATGCTGGATGGAGGGGACGTGTCCCGGTTTGCCCTGCTGATGACCAACTGCTATGCCACTCCCAGTGGCAATGCCACAGACCCCCTGAAATACTTCATCATCCAGGACAGGTAGGCAAGGGCTCCCAGGCGGGGCCGCCCATGGGTGGGGCTTGGGGAGGTCTGTGGGCCTGGATGGGTGAAAAGTGCATCTTTATATTCATTATCCTCGAGCTAAAATGTGGCATTCCATTGGGAATATAGACCAGGAAAAGAAAAAAGCAAAGAAGAGTCACCTAGAAGAGACTGCAGTGTTCCTCGATGCATTTTATGTGATCTAATTCCACACGACCGTACCATGCACTCAGATACAGCATACATAGATGGAGTATGATTTCTCCTCCTTCTGGTTGTATAATGTAGACTCATACATGTCCATAGGGTGATAATGTACAATTCCTTCTGGGGTATCCTTCCTACCCCACACCCCCTCTCCTCCCTTCACTCCCCTCTACCTAAAGTACCTCTATTCTTCCCTAGCTCCCCCCCACACACACCTTGTTGTGAATTAGCATCCACATATCAGAGAAAACAGTTTTTTGGTTTGGGGGGATTGGTTTATTTTGCTTAGTATGATAGTCTCCATCTCTATCCATTTACAGGCAAATGCCATAATTTCATTCTTCCTCAAGGCTGAGTAATATCCCATTGTGTATTTATATCACAATTTCTTTATCCATTCATCTGTTGAAGGACACCAAGGTTGGTTCCATAGTTTAGCGATTGTGCATTGAGCTGCTACAGACATTGGTGTGGCTGCGTCGCTGTAGTATGCTGATTTTAAGTCCTTTGGGAAGTAGGAGGATGATAACTGGGTCAAATGGTGGTTGCATTCCAGATTTTCTGAGGAATCTCCATTCTGCTTTCCAGAGTGGTTGCACCAATTTGCAGTCCTACTCATCAATACTTTTTAGTTACTATAGTACTAGAATTTCCACTGCACTTTACCATTTAATGCACTATCAAATATATATGTGCAAATACATTTATATATAATATCTATGCAAATATGTAAAGTATATATCAAAATTTGTAATATTTTAAGAAATGTGAAGAAAAAAAAAAGAAATGTGCTACCATTTAGTTTCCTATATAATCTTTAAAATATTTTATTGCATGCTTTTTAAAACATTACATTTGAGGCGGGTTGCAGGAGTTTCCCCAGAGCACCAAAGGGCTCCTTTCCTGATGGAAAGGCAGGACCAGAGCCATGGGCAGCCTGGCACCTGGCCCGGAGCCAGGAGGAGCAGGCACTGTTAGCCAAGGACCAGTTGAAACGGGAAGACACAGGTGTGCTGCCTTTACTCAAGAGGCTTTAGAAAACTGTGACCCTGTCCATGAGTAAGAGCATTTCATCCACAAGTAGAACAGATACCCTGGAGGCTCCCTGTGTGCCAGGCTCTCATTCGGCAGTGAGTAAAAGAGACTAAAAGCTCTGCTCTTGCGTGGCTTATATTCTGAAGGGGAGATCAACAAGTAAATGAAAGTGAAATCTATAGTATGTTAGTGGAGAAAGGCCGTGGAAAATGAAGGGTGTCTGCCATTTGGGGGTGGGGGGTACTGGGGATTAAACTCAGGGGCACTTGGCCACTGAGCCCCATCCCAAGCCCCACTTTGTATTTGATTTAGAGACAGGGTCTCACTGAGTTGCTCAGCACCTCACTTTTCTGAGGCTGGCTTTGAACTCATGATCCTCCTGCCTCAGCCTCCCGAGCCACTGGGATTACAGGTGTGCGCCACCGAGCCGCGTTTGCCATTTTAATAGCACAGTCAGGGAAAGCATCCTAAGAGGTCATGTCTGACCTATTCGGTTTCAAAGGGGAGATTCTCAGTCAGGTGCTAATTAGATGTTCTCTGTTACTAGGAATATCCCTTTGCAATAAAAAAGAGCGCCTAACTCTGTTTTAGCTCTTTGTGCGATGAACAGTGTCTGATTAAAGTGTCTAGCGCTCTCTTGTTGACCTTTTCATTTGTTTGATCCTGTTCTATTAGTGGCGGAAGGTGATTGACAGTTGTGGTCCTGATCTAAAGATTCTAGGGAGTGAATATATTTCATCAAAATATGTAAGTGGATTAAAAGTCGGACACACCAAGGGTTGCTGGAGAGGACACTTGGGTGCCTTGCTTGGGAGGGGGTGTCCTTGGGCGGTCACTGGCCATGGGGGACACCTCTCTCTGCTTTTTGGGAGGTGAGGCTGCTTTCATTTTATCAAGAGCAGTTTGTGGTTTTAGGATCAGATCTGACTTCTGGGGCACACAGGGCAGAGACTGCCACCCCCACAAGTCCCTTTCTCAGTTCTCAATGTCACGTTCGCCCTGTCTTCTAAATCAAACTTTGAGAAAAACGTGGGGAAATAGCAGAGGGTCACCCAGTTTGCCTGCCCCAGTTTGTCCACACCTCCCGACGGGTGAGAGTCTCTGCGTGTGCCATTTGGGGGTTGTAAGTGTGATTCGGTGTCCTTGTGTACGCCTACAGACAGGTGCACACACTTCAGCTTGGTCAGTGACACTCAGCACCTCTGACGTTTGCATTGTTGCGACAGATGCACTGTAGACCGCACAGAGCAGCTGACGAGCCTTGAATGGCACTTTCCAAATCAGAAAGTGCTGGCTTTTAGATGGCATTCAGATCAAATATAGATGACACCCACAGAGGGCCACATCCTGTTTGAAGCACTTGGAAAAATAAACTAATTTAATCCCCACAATGATCTTTCCACCTGGGCTGCAGTTATTATCCCCTGCTGTATACAGATGGGGACTTTGAAGCTCAGAGACATGAAGTCCGTTCCCCAAGGCTGCACAGCTAACAGGTGGTGGTGGTGGTGCCATCTTTGAACCCAGGAAGTCTGGGCTCCAGAGTCATTGCTTAACCAAACCCCTCGTATGACATGACCCTCCCGTTCGCCCACCATCAGGTGTCCACACACTGCGGACCCCACCATCCAGGTGGTGGAGAACGGAGAGTCCCCGCAGGGCCGGTTCGCCGTCCAGATGTTCCGTTTCGCTGGTAACTACGACCTGGTCTACCTGCACTGCGAAGTGTATCTGTGTGACACCGTCAACGAGAAGTGCAAGCCCGTGAGTCACCCCCGGCCCCCAGCCAGCCAGCCAGCCTGCCAGCGCCCCTGTCCCATGACCCGAGGCATCTGGCCAGAGGTCCCAGAGAAAGCAAACATACTGGCTGCTTCCCTGTTTTAGCACCAGGTCAGCAGGGACAGGGTGACGGGGTGGCCAAGGCCAAGCAGGAAACCCAAGATGCTGGGAAATCGCTGCTTTCAGTGACCTGCACCCGGCCGGGGGACGGCTAATCCACCTGCCGGCCCAAAGCACTGGGCACCTTACCTGTTGTAAGGTTCCCATGGGCACAGACGGTGTAAGGGACGTGTCACCAGCCCCGTTTGCTAAGGGGGACAGGGGGACCAGAGAACTTAGGTGACTTGCCCGAGACCCTGACAGACGTTAGACCTGATCTCACACCTGCCTCTGCCTCCTCAGCCCCCGCCCAGGCAGGAGGGTGCCCCGGGATCCTACAGCCCCCTCCGATGCCGGGGTCCCAACAGCCTCCCTCACGGAAGGCTCCCTCTGTCACTCTGTCCCTGTAGAGCTGTTCCAGGGCCCGATTCCGAAGTGGGGGCTTCATAGACTCGTCCCGTGTCCTGAACCTGGGTCCCATCACTCGGAAAGGTGAGACCGGCTGCTCCCTCCTCGGGGCTCCTGGCTGGGACTTTCTCTGGGAGAGGACAGGTGACAGAGTCCGGCTCCTGAGGATGTCCCTGGGAACAGAGGGACCAGGAGCAGTTCCATTCGTTCATTGCACAACTGTGTCTTGGTACCCGCCGTGCGCCAGGCCCTGGGCTGGTGTTTGGGGTCTGTGAGGGGCAGAAGCTCCAACCCTGCGGACAGGGAGCCCCGTTCCCGTAACCCCACGTAGACATGTCCGCCTGCAACCGTCCTCTCTGCAGCCAAGAAAATGCAAAAGGAGCCCGAGCTCTAGGGACAAGGGAACCCGTCTAGTGGACTGGGGAGAAATAAGGCTAAGATTAGGAAAGGGAAGTGGCATCCACTAAGAGGGGCAGGGAAGGAGGGAGGGAAGTCCAGGAAGTGGGTACAGCATGAGCAAAGGGCCTGTGGCAGGAGGGAGCCCAGCCTCCTGCAGCCTCTGAGAGAGGCCCGGGCATGCTGGGAACCGTGTGGAAGGAGCTGATGTGGGGGAGCCAGGCCACGCAAGACCTCTTAGCCCACGCTGAGATGTCAGGCCTTTCTTCTGAAAGCACTGGAGAGCCCAGAGCAGGGCGGGGATGTGACGAGGCCTGGGTTTCAGAAAGATGGCTCTGGCTGCCAGGAGCAGAGCAGATTGGAGGGGCTGGTTTCCCGCCAGACCTGCGGCCTCGTGCCTTCTCTGTTCACGGCTCTGCCCTCTGTTTCCCCCACAAAGGTGTCCAGGCCACAGTCTCCAGGGCTGCTTCCAGGAGCTTGGGTAAGTCGGGTCCTTCCTGCACAGAGACCTGCTCCAGAACGTCCTCTGGGGCTTCTGCCTGAGCCCCAGGACAGCCACAGAGCCTGGCCTACCCGGCTGAGCCTGGAAGAGAAGGAGGGCCGCCTCACTCCGGCTGCCTCACGACAGTGCCCGGGGACCCAGGCGCGCTCAGCCACCGGTCGCAATGTGGCTGCACGCACCCCTGAGGTCGCGCACACACCCACATTTTCACACTCAGAAGCATAGGCACCTTCAGTTGCATGCACGTACGTTTGCACGTTCACACACACGCCTGTTACCCACTCCACACACACACACCTGCACCCGCATGCACACTCCCCCGGGCACTTCCTCTTGGGTTCACCTCTGACACCTTTTACGGGATTCACCTGACAGGTGACAAATATTTGTTGAGATCCATTATGTGCCAAGAACCATGATTAGTGCTGCAGTGAGCACCCCCCCCACACACACACACACAAACTCGTTTTTCAGCTTTCTGACCACAAAGAAAAGGTCTTGAGGCCCTTCATTTTCAAGGTTCCTGAATTGTCTCAGATCTAGATGGAGAGAGACTCTATGCACCCACCTTACTTGGCTCCTGGCACCAGGATCCACGGGGCTGCCACACCAGCCTGCTTAACCTGAGCTCTAGTCCAACCCAGTATTAGTGAACTTGGAGTTGGGGGGGGCAGGGTGTTCTAGAGAGATCTGCCCTCTGTAAATAGCCTCCAGGGTCTCTAAGGATGGTTGAGCAGGTTGGGCACTGCGTAAGAGTGCCCTGTGGAGGGGGTACCAAGCCTGCAGCCGGAGGATGTCCTGCCTTTTTCAAGTCAGCCCACCTGGGAAGACACATCTTCCTATTTTTCTACCCCAAATGGGTGCCTTTTTTTTTTCTCACGAGTCTTCTGAGCAGATAGGAAAAAAACTCCCTGTTTCTAAGCGATCCTCGGTGTCCTCTTCTCACGGGTCAGTCTATCAGAGGCCTCTGGTGTGAATTTGTGATTGCTTTTGTTTCAGAGCTCCTGAAGTTCTGGCTGCCTCCGCTGGTCTCGGTGGCCTTGACCCTGACATTTCACTGACTGGACGGAGGAGCTCTGTGGCTCCCAGCTCACTTCCTGCTGGCCGGGAGCGGAGGCGCAGGTTGGCGCTCCAGCCCTGGAAAAGGGAGCCCACGCTGGTGTGAGCCTGCTCGCATTTTCTGCCCTTTAATCCTCGCCTGGGTCTTTGAATGCTGCTTGCGGTCTAAATGGGGCTTGTGACGTGTTTGTACACGAGGCCCCTGTTTCCTTCAAGAGAGTGGCAAATAATCCTTCTGAAAGATCCGCCTTTGAAGTCGTTCATTCACTCAACAAATATTTGCTGAGCACCTACGACACGTAGGTGCTGTCTGGGGGTACGGAGGATCCTGTGAGGAGGAGAAGCAGATCAGTCCCTGTCCTTATGGAGTTCACAGCTCGCTCAGAGAAACTGGGTTCAACGGGGTTCTGTTGTGTGACCTTAGAGGAGGCTCACGATGCCCTGCATTTCATCCATCCGTTCATTGATTCAAGAAGCGTTTTCTGAGCTGCTACTATGTGCCAGGCACCATGCTCAGATGCTGGGGCTCCACGGGAGACACCAGGCGGTGAGCAAGTCAGACACAGCCCTGCCTCCTGCAGCCTCTGGTGGGAGAGAGAGAGCGTGAACAGGGAATTCCGAGGAGTCAGGCCTTCCAGACTTGGAGGCTTGAACAGGCAGCGGCTGCCCCTGCGTGGCTGGGGGTGACCAGGCGTGGAGGGGTTTGTTTGGTTTGCAAGGGGCAGACTTTGAAGCCTGTCCTCTGGGCCAGGAGCTGGAAAGCCCCTGTGGATAGACAGACACAGGCCCCGCCTCCAGGAGCCCCCCCCCTCAGGGTGATGAGGGACCACAGGAGCTGCCCGTCACACCCGTGGGGCCCCCTCCGTTCCCTGGACTCAGGTCCCTCCCAACCCAGAAGTCACAGACCAATTTCCAGGGCCACATGAGCCGTGGATGCGCACGCAGCCCCATTCCCCGATTGGCAGGGGACCCTTCAGGAGGCCCAGGCAGAAGCCAAGAGGTTGCTGGGACCCGGAGAGGCAGCTGTCCCCAGGGCCTCTGGACTTCTGTGCCAAGGGGACCAGAGAACCCTGAGGCCACTGGGAACCGTGTGTCCTGGCCCAGCTGCTTCCCTGACCCCAGCTGGGGCTTTCCAGAGAGGCCAAGGCCTGGCTGGTCCCGGGAAGGCCACACGTGTGCGTCTGCGAGCCACGGCTGACACCAAAGTCCCTCTTATCTCAGAACTTACGCAGGAAGGCGGCCGCGGATCCAGCCCCGGCCCCACTGACCACAGGCAGGTTCGTCCACAGTGTGACTCGCTGCGAGAGAAAATACAGGAAAGGTCTGGGCCAAGAAAAATCAAAACAAGGCCCCAAACCAGAGGGGAGAGAGAGGACCACAGAATGAGTTCTTCTTCCCTCTTCTTTCCAAGAGGCAGGGTCTGGTGTCCTTGCCGGGTACTTGGGCAGCCCCAGGGCGGAGGTGTTACTTCCCAGAGAGAGACTGCAGCAGGCCACTGAGATGTTGTCCGTTTGACTAGGCGCTGGTTAGACAGAATCCCTGTCCGCAAAGATCCCGCAGCCTTCAAAGGGAGCCAGATAAGTCATCAGGTCATGGAGCAGGACTGGGAGCACAGGAAGGGAGCACAGGCCAGCCCGTGGGGCCAGGGAAGCCTTCCTAGAGGGGGTGGTCGGTAAGAAGCAGCCGGGGCCAGAGTGACCCAGGCAGAAGGAAGAGCATATGGAAAGGTTTGGAGGTGGCCCAGAGCCCAGAGAAACCCAGATAGACTAGAGCAAAGAGTGTGCAGTGGAGACATAGTAGGTGAGGCAGAGACCCTGGGCCGGGGTCAGATCCCAGGGAGCATATAGTGTAGGGAGTGGAGGATAACACACAGAGACGGTCCTGAGACTGGGGTACTGAGAGGGTGCAGAAGCAAAAGGGGGTGAGAACAAAGGCGGAGAGACCCATTAAACAGCCACAAAAGTCACCCTCTGAACAGATGGTGGCCTGCATTGGGATAGCTGAGGTGGAGATGGAGCAGGAGGGAGAGAGTCCAGAAACATTTGGGACATGGAAAGGCAGGGTCTGGTGACTGTGGGGAATGGAGGCTGAGGGGGGAGGAGGAGGAGCTGGGAGAGGACGGAGGCCAGCTCGGATGATGGGGTGGGCGCTGGTGCCCTTGACCAAGGAGCAGGAGGAGGGGGAGGGGAATCGGCGGGAGCTGATTGGAGCTGTGGAGTCTGAGGTCCCTTAACATCTCAGCCGAGTGGAGAGGCGCCACGTCAACTGGGTGGGTGCACCTGAGCTTCAGCCTGAGCTGGGCACAGATTTGGATCTCACCAGCCCGCGGATGGCACCGGCAACCGCGAGGTCACTGGGCACCTCCCAGGGAGAGCATCTGGAGTGAAGGGAAATGTGGGACCTCCCCGGGTTTTCAGGGACAGCTGGGGGAAGAGGGTCCTAGATTAATAGTGGGGTATCCAAATAGGACGATAAAAAAGACTCTGCTCCTGGGGGGTCAAGGAAATCAGGGTAACCAGAGGATGCGGGTCCAGCAGCGAAAAAATGACCCCTGGACTCTCCCATGAGCAACCTCAAGAGGGAAGTTTTAGCCACACCCTTCACATGGGAGAGGTCTGAAGGGGATGGAGAGGCTGGTGTCGCTCAGGAGGCTGTTCTAACCAACATCCCCCGGTCCTCCTCCCCCGGGCCACCCAGCCTCGGGGAGCCACCCTCCTGCGCTCACTTCTGTGAGATCAGCGTGTTCAGATCCCTGGCAGAAGGTGTGATTATCCTTCTGTGCCTGGCTGATCTCACGGGGGTTCACGCATGAGTCCCTGCAGGTTCATACCTGCTGTCGCAAAGGATGAGGAGGAGAGGGTACCGGGCATGGAACTCAGGGTCACTGGACCACTGAGCCCCATCCCCAGCCCTATTTTGTATTTTATTTAGAGACAGGGTCTCACTGAGCTGCTTAGCGCCCCTCTTTTGCTGAGTCTGGCTTTGAACTCATGATCCTCCTGCCTCAGCCTCCGGAGCTGCTGGGATGACAGGTGTGCACCACTGCACCCAGACTTCATTATTTTTTACGGCCAAATACTATTCCGTTGTATGTACATACCACGTTTTTCTTTATCCATCATCCATTGATGGACACTTAGATTGATCCCATATCTTGGCTACAGTGACTAGTGCTGGTGTGAGCTGGAGAGCACAGCTGTCCTCAACATATTGATTTTATTCCCTTTGGATGGGCACCCAGTAGTGAGATCTCTGGGTCACTTTGGTGGTTTAATATTTTTGAGGAGCCTCCATACTCTTTTCCATAGTGATTGTACCAATTCGTATTCCCACCAACATCTATTTTCTCTTGTCTCTCTGATAATAGTCATTATAAGGTGGAGGGGGTAAATTCTGGTGGTTGGCCAAAGGGTAGATAATGCTGGTTAGATGGGAGACATAAATTTCCCGAGATCTGTTGCCCAGCATGGTGACTGCAGTCAATGACGATATATCGTGTTCTTGAAAAGTGACAGCAGACGTTTATGGGATCTCACTACAGAAAATGAGAACCGCGTGAGGTAATGCATTTGTTACGGAGCTAAATTTAACCACCGCAGGGAGGTATCTGCTTCACAACCTCATGTGGAGCCTGACAGAAACGTGCACAGTTATCATCAACTTGAACCAACAAATACAGAAAATCTTAAAAAAAAATAAATAAATAAAAGAGAAGCCGAGGGTGGCTGGCGGCCTTGGGCAGGGAGGAGTAGAAGGCAAATATTTTTATGTTAATGGGGAAGGGCCAAGGTCACAAGTTGTGGCCCTGGTTTTCTTGACGCAGGAGGCAGAACACCTGTTAAGAATAGTGGGGTGTGGGGTGGTGATTGTCCCAGATGCCACTTTAGAGGCTGGAGAAGGTTCACACGGACCACTGGGGAGGCTGAGGGGGCTCCTGGCCAGTCCCAGTGGGGTCGAGGGATATGCCGTGGCCTGGCTCTCTGAAGTTCCCCATTTGGGAGACAGTTCCCCATTTGTACCAGGAGTAGAGAAGCTGGCTTGTATCCAGATTGAGACTTTGCTGGAGGGTTGTTGCTGGGGTCCAGATCCCTGAACTTCTCCCTCCCGACAGCTTTGATTCCTTCCAGAGTCCCAAAGACATGGAGAAGAGGTACTGGCCGTTTGCTCTCCAAAAGCCTGGACTCTTTTTTTTATCTGCCCCATGATGTCCACCATGGCCTGGCAGCCAGGTCCAAGTGAGGGTTTGAAAAGTCCCAGATCCTCGACTGGGCACAGTGGTGCACACCTGTCTTCCCAGCGGCTCTGGAGGCTGAGGCAGGAGGATCTGCGAGTTCAAAGCCAGCCTCAGACAAAGCGAGGCCCTAAGCAACTCAGGGAGACCCTGTCTCTAAATAAAATACAAAATAGTGCTGGGGATGGGGCTCAGAGGTTGAGCGCCCCTGAGTTCAATCCCTGGTACCAAAAAAAAAAAAAAAAAATCCCAGATTCCCTACTCAGTTTTGTACCCTCCAGTCTCAAGGGTAGCCCACACCACCTCCAAGCTGACTGCCGTCCAAGTGCCCCAAGGTGATTAGCTGGGGACGCAGGGTACGTTGGCACTCTACTGTGAGAACAAGTGTCTGTCTCATTTCTTTTCCTCTTTCCTTTGGGTATCCAACTTCCTTTTCTTTGGTGTTTGTTTTCTGGAAATAAATACCGCCCCAGCTCTGGGTGTCCATTGTGAGGATTAACGGGAGATGTCATGGTGCTGAAAACCTTGACGGCGCCCCATGTGTTTTGCACTCAGTACACATCGCGATTGTTTGCAGAGAAGCAATTTGTGTGAAGGAAAAAAAATCGCTGGGAGGGATTACAGGGCAGAGAGGGCCAAGGAACTTTTTCTTGCCAACCTTTGTGCTGAGTTGCTTATCTTTCCCATGCTCATGAGCCCAGGGCACACCTGGGAATTAACTGCTGCCCTACCTGAGCACCAATCGTGGACAGCCACATGGGTGGGAAACCCTATTAAAGACCGCCCCAGCGGGCTGCGTTCTCACGGTGGGCCAGACAAGGGCCGAGGCTCTCGGTTCTCAGCCCAAGGTGAGTCCCGGCAAGTTTTTCTCCTAATCCAGGGGCACTCCCACTTTCAACCTCTTAGACTTGTCAGGGTCCTTTGTTTCTGGAAGCTTCTAGAATCCAGCAAGGAGTTTGGACCAACTTAGCCACTGTCCAGAGCTCCAGGCTCACTCTGTGTCCAGCTCAACCGTGGTTCAGTCATCTACTGGCTGCTCCGAGCCTGCAGAAGCCACCTCTGCCCCAGACACCTCCACCAGGAAGATGGGTTTCCACCGGGATTGCCTCTCTGAGAGTCACGGTCCTGGGTGGTTCCCTGTCCCTGCTGTCTCGTGGTGTATTCATAACAGGGCTCCCAGAAACAGATTTCTGTCTTCTGCTGAAGTCCTCCAGGGGTCATAAGACGTTGTCCAGAGATTGACCTTCCAGGGAAAGAGTTTCCAGAGGAGTGAACGTCCTTGGGTGCTGTAGGCTCCCATACTACCTCGCCCCTCCTGTGTATTTATTCATTCTTCCATTACATCTTTCCTGGGCATCCTTGAGGGCCAGATTCTGTGCTAGGAGCAGGGAACATGGGGCTCAGTCTGACAAGGTCCCACCATCATGGAAATTGTGCTGAGGACGCTTCAGGGGACTCTCAGCAGGACCCCATGCCTGACTCTGAGGCAGGCCACCCTGACTTTTCCTGCAGACATTGCAACACTAGAATCCGCTCCCTCCCTCCACTCTCAGAGAGAATTCCCCTCCACCTGGACGGGGACCACCTGACACCCTTCTAGGAAGTGCTGCAGCACCCACAGACCCAAAACTTGCCCTTGCTTTGCTTGCTGTCCACTTCACCCCCTCGGGGAGTCCCCTACTCCCGTTGTCTCACCCGCTTCTGCGAGTTCCACCTGCAGTTCTGCTTTTGAGAGCATCGCATAAGCGAGCTACTGAACTTGCAGCCCGGGCGTGCATTTAATGCCCTCAGCTGGAAATGAGATCAAGAATGTGAGGGGCTTAGTCCAGGTGCTGTCCCACGGTCGGAGCTAAACTGATGCGAGTCCCCATCTTACCCCGGCACCTCAAAGGGAGCCCCTCTGTGGCTCTGATCCTGCGGACCTTTCCTTCCCCAGAGCTGCATGGGGAGCCTGCACTCTGTGGAGTGAGTCACGCGCCTCGCCCTGCTGAAGGATGGCCGGCTCTGACCCCCTGTGGCTGGCCTTGGCCTCCTGCATCCTGACTCTGGCCTCTACAGCGCAGCAAGGTGAGTGCTCCGCTTATCTGGCGCCCAGAATGACCTGGGGTGTGATTAGAGATGTGCAGGAAAGGTAGTTGAGGTCAGCAAGAGGAACAGGCAGGTCCGGAGCAAAGACTCCGAGCTCCAAGTCAGGGAGACGGCGCCGAGAGAAAAGGGAATCGAGTCCCGGTGTGCCCAAGAGACACAGTAGAATGTCCCCTGGAGGGGAGGGGGAAACACCCAGTGGGGGGAGACCGGGGGCTCTCTTAAACAGTCTACAATTTTACTGTGAGGGCAGCCTTCAGGGCAAAGACCCAAGCAACACGCCCAGGGTGCCAACGTGGGAAATTTCATTAGACTGTGTCGACTGATGGGGAGGAAAGTCTGCACTGTGGGAAGAGAAAAGTACATGTTAAAAAGAGGTGAATGGCACCGAGCTCATTTTTGTTTTAGAAAATAATATTACACACACACACACACACACACACCTGTGCATGGGAAGAGAGTGAAGGGTATAGACAAATGAAGGTATGATTACCTCTGGGAACAGGGTGGGCTTAGGACGGCTTCCCTTTTAGTCCGCGTGCCTCGGAAGCCAGCATGGTGACAACTTTCACTTCTCCTTTATTCATTTTAATGATGTTTGGGGTCATTTTCCCCAGAGGCCCGCGTTACATTTATGTGACACATAAAGAGAGCTCAGGCAGGACTGCCACCTTGGGCCCCCCTGGGAAGCTCTTGGGAACTCTGGGTGGGGCGTGGTGGCAGACTCAGGGCAGTGGCCCATAATGTCCTGAATGACTGTTAAACGTCACCCAAGGCCTCACTGAGTGTTCTGATTTCCAGGTGATGGACTTTGATGTTTAATTGATGGCTCCTGTGCCTGTCGGACTCGTTCGAGTTCTTAGAGTGTAGGGCTGGGGACAGAGACCCCGTGGACTGTGGAGTTGCTCGGTCCACCCAAGCACTTTGTCCCTTTCTCAGGTTACAGAGACCCCCGAGAAGCCAGTTCCTATGGGCTGGATTTGGCCTGTGGGGCCCCTGGCACCCCAGAGGCCGAGGTCTGTTTTGACCCCTGTGAGAATCACACGGTCCTGAATGACCCCTCCCGGAGCACACTGAACACAGATGAACTCCAGAAATGCGACCTCAATTTGAGAGGCTGGTATCGCTTTGTGGGCGAGGGAGGAGTGAGGATGCCCGAGACCTGTGTCCCAATGTTCCGATGCCAGACAGCCGCTCCCATGTGGCTGAACGGGACCCACCCTGACCTTGGGGAGGGCATCGTCACCCACACTTCCTGTGCCCACTGGAGTGACAACTGTTGCCTCTGGTCGACTGAAGTGCAGGTGAAGGCCTGCCCGGGCGGGTACCACGTGTACCATTTGGAAGGCAGCCCCAACTGCAATCTGAGATTCTGCACAGGTGAGTGGCAGCTGTGGGTGGGGTGGCCCGTGAGATGCTCAGGCCCCAGCAGAACGAGGGGAGCTGGTCGGGAGGAGGCTGTGCAGAGCTCCCACCAGCCCTTGCAGGATGCGAGTCCCCATGTTACCCTTGCACCCGTAAGAGAGCGCCTTCCGGTTGCCAGAGAGTTCAACATTTCCATAAACTAGAACTTCCATGTGGAGGGTGGGATCTCCTGATTTAGAAATGCATATGAGCAAAATGTCAAGAACTCAGGCTCTTCCCTATCTGGGTTCCATTTGGGTGGTTTAAGTTACCTCTTAGAACCTCAGTTTCCTGGTCTGATTAGAAAAAAAAATGGATAATAGCAAAAATATCAGCAAACCTATGGTGCTCACAATGTGCTCGCCACCATCCTCAGTATTAACTTGTTAAATCGTCCCACCAAATAGGTGCTATGTAGTTACCTGGATGAGGGCACAGAGAGGTCAAGCAACTCTCTTGACATCACAAATCTGGAATGTAGAAGAGCTGGGATTTGAACCAGGCACTGTAGCCCTGGCATCCAGGACTTGATCTTCAGGGTGCCCTGACTCCCATGGTTACCTGAGAAAGTATTTAGAAGAGTGCGGTGGCCTGGAGTGAGCCTTCTGATGGAGCTGTAGGGCTGGCGCCTACTCTGCTGGATGGGGAATCAGGAGATCTGAGCCTGAGGTTGACCCTTCCACTAATACCTCACGCCCTTGGCCAAACTCCTGGGCCCCGGTGGGATGAGAGGGCTGGACTTGGGGGACCTCAGACCCACCCTGCATGGCCTCCTGATCCTCTTCCTTCCTGGCCCCATCTCCTAGACCCCTCCACTGTGGAAGACAGGTGTGAGCAGGCCTGCCGCCCGGAGGAGGAGTGCCTCCCTCAAAATGGCAGCTGGGTCTGCGTCTGCAGACAGGACCTCAATGGCTCTGGTGAGGCACTCACTGGAAACGGTGACTGCTGTCCTGAGTGGATGGGGCAGGAGCAGGGGACTTTGGAGGTCATGACGAGGTGTGGACCAAAGTCGGGGGGCGTGGACTGAGATTGGGGAGATTCTGTCCATTTGCAAAGATGGGAGGGGGAGGGCTGGGACATATTCCATGTCAGCTGCTGGACCATGGCCAGGCTTGACCCTCGAGGGACAAAGTTACTGCACAAGAACTCTACATTCTGGGGATATGGCTCAGTGGTAGAGGGTTTGCCCAGCATGTGTGAGGCCCTTAGTTCAATCTCCAAGAATTACCAAAAAATAAAAAATCTGCAAAGATGGGAGCTACATGCTGCATTCAGATATCAACAGTCTTCATGCTGGGAACGTGGTGGGTAGACTCCTGGGACAGGAAGCAGATAGTAGATGCTCAAGAAGCATTTGGTGGGCAGGGTGGCTTTGCACACGCTCCCTGCCCACTGCTTCTAGACCTCCGTCCACCTTACCTACCTCCTCGTGGCTTTGCAGATATTCAGAGTTTGCAGCCTCAGCTGGACTGTGGGGCCAGCGAGATCAAGGTGAAGGTAGACAAGTGCTTGTTGGGAGGCCTGGGTTTCGGGGAGAAGATCATCGCCTACCTCAAGGACCGGAGCTGCAGCAGCATCCTACAAACGGAGGATGGGAACTGGGTGTCTGTGACCAGTCCCGCTCAGGCCAGTGCCTGTGGGAACGTTCTGGAGGTAAGTGGTGTTCAGGCCCTGGCTGCCAGATGGTGGGATGCAGGCCGAGGGGACCCGTCGTAGTGCTGAGAGATCCTGGGCCCCCAGAGTCATGCGTGAGATTAAACACGCTGGTCCACTGGAGCCTGAGGTTCACAGATGTGAGCTATGGTCAGGATGATTTTCATTAGGGTTCCTGAGGGAGGGAGGTACAGGGCACCAAGCCCGCCAGGCCCCGACTCTTCCCTGGGGCCAGTTATTTATTGACGGTTCTGTTCTTAATCTGGCCTCCTCGTTCCTCTTCCCATAAAGTTTTTGAGCCTCTGGAGGAGGAGGCCCCTTTACCTCCTGGAGGTCAGAAGACAGGGTGGCTTCCTGGCTGAGAACCCTCCCTCTGGTCTCAGATCTGAATTTGACCTTCTCTTGCACACATCCGTGGAAACATATAGGTGGTTTTTGTTTTTATACCAAAGCGTAATGGAACCCATGCCCTCTACAAAAACACTCTCTCCTTGGCCACCGACTTCATCATCAGAGACGTCCTCGTCAACATCAACTTCCAGTGTGCTTACCCACTGGACATGAAGGTCAGCCTCCAGACTGCACTTCGGCCCATTGTGAGGTATGGCATGACCCTTGCCCTTTGACCCATAACCCTGACTTTGGTCCCTCTCCCTTCTAGCACAGTTCATGATGTCCACACAATGCCACTAACCCCTTTGGGGAGCTCCTACTCATTCATTTCACAAAATGTGTTGATTGGACATTGGGGAATCCTCATCATGAACAGGGCACACTTTGGATAGGTATTTCCTGGATATTAGAGATTATTTATTATGAAGCCATGTCGGGCTACGAAACTGCTTTTAAACACGCTTAGGAACAAAATGAGAGGACAGGTCCCTTCACCTTGAAGAAGGTCATTAAACAACTATGTCAACAGTTATTTACAAGTGAGATAAATGAAATGTGGGAAGAGCACAGGATGCTCCGGGAGCAGGAAACGGGGGTCCTGAACCTCATCTTGGCGGGATAGGGATGGGGGCAGGGAAGGCTTTACTGTAGACTTGGGATTTAAACTGAGACTACCTTTGACTGGATAAACAGCATCTTTGTCCCACCAGAAATAGAACCAAAGAGCAAGCTGCCTGAGATTCAATACAGGCCAGGCCGCTGTCTGCACCCGTGTGCCTGGAATAGGGCCTGTCCCATCAGGTCCTTAGCATTCCTAAGCTTACCAGGGGATTTTCTGAGCTGTCTAGAAATCCAGAGTGCCTGTCCCATTCCCTTATTAAACTCCTGGGCTCACAGAGGGGCAGGATCTGAAGGAGTGGAAAAATTCTGAGTTCAGTGGTTTTCATTTATATTGTGTGGAGGCCCATGGGTCACAGAGAATCAAAATGAAAGACACTTATCATGTTACATTGATGTTCAACGGAAGGTTGTGGGTGGAGGGAAGAGGTCTGAGGCTAGAAATCGTGAGTGAACAGAACTGGTCCTCAGCCCCATTCTCCAGGTGGTAAGATGGCACTGTGTGCTGACCCTTCTTCTGTGAGCAAGAGTCACGCAACCTACCAGGGCAATCAGTGGAAATCCCAGAGTCGGAGTTCTGTCTTCATCATTTTTAGTGCCTAGAAGCTAGTAAATGCTCAGTTTAAATGAAAGATTGAATAGTTCCTTTAGAGATACAAGATAAACCTTTGCCTCCATAATCTTACACAAGTATGGGGGTTGGTCTATGTTGTTCTCTCTGGTCAAAACCTGATGTTTCCACTCCTGTGGTTTTCCTTCTCTCAGTTCCCTGAACATCAGTGTGGATGGGGAGGGAGAGTTCACCGTCAGGATGGCCCTCTTCCAAGACCAGAACTACATGAATCCTTACGAAGGGGATATGGCTGTGCTGTCGGTGGAGTCCATACTCTATGTGGGCGCCATCTTGGAGAGAGGGGACACTTCCCGGTTCAACCTGTTGTTGAGGAACTGCTATGCCACACCCTCAAGTGACAAGGAAGACCCCGTGAAGTACTTCATCATCAGAAACAGGTACTGGGCAACTCAGTCTGGGATTATCTTTTGGCTTTAACAAAGTTTAGGGGGAAATATTAATCTCATTCCTGCTTGGCAGTTGTGTAAGTTGGTCTACCTCCTTGGGAAAAATTTGGCATTACATATTGTACAATACCCGCTGAGCCAAGAATCTCACTCCTGATAGTTTAGCCTAAAGTATTAATATGTAATAGGAGGGCAGGGTAAAGAAATGCCAATGGTTTTCCATTTCAGTATGTTTGAAGATTTTGACAATAGGCTCGTTGTTCAAAAACAGTCTCATACAGATGTTAGCACTGATCAACATGAAAAATGATCTGAGAAGTACTGAGAGAAAGTCTCGTTCGAACTGACAAAAACAAAGAAATATAAATATAAATATCTGCAGGTCATGATTCATAGTATAATCACTAGATAATGTTTTTCATCGAGCTTAGCTACGTGCCAGGCCCCGTGCGCAGCAGTGTACCTGGTAGTCTCATTAAGCACTCCCATCCCCTCTATGAATATGACTGTCTCCATTTTGCAGTCAGGTTAAGAAATCTGCCCGGGACCATTTAGCTGGAAACTGGGGAAGGCTGGAATTTAAAACTATTCTCTTTCACTCCAGAGATTGGGCCCCAAATAATCTAAACCACAGAGGAATTGAAAGAGTCCAGGCTACCATGATGGCAGTCACTCTGTGTGTGTGTGTGTGTGTGTGTGTGTGTGTGTCCGTGTGTCTGTGTGAGGGTGCGCTTTAGTTTTCTCCAATGAAATCACACCTTTTTCCTTCTGCCCCTCCAGCTGCCCAAATGAACGTGACGCCACCATCCACGTGGCTGAGAACGGGGCATCCGCGGAAAGTCGGTTCTCGGTGCAGATGTTCATGTTTGCTGGGAACTATGACCTCGTTTTCCTGCATTGTGAGGTCCACCTCTGTGATTCCCTTAATGAGCAGTGCCAGCCTGTGAGTGTTCTCTTTGGATGGGGCTGGCACCCGACAGGCTCTCCATACCTACTTTTTAGATCTATGGAGGGAGGGATGAATGGAAGGGTGGATGAATGGGCAGATGGATGGGGGAAGAAGGTGGGCTGGATGGACGCCTGAAGAGACGGAAGGACAGATGGGTGGCTGGGTGCATGTGAGGGAGGGAGGCAGAGAGGAGGATGTACAGATGGACTCTGGGCACTTCTGAAAGCTCATTCATAAGCACTTACTGTGTTCCCCGGAGGTGGAGCTGTTTTCTTTGGCATAAGACCTAATTTGAATGATGGTGATAATGCAGGTGAAGCATCCCTGCTCTGAAAATCTGAAGTCCAAAATGCTCTGAAATGCAAGACTTTTTGAGGGTCGACATGATGATCAGAATTTGGGGATTTTGTAACATGCAGGGTTTCATATTTTCAGATGATGGATGATCGACCGGTAAAGTGTGTGCAAATATTCCCAAGTCTAAAGAATGCCAAAATTGAAAAAAAAAAAAAACCTCTGGACCCAAGCGTTTTGGATTTTTCAGTGCTTCCTCTGTGTTGAGCTTCATGCTACAGCTATTGCACACTTATCAAATTTAGCACAATGGCTCTTTGGTAAGGAGAGCCTTAAATTGACCTCATTGTATAGATAAAAAGGCTCAGAGGAATCCTTTACCAAGAGCCACACATGGCTAGAGGGTATCGGAGCTGGAATGGACCCCAGCTGAGCTGTGGCTCTAGGGCCCCTGCCCTTACCCACATTGGCCACTGTCTGTGAGTAGCACTGACTGTGTCTACCTGTTGGCAGAGATAATTTTTTTTTTTCATTTCAATCTTTCAAACCAGATATGTCCTATTTAATCATCCCAAAGAGAAGTCATTTGTCCCCAAATTATACAACTAAAAGAGAGCAGAGGTGAGATTCAAACCTGGATGTATTTGGTAGGACAGTGAGAATTCTCTGGTTTGAGAAAAGCAGAGCTTTAGAATTAGGGTCAAAGGGTGGGTGGGGGCCAGCTTCTGGGCCAGAGCCACCCGTGGCAGGGAGTCTGGACAGGAACCAGGCATCAAATTCAATTTGGATCCAATGAGAGCTCTCTATCCTCACAGTCTTGTTCAAGAAGTCAACTCCGCAGTGAAGTACCGGCCATTGACCTAGCCCGGGTTCTAGATTTGGGACCCATCTCTCGGAGAGGTAAGCGGCCTAGTCCTGATAACGAGGCCAGCAGGCCGGGTGCTGATAGTGCCTAGGGTCACCCACCCAACTACCCAGGGCTTTTCTGCCTTCTTGGTCGGGCCCCCACTGGTGGATCTGTCTTTCCGTGATACAGAATGACGTTGTCAATTGTGATGGTTCTCCTGTGTGCGAGAGTCCTGGCCAAGCTCTTGGCTTTCAACGATTTACTTAATCCACCCGTAACTGTGTGCATTTTACAGGTGAGAGGCCAAGGTTCAGAGAGAATCCGGAACTCACCTAAGAGCAACCTGCTCCTAGATGGTGGAAATGAGACCTGAGCCCAGCTCAGTCTGATCTCAGAGCATGTGGCCTTGGTCTTACTCCACCTGCTCCAGATCCCCATAACTCGGTCCCTTTGGGGTGAAGTCTAAGGTTCCTGCTTAGATGAAACTCTGTATTCTGGCTGTTTTCCAACATTCGGTTACAGTATTCTTGAGAAGGATATTAGGGGAACCTTTTCAACTGCTCCCCAAATTTTATCCATCCTACACATGGGTTCACAGTACTGTCATGGTTTTTTTTTTAACCACCATAATGGAGGTGTCAAGAAATGCAAAAATAATGAAATCTTTTTTTTTTTGCCCTAAAGAAATTAAGATGTAGTAACATTAATAATTTTAATAATGATAATGATACATATTTGTTCCTGGCACCATGCCAAATACCTTTATAAAACGACACTCTGAATGCTCAAGTAAGCACTGTTGCCACATCCACTCTCCACATGGGTAAGCAGAATCTGTCTCATGAAGGACACTCTGCCCCTTTCCTGAGCCCTCTGTCTGGTGCCTTCTGTGGTGCCCAGGATAACTGAGAGAGGAACTTCCACTCTGGAGTCAGACATCCTGGGGTTCCAATCCCAGATCTGCTACTGATGGGCAAGGTCAACTCTGCAAGTCCCTTAACATTGCTGAGTCTCAGTCTTCTCATCTGTCAAGAGGAGACGAGGACATTTTCCTCACAGAATCTGTCAGGAGGGTTAAGTTTATCGTGCATGAGATGCATTTAGAAAGGTGCCCACTGGATGTCTGCGGTTGTGGGGACCAGGTCAGGATTTGGAACAGCTGTGGTCACAGTACTGCAGTCACCCAGAGCATGACTGAGAGGTTCTTGCCCTCTGTTCCCGTTCACAGGTGCCCAGTCTCTTGGTGTCATGAATGGAACCCCTGGCACTACAGGTACATCATGTCCTCGTGTCTCTCCGATGGCCTTCCCAACTCCCTCTCCTTCCCCTCTTCAATCTAGTCCCTTCTACATGCCATTTCCTGTGCTAGGGACTCTGCCTGCCACAATGGGCCAGAGCTGAGACTGGCTCCTCAGTCTAGCAGAGGAGACAGTCATTGGATGACAAATATTCAAGAGCCTACTGTGTGCCAGGCATTGTTCTAGACACTGAAATTATGGTGGTAAGTGAGACAGACTGGTGCGTGCCCTCGTAGAACTCATTACGTGAGAAACAGACAATAAAAAGTAAGCAAACGTTTATTTAGAAATAAAAAAAGATGATGGGACAGAAAGTCACTAGATGCCGAATGATGTTTAAATCAGATCGAAGCGTATTGCTCTCATACATAAGTGAAATCGGGAGGCAAGCAGTTCAAGGCAAGGAGATCGGCTCTTTCTAGCTCACTGCTCCAGCATCTTGAAGATGTGACTATCAGCTCCATGGTCCAAGATGGCAGCCGGAGCTCCCACCCTCCCGTCTAGAAATCCAGATGGAGAGAACATAGAAGAAGTTAATGAGTGTTGAGGCACATTCCTGGAAGCTGGCCCCATATAACTTTATTTATATTCACTGACCAGGGCTTAGCCACATGGCCCCGGGGGGGGGGGGGGCCTGGTGACCATGTACCCAACCAATGATCAATGGTTTTATTACCAAAGTAGGAAGGAAGAGTGAATGTCGGAATGGATAAATGGTCAGCAGCACAATGGGAGAAAGTGATATTCAGTGGAATGAGAAATGGAAAGTGGGCAGATCTGGGGAGAATGGAATCCATAAGCAGAGGGGACATCAGTTCATTGCATCAATGAGGCTGGCACATAAGGAAGCTAATGGCAAGCTCGTAGAGAGTGCAGAAGGAGCACAGGGAGACTAATTCACTGTACTGGGAAAGGTCATGGAAGAATTTTATGGGGTTTTGATGAATGACTTGGAGTTCAGCAAGCAGACAAATCAAAGAGGTTTATTTTGGACAAAATGGGAAGTACGTGTATTAGGATTTTGCTACTCCTCAAAATGACCTACCTTGTCAAACACAGTCCTGAAAAAGTTCCCTTCATCCTCAAGTCCTCAACTAGGCCGCTGTCTAAAAATTTTCTCGGGAAGTCCAAGATGGCCTCTTCATGCTTAATGCCAACATTCAGACAATACTAAGAAAAGAACTGTCCATGGGAGAGAGTGGATAGAGCTCTCTCAGGGACCTTGAGTCTCCTTCCGCTCTGCCTGTCCTTCAGGTCAGCACAGGGCCTGGAACAGTGTGGCTTCCCAGGAGAGAGCTGTAAGAGAGGCTGAATTGTCTGATTTCTAGGGTGGACTGTTGGGAGCCTTCGGAAAGAGATCAATCTGATGTCAAGGCAGCAGACCACCACAAGAGGGCACTGTGGTTCTCATAGTTTTCTCTCTCCCACAGTCATTTCCTGATATTTTAGAATTAACAGTCCATCCATTTCATGCGTCATCGTTATAAACTGGCTGGAGATCATGGTAGCCCTCTCCCTTCTTCTAGGACGTCATCAGCAGGTTACTTTGAATTTTGGGGGGTGGGGAAATGTTATAATTTGATAGTGTTGTGGAAGAGGGTGCACATGCGCCCTTAGGCTTTCAGAAAAAGGCAGCTATCATCCAGGATCCATGACCTTCCTTAACACTGAGTGTAATCAATGTGCAAAAAAGATTTGATCCCAGCTCTTCAGGTCTTAAGAGTCTAATTTTTAAAACCAGCACTTATATGGTGTTTACCGTGTGCCATACAGTATTCTATGTGCTAGGCATGAATTTACTAATTTAAGTCTTACAAAACTCTAGCAAGGTGCTACCAATATATCTATCTGCTTTGCATACAGGAAAACTCAGGCACAGAGAGGTTGACTACCTTGCCTAGGACTGCCCAGCTAAAGATTCTAAACTAAGTAGTCAGATTTCAGAGGCATTGCTTTGTGCCTTTCTGACTCTTCAGTATTAGTCAGTATAAGTCATGATGGCTGCTGTAACAAACAATCCCAAATCCTCTGTGCCTTTACACAACAGTACAATTTCCCACTAAATTGTTGAAGTGGGGTGCAGTCCTATTCTGTGTGGTCATTAGGAACTCTGGTTCCTTCTGGTAACTTCTGGCAGCTCCATCATTTCCTATGATTCTATCCTTCATCTTCCACAACTGATCCCTAGCATGGTGGATGAGAGAGCATGCAGGATCATGTTGGAGATTTTCAGAACCTGGCCTATATAGATGGCATAAATGACTTCCAGACACATGTCATCGGCCAGATTTAGTCACATCGTGCTACCTACCTGCAAAAGAACCTGGGAAAAATTTGCCTTCTTGTGTTCCCAGAAGAAAATGGGGAGAGTGGTTGGTGGTTAGATAGCTGTGCCTCCACCACAGGGGTCCCAGGGGCCGTGACCCACACCAGACATGGAGGACGTTCTGCCTTCCCCATCCCGTGTGGCACATGGCAAGGAGGCCAGGGCACATCGGCTGCTGAATTCCCAAGCCCAGTACTTGACTTTCATGTCTCTGTGTTCCAGGGTTCCTGGTGGCCTGGCCCACGCTCCTCCTGCCTGTCCTCCTGGCCTGGCTGTTCTGATAGCCCGGCTGGACATCTGGCCTTAGAGTCCATGCTGTTCCCTCCGGCAGTGGCTCCCATTCACCCTTCCTGAGTGGGTCCCTTGCACTTCACGCAGAAGTGTTGGCGTTAACAGACTCAAGGCCAGGCCTGGCTTGGGAAGTAGAAGAGCTTTCCTGGACTCTGACACTGTCATACCTGTGTGTCCCCTTTGTCTCCTAGTGGGGACCCTGTCGGCCTGTCCTGGGCTGGCTTTCTCGTTTTCTCCTTTACTCTTGGAACCCTGAAAGCAAACTTCCTGGAGTAAAGACTGTGGCTCCAGGCTTTTCCGGGAGTGTAGCACATGTTGGTTGCTGTGGGGGGCGGGGTGGGGGGCATCTCCTGACCTGACGGCTGATGAACTGGACAGTCTGACTCTTGGGTTCTCCCCGCCTCCTCTCATGTGTTTCATCCTGCTCTCAACAGACGCCATGGGAACATGTAGCAAGGCCACTTTTGGAGATTCTCCAAGGGAGGAGAGGTCCCATTGTTCCCCTGTCCCCCCAACTCCACCTCATTGACTTTCTTAGAGCCACTAAGAAACTCCTACCCCAGGGACCTGGATGCTGAAGAAATTGCTTGATTTTGGTGCAGAGATGCCATCATCCCAGAGAACACGCCTCACTCTTCCAATGATGGCGCACCTTCTCTGAAGGGTAAACAGGAAGTCCTGGAAAAAAATGAGAGACCCATCCTGCCCCGGGAAGGTGGCAGCGAAGCCAGAGAGATGGGGGGCATCCCTTCCTGGAGAGCTTTAATGGGCCCTCACAAAGCACTCCACAAGGATGCCACCCACTGAGAATGCTTCCTCTTGCCCCAGCTACACCTTAGTGCCTCCAAGCCGGCCGTGGGGACTGGGTCAGGAGCCAGGGTCAGGCCCCTGGAAGTTGAGCCTGTCTATTTGCTGGCATGAAAGTTTGCAGTGCTCTGCCTCCTTCACAGAGGATGTGCCTGCGAGGAACAGAAACCATTTCCACCCCCTCAGACACAGGGCAGTTAATTATAAGGACAAAGAAGCACAAAGACCAAGGGCAAGGGCTACAGCCTGGCCACACACGCGCCGGGAGTCAGGTTTGAGCAAATATGAGCAACCAGGGTTTGTCTGTCTTTCTGCCTGTCACTCCTCCTGGAACCCCGTAGCCTGCTGCAGCTGCTCACCTGGGCGAGTCTCCTGCATTTCCCCTCCCGGCTTCACCTGCTCATTCAGCACTTGATTAAACATGCACATTCCAGCTGCACATCACTTCCTCATCCAGGGGCCAACAGAGACTGGCTAGCACCTTGCTCTCCACATCCACACTGCATCCGGGGATCTGCTTGGCTCAGAGTGCTTCCCAGCTCCGCTCCCTGGAGGTGGGGTGAGGAGCACCAGCCAGCCCAAATCCAGCCACTGGAGCCAGCCTGCTAGGGCAGGCCTCAGACGAGTGGGGCTGTTTCTTGGACAGACATCCACCAAGGCCCTGAGGATGGTGGCTTCTAAAAGTTACTGGGAGGAACGGTTCCTATTTCCCAGTGAGTTGGAGGATTCATACCTTCTACATTCCACGGGAGATGGAGGGTAGGAGGGGGTCTGAGAGCCGTCAGGAGGTCGTCAACTTGCCCCTTCTGTAGAATAAAAGGGATTGAGCTAGAACCAGGCCCTCAAACATTTATAATAGGGTAACCCTTTCCTTAAATATAATTCTACATAGGTGTCCTGTACAAGGAGAACGAAGGCGTGAACTCTCGCTGGTGGCAGACAGGGGCTTAGCTCCTCCATTCTGTGACTCCTCATGCTCAGGCCCTCAACACAGCTCCATGATGACCCCCAGGGCTATTGGCAGCAAGGTTTTGGAACCCCCCCAGGACAGAACACTTGACTATCTCTTCCAGAATAAAGTGGAATCCACCTATCCAGAGCCAACTCTATCTATCATCTCTCTCTCTCTCTCTTTCCTTCCTTCCTTCCTATTATATATCTAATCTATCATCTGTCCATCTCTGACTATCATCTGTCTATCATCTGTCAGTCACCTGACTAACTAGCTAGTTGCACTTTCTTTTTGATTCCTACATGGGGCCTCTTATCTATCAGTCTCTGAAACAGACTGTCTACATTCATTTGGTCAACACAGATTTGCTGAGCAACTCCACGATAATAAATGAGCCAATCCCTCCTCTGAGAAGGGATACGGTCCTGGCAGAACCCACTCAAGAGGAGCTCACAGGAAGACCACACTCAAACGCACACCCCCACTGATCCTCAGGCTCGGGCCCTGTGTACCTCCGTCCGTGTTCCCTCCATACCAAGACACAGATTCTGAGAGACACATGTACCAAGCTCGTGTGCTCCAAGTCACAGTTACCCATGCAGAGAGCCACACTCAGACCCTCAAGTCCAGTCACCTCTGTACTTATGGCATGAATAACGGCAACATCCAACATTTTTAAACAAACCTTACTTATCGGGTTTTATTTTAAGTGTGTTGTGGACGTTGCATCGTTCAGCCATGACATTAGACGTTGAACCTAAGCACTGTTATTATTTTCAATTTAGAGACGAGTGCACCAAGACTTACAAATAATGACTCTCTCAAGGGTCTACGGCTTTCAAAGGCTGAATTCAGGAATTTAGGGCTCGAACCTAAGTATCCTGATTTGAGGGCATATGCTCTCAAGTAAACACTGCATTCTGCCTCCATTTAAAACTACTACCCCATGCAGCAGCACCACTATATACACAGATGCATGATCATTCTTCTGTGTACCCATCTGCAGATACATGAGAACACGTGCAGGCATACAGATTTGCCAACAGAGGCCCTCACACATACACAGGTATTGGCATTCATGGACGTACTGATGCTAACGTGTACGTGGACTCATGCATGGTTGTTTAAACGCATAGGTCCTTACTGCAACTTAATATAGAAATAAACACAGGAACACTCACATCTGATGCTTGCACATGGATACATACATATATACACAAACCTGCATCTCCGTCCCCACACACAGAGGGCCTGGACCCACCCTCCAATGAGCCAGGCAGGACTGTGACCAGGCGCCCTCTCCTGTTAGGTTTCTTCTCCCTCCATCTCCAGTGTGACCCAGATGGCCCCTGGGAAAGAAGAGGTTCACCCCAGGGCACAGTAAAAATGGGCTCTAAACCCAGCCTCTGAAAGTTCTGGAGCAGAAGAATGACAGAGAAACCCGACGCCCATTCAGGGAGACTGGCCTCTCAGTCCTGAGGGCATGCAGACTCCGGGCAGCAAAAGCTAAGTAGTGCCAGAGGCTGAGCCAGACGCTGTTGCGAGATTCCGCCTGGGAGAGGAGGGAAGGCCTGGATCCCATTGGATTTAGTTCTTCCCGTTTTACAGATTGAAACTGAGGTCCAGCAAAGAGAAGTGGCCCCTCCGCTCTTAACCCCTTAAAAGAGGAGTTGTGGTCAGGTGAGCACGAGAGAGAGGCAGGGAGAAAGGTGGAGCTGATCACCTGGAGGATATTGGGAATGGGAGCCCGGACGATCAGTTCCGCCCGATCCAACCATTCCATAATCTCCCCTCACCCCTGGGGCTCCTCCAACCTCTTTCTCCTGGGAAGCGCTGCAGGTCACCCTCTTATTCTCCTTCCTCCTCATATTCGATTGGGCTTTCTAAAGCTCTATTAAATCCATCCACTTTCTGCAGCCCTCTGGACTCTGATCTCTAAATCTATTACCCAGGCCACTAGGTAAATCCTAACTGGTCTTCTCCAGACTCACCCCCCCCCTCCCCCTCCCGCTGCAGTGCACCCTCTACTGTGCAGCTCCTGAGCATTTAAAGCAAAATTCGCTCACTGCCTCCGTCTGCTCCTTACCTTCCCTGGGGTGAGTTCTGCCTGCTCAGTGGGCGACCAAGCCTCCACCTCGGAGCCCTTGCCTGACTCTGCAGCTCTATTTCCTTCTCGGCTTCATGGAATTGCTCCCAGGTCCCCGAGCTGTTCTCTTGCACCCCAATCTCCATTAGCATGTGCTGTTCTTGCCACCCAGAAGGCCCTCCCCTCACTGCGGGTACCAACCTGAGGTCTCCCCTTAGGGGTCAAGCCTTCCTGACTCCCCTGTCCAGCCCCGAGTTGGTCCACCCTGCTTTGTGAGCTCTTCTCCACAGACCATAGTGCAGCGAGAATCCTCTGCGTCTCGGATGATCTATTTGACATCTGTCCTCCGTCGCCCCCCTCCACCCCAGACTGTTAGTTCTTTGAGGGCAGAGACTTTGCCATGTTCAAACATTATTGAATGAATAAATGAAAAGGCAGGCTGCTTGCTTTCTCCTTTGTTCCTTGACCTCCTGAGTAATCATGCTGTAATCTTCTGGAAGGGGAAGAAATGACTTTTAACATCAGAAATAAAGGGAACTTTCTCACTTGGACAATTATGGTAAAAAGGCCAAATCAGCATTGGAAATAGGAATTCTGAGCTCTGCCCCAGACATCCACTGCCACATGGTTTTCAGCCTACTTTAGGGGATGATCCGTTTCTTTTCACCTCATTCCCTTCCTCTGGGGCTTCAGGGGAGGTGGGTTTGGATTTTGAGTGTTGTTCTTTCACGGAGGATGACTGTGGTGGGATCCATGTAGTGCATAGTGGCAGATGGTAAATTGAGAGAAGCTTTGATTAATGGCAAGAGGGGAGGAGAAAAAATAAAGCCCACCCTATAAAGAGCTGAGAAACTAAGCTAAGTCTAGAACTTAGTGCATTCTGTAGCCAATTAGCAGCCAAATCTTAGAAAGTCACAGAGAGGAGCTTTTGAACCTATACGTATCAGAAAAAGCATTTAAGGGCTGGGGCTGTTGCTCAGTGGCAGAGCACTTGCCTAGAGTGTGCAAGGCCCTGGGTGCACCCCAGCACCATGCACACACACACACACACACACACACACACACACACAAGTATATGTTTGGAGGCCACCCAAAACACCAGATTCTGGGAACCCCTGTCACGGGTAGCATTAACTTTGTTTCAT